ATTAAATGCTTGCTAACCTGATCTGATAGATAAACGTTTGAAAAATGACCTCAAGGTTTCTGAATTTTTAGGTAGGCACACAAGATATCTTAAAAGTGAATGGCATCCCGCCTATATTTATCGCAAAATTTAGCTCAAGTGCTCTATAAGATGTTGAGCTGCTTGATTTTGTACTTCCATATCGAATCCATACTTTAAATGGCCAGACCTGAAGCCCGTGCAGGCAACATTGCAGATGCAGTCGTCCTGGAAAGAAATTAGAGAATGTAAACCACTCCAACTTCAACTTACACTATAGCAAAAGTCAAGAGCTTTTCCGCTCTCGTCAAACGAGTCTGGAATTGGCTTAGATAAGGCACTAGCAACACCAAAGGCGTTGTCGGCACCAAGTCCTTCGACATTTGACTGCTGATTTGGCATTCTGTATGGATTACCGATAAGAATGACAGCTTCTATCATGTTCTTTGCATCTTCCGAGAGATTGCTACTGTTGAGAGCGTCCAGTGTAGTAGTAGCGCCCTGACTGTAGCCAAGAAGCGCGTATCGTTGATCTGGGCAAGATTGTAATCCATCGGAGATTTTGTTAATTATGTCGATAACTCCAAGTGAAGTATTCTGATCGAAACCAGCTGGATACTTCGTATCATACTCTTCTCCGTTGGGTACTTGATTAAGAGTTTCGCTAATCATGGTGCGGAAGCCTGCTGAAGGACCTTGACGTTCACCAGTTCCCCTGGTAGAGATGAGCAAATAGTCGTTGCACTTAGCAAAGGCAGCAGTGGTGAGCGCGGCGATTGTGGCAATTGAAAAGAGCATGTTGATTGTGGATTGTGTTTAAGAGCAGGATAAGCCATATCTTATATATATGTTTTATAGCCGAGCCTTATGAAACATGGGTCTGTGCACTATGATTATAAATCGATCATCAAACATGACCCTTTTCTCGGATAATGAGACTAAACTTAATCAATGTGCGTAAAGTATTCTATCTGATATATTCTTCAAATTCCCGCCTAAGATTCATTACGCGATGCTTAAGTCACTTTCTTACAGATTTGGGGTACTTTCGGCTTTCTGAATAAGCGGTATTGCCGTAGGTATTGATGTTGTAATTAAATTGATGAAATACTGCCCGTCAATGTCACCGTAACATCAAACGCGCTCGCAATCGAATGAACGACCGAGGAGATTTATATATACATATTTGTCACGCCTTTTGTCGCCATTGATGTCGCTGGATATTCCACATGACCGTTTATATGATGATTTCTCAACTCGCGTCTGATGAAAGTGAACGGTGATTCGCGATGGCACTCGCGAAGCTAAAATTCAAGGAGAAGATATTACAGCAGGGTGCGTAGAGTATGGTGCAAAATAATTTAATCCAAATATTCCTAGGACTACAAACGAACGAGTTGTTAAGAAGATTACAAGTGGGTGACGCGAGATGGCCGCGATATAGTGGCTTATATGGCATCAGAATCTACACAAGGAGCTTTCAGAATGGGACCAAGATGTTGTTGACGCGCTTTCCTTGCACAAAGTCGCGAAGCAGTTGCTCGATAAGTCACTACTCTTACACAAGGACAAGCATGTAAAAGCACTCGTAGCGGCTTCTTTTGTGGATATACTGAGATTGTGTGCACCTGACGCACCATACACGCTTCAAGAGCTCAAGGTTGGGTGTTGATATCATATCACCACAAACTCACAAATCAAATAGGACATCTTCTCATTTATATTCAGACAAGTAGCATACCTGTGGAAACCACCAAAGGATAAGAAGCAGAGCGAAGTCCAGTGCTATCAAGAGTAGGCGTATGTCTTCTTATACGGCACACTGCTAACAGCTTACAAGATATTACTACATACTTCGTACAATGGCGGACGTTAGTTGTATAGTTCTCGTGTGTGACTTACCCAACTCAGAAGACGTCGTCGGTGATATCTTCAAGGACTTCTTAGAAGGAATACGCGTGGATACTTCACCGAGACTGCAGGGATTCATGGCCGACATCCTGGCTCAGCTTGTCGATGAATCCAACACTATCCCCAACGACATACTCGAGTCAATGCTCATTGCATTCTCAGACAAGACGGCCAAAATGAACTCAGCTAAGCATAGATTGGTTGTGGAAGTCTGCAACAAAACATCAGAGAGGTTGCAAAAGAGCGTCTGTCAATACTTCAGTGAGATTCTTCTAAAGTTGGTTAACGACGAGTATACGGAGAAGACTTTTGACGAGGTAGTGGCAGCGCACAAGATTATCAGAGCAATTCATAGACATTCACCACGAATCTTACTCAGCACAGTACCGCAGCTTGAGGCAGAGCTGTTGTCCGAGAACAACGATGTTCGTGACTTGGGCACGCGAACTCTAGGTAGAATGATAGGCGAGCCAACCGCCGACACCAGCTATTATTCACTCGCAAAAGAGTACCCAAATACCTTCCGTGCATGGATAGAAAGAAGGAAAGATTTAATACCGTCGATCAGAGGAATTATCGTGGAGTACGCCTCAGCAATAATACTCACCCATCCGCAACTCAGCAATGAGATACTCACAACTATCACTGACAAAATGCGCGACTTTGACGATAAGGTTAGAGCTGGCGCTTGTCACTTCTTCCAAAAGATCACCTACGAAGTAGCAATCTCGTACACCTCCAAGAGCACCTTAGATGAGCTGGCGATGAGATGCAAAGACAAAAAAGCACTCGTTCGTCAAGATGCATTTGAAAGTTTGGGCAGACTGTACGCTTTAGCATACGCCGATATCAAAATCAACAACACCGCGGCGATGGAAAAGTTTGGATGGATACCAAGAGCTGTACTCGCACCTCTGTCTGTTTCGCTTCCTTCGCAAATTGCCTCCATCAAGATTCAGGTGGAAAGGACACTCGTTAAACACATTTTACCACTTCACGCTGATTCTGAGGGTGCATGGGTTGATCGTTTCTTGCGAGTATATAAGGATCTAGGTGAAGATGAGAAGAAAGGACTGCTGATGTTGACAGGACTGACTATGAGTGCTCAACGTCCATATGCTCTTCGGTTCGTGGAAGCTTGCGAGGAATTCAACAACGATCGCACCAATGACAATAAAGAACACGTTTTGAACTACATCAAGTTCCTTGGCGGACTCTTTCCAGAAGACTCCAAAGCCACAGGTGATTTGCAAGAGTTCGTCAAGCTGAACGAGAGCCGTCTTTACAAGAGTTTAAAGATAGCTATGGATACTCAACAATGCGATTTTAAGACACTGCAAAAGTCACAATCTGAACTCCATCGCCGTCTTGAGCAGGTAGCTGGTCAACGCAAAACGCTACCAGGCACATTCGACGCTCTTCTACTCAAGACCACATACCCGTTTATAAACAAGTCGTCTGTACCCCATCTTTTAAAGAGATCTGTCGAGGGAAGTAGCTCAGCAAAAGATATTCTTCTCGCTATCGCAAAGTTCACTCCTCTGATGTTGAAGAGTCATATAAGCGAGCTTAGCAGACACATTAACGACGAGAAATCAGCTGATCTAGCCCTCATTCTTCTGGCTGCAGTTGCAAGAGCTGACAGAAGTTCAATTCAATCTGATAAGCGTTTCATAGATCGTCTCATCCGATTCGTTGATGAAGGCACGCGCAAGCAAGTCAAGTATGCCACACGCATTCTGTCGTGTTATGAGAATGCCAAAGATAGTCTCAAAAAGATAGCTAGTAGTATCAAGTTAGAAGAAGATTTAAACAATGAAGATCGATTGATGAGGAGTTTTTCATTTTTGGCTGAGGCTTCTAAATCCGCTTATGATGTTATAAATGGGCACGCGGAGTCACTCTTTAGCACTATCGCTAGCCTTCTCATGACTCATCAGCACAGCTCTTTAGATGTAGGTGCGAGATTTAATTTCAAAATTCTAATTGACATGTTGATAGCCTTCCATTGACACTGACTTGGAATGGGTTGAAGATGATGCAGTCGATAACCTTACTATGGCTAAATTAGATGCCATGAGGCTTTGCACGCACATCGCAAAAGCCAATCAAAACAACCCTGATCAAGAGTTGGACACTGCAAAGGAGATTGGAAAGTTGTATGCCCGAGTCTTGCGTAACAAAGGTGAAGTGCTAGGTGAGGACGACGAGTCTGAGGATACAGCGTTTGCGGAAATCAACAACGAAGACGAAGTATTTACAACGCCGTGAGTTACATATTTTCACTCAAAATCAAGGCTAACAAAGGCTAGTGCCTGTATACGCTCAAGGCTCCGTTTGAGGGCGCTGATTGGATTGATTAAGATTGCACACGACGAGAAACTTGAGAAGGAAGTAGTCAGACCGAGATTTTTGTTAATGTCAGGTGGAATGCAAGATGCTGCTTATACTATTCGCAGGACGTTTATAGAAAAGCTGATCAAATACCTTGCCAACTTTAAGCTTCCACATCACTACAACGTCTGTATATTCCTCACTGCCCATGAGCCAGTTCCAGATATTGTCACCAGCGGTCAGATTTACGTTCAGTCCATGCTGCGTCGTCATACAGCGAGTGGGTGTCTTCCTTTTAAAGCTGCACTCCTAACCATCTCACCTAGAAATTCGCTTGAACGCTTTCGAAATGATCTTTTATCGTTTGTTACACACGCTCGCACATCATCCAGACTTCTCTGCTCACCCCGCTGATATTGAAGCGACAGCAAAGTAAGACATAGACGGTCAAAGAACAATGCTAACATGCAGTGTAGGTATATAACGTTCTACCTTGAGCTGGTAGCCACTTCAGAAAACATCAATTTGTTGTACCACTTGGCTGGAAGGCTGAAGACAGTAAGGGATATAACGACCAAAGAGAATAGTGTGAATCTGTACATCTTGAGCGAGTTGGGTCAGCATCTCACTAGCACATTGGCACACAACAAGAAGTGGACTTTGACTGCATATGAAGGAAAAGTAAAGCTTTCAACTGATATATTCAAAGCACTACCAAATAGCGATGTACAGCGCGAGATTACTCAGAAGATGTACCTGACTGAAGAAATGAAGAGCCAGCTGGGTAACACTACCAAACATACAGCACCAAGGGTGGGTAAACTATGAGGCTGTTTGACTATACTAACCACACCGCATAGAAAAAGAAAATTGAAGAAGGTGGTAATAAAACAAGGAAACCCGCAAAGCGCGCCAAGAAAAAGCATAATTGGGATGAAGATGATAAGGAGAGTGAAGGAGACATTTCCGGCGACGAAAGCGATGTTACGATGAACAAAGAAGATGAAGACAGAAGGAAAGGCCCAACGAGGAAAGCCCGTCCCCAACCACGACCTGCAAATCGCGTTCAGGACTCCGACGATGATGAGATGGAAGAAGCAGAACCAAACGACGAGAATGTTGACACTGAATGAATTTGACGTTGACATACCTGCATACTCCAACTAATCTTACTAACGCAAGCTATTGTAATTTTAAAGCTCATAGCCTATTTATTCATCCCACTAGAACTTGCAGTGTTAAGTCTAATGCAATATATTTATAGTACAATGCATCTATCGCTTGAAAGTGTGTAATTCACAGAAGTGATATTTGCTAACGTGCTACGTTGCTAATTCGCTAACATGGTAGCGTGTTTTGTTTTACTACTTTCAATCTCGCCATTTTGCTGTAGCAACATATCCAAATAAGCCCTTGTTTGAGATCTCTCAGGTGCGAAGGGTAGAATGTGGGAGATGATCGTATCCAGTTGTGTATCATTTGGTGGTGTCCAATGAGGTATGTTGAACGAACTATCTTGGTGCTGTAGCCATCTCAACATCATTTGCACATTAAGAATGCGATTTCTGGAAGCGTATGCACGGAGTAGTGTAACAACGCCCTCCATAGCAAATGGTATCCCTTTGGCTGCCATGTCTTCTAACGCTTCTCTGACTCTATCTGCACTGTGCTTGGTTGAGAAGGCGTGAAGGAAAGGCAAACATGACATTGAGTCTGGTCGCATTGAGGGTGGTATAATAAAGTTGAACCTGTTTGACGTAGACACTGGTGGTGACATGAGATTTGACCAGAGGTTGTTGTGTAAACTCATGTCATTTTTGTTCATGATGAGTATCGAAGCATATGCCGCACCTAGAGCAAATGGATCAGGCCATAGCAACAACGGTTGAGACTTGTTCTTGTATGTCGCGAGCATATCTTCGAATTTAAGTGAAGCTTTTGTCGGTATCAGTGTCTTTGGTATACCAATAGGTAGGTAAACTTCTAAAAAAATTGCTAGGGCTCTTTTTGCTTTAATGTCCTTCTTGTGATCGGGTGATTGAGAGGAATTTGACAACTGCATATACATTCTGGAAAATGTCCATAACGATTTAGCTCGTTGCTTCAAATGAGGTCGATTGAGGAGACGCTCTCTCAATGCTTTGAGTCTTGGTGCGATGTAAGTAGTGTGTAGTTTGTTTTGATAGTACAACACCAAAGATGCAATCGCTTTTGCCGATGGTAGAGACGCATCGGCGAACAAACTCTCTTCGAGCTGCCGAACAGTCTTGTAATTAGGTTGAAGCAATGAGAGCTCTTGAGCAAGTTGCTGTTCCACTTGATTGGATGAGGATCTTGGCCCAAGTGTTGGAGATTTTGACAATTTAAGAGCCTCTTGGGGGTAATACTTGGACATAATTTGCTGAGCTTGTCGCAGAAGTTTACCCTTTGCATTATTCTTTATACCCTCTTGAATAATAAGTTTCGCCGTGAATGCACTAGGCACGTATTGTTGAAAAGACTCGTTTATCTTGTTGCCGTGTTCGTCAGTATTCTGCCATCTATAGAGAGTGCTGTGGAGATCATCGAAACGTCTGGTCAGGGCTAGTTGATTGAGGAGAACATCACGTTTGTTGTGCCAAATGGAAGACTTGAGCTCCTGCTCTTCAAGATATCTAACAACATTATAGGTGGATTGAGAGAATCTGGTAAGATGAGCGAGAATGTGCGTAACTTGATTGCTATTTAAGTAGAGGTTCTGTCCTAGTAAAGCCAAAGCATCGAGGTTAGATGGATTCGTGGAGAAGAAGACGTGCAAAATGTGTGAGGAGTGGAATGAGCGAGATGGAATGAGAGGAATCCAAGCCAATGTTCCATCCATGTCGTTGTGAAGGAGTCTGTCGATAGCAGCGACAGTGTAGTAATGAGACTGACGAATGCGTACATGCATTTTACGGAGATCGCTGAGAATTTCCCTAGCAGCAATGAACTGATGTTCGCGTGCCATTTTCTTGAGAACAGAGCAAGGAGGAGGGTTGTTTACTTGAGGAGTATTTGATAGAGTGTGTAAATCCGTTGGTTCGAATAGAGTGAAATCAGGATCAGTGGAGGGTGTTAAATAATTCCATTGATATCGATGACGAGTTACAGTGAATGATTTTGCAAACGTTGAGGTTGGTGGGATGACACGAGCAACAGATGAGTTTAAGCTGAGCACTGCGTGTGTATGAGTTAGTCTGGTTTTCAAAATGCTTTAAACTAACTCATTTTTCATCAACTTGTGATGATCGTTTGACTTGAACCATCAACTCAACCACAACATGGATTCCTCAGTGGCCATGAAAACTTTCGAATTGGAGAATGACGTTGAGGAGGTTAGCGCTTTGGTTTTCAGATTATCGATTAATTTGGCTTATCCACACCCAGATCGACCAGATCTACTCTTACGATGATAACGCACAAAGAGAAATCAACAATAAGCGTCCATGGAGGCAAGATCCTCATTATTTCAAGCGTGTCAAGATTAGTTCAGTTGCACTTATCAAAATGGTTCTACACGCAAGATCTGGCGTCCCTTATGAAGTTATGGGTCTTATGCAAGGCAAGATTGAAGGTGATACAATGATTATCATGGATGCTTTCGCTTTACCTGTCCAGGTTAGTTGCAGTGCAGAAATACACACTGAAACACATTAATGTATCATTCAGGGTACTGAAACACGCGTTAATGCTTCAAATGAAGCTAATGAATTCATGGTCAACTGGTTAAATGGCAGCAAGTCTGTCAACAAGCCAGAGAATGCTCTAGGTTGGTATCATTCCCACCCAGGCTACGGTTGCTGGCTTAGTGGTATAGACGTTACCACTCAGTCTACCAATCAGACGTTCCAGGATCCATGGGTTGCTGTCGTTATTGATCCAAATAGAACTATCTCAGCTGGCAGAGTCGACATTGGCGCTTTTAGAACTTATCCTGAGGGTTATAAGCCACCGACAAGTACAGCAGTTGATCAAAACATCCCTCAGTCAAAGATTGAAGATTTTGGTGTTCACGCAAACGCTTACTATCAACTTGAAGTGTCGATATTCAAAAGCACCCTTGATAAAAAAGTACTTGACCTGCTTTGGAGCAAGTATTGGGTCAACACGCTCGCTCAAAGCAATCTCGTCACTGTGAGTCACAAAATCATCACTTGATTTCACACCTAATATAACTTAAAGAATCGAGCATACTTGACTGATCAAATTACCGATCTTCAAGCCAAGCTAAAAGCAGCTGAAATGGGACTTTATGGAAGAGGTGCTGCTGAGAAGCCAGAGGATGATTCAGGTCTTGCAAAAGCAGTACGATCTAGCAACCGCATAGCCGTTGAGGGCCAACTTGGCTTAATATCACAGATGGCCAAAGACGCACTATTTAATTGGAAAGGCTGCACAGATCATGACCATAACAATGACCATAACAAGATAAGCACATGTGCAAATAACGTGTCACAGCTAAGTACTGAACCAATGCAGATGTAAAAACATCCCTTCTATACCTTGATCACATCGATTTGTATCCTATTGCATTCTTTTGCATTTATTTTAGTTGTAGTGTAGATGTGCGCTTTGATGGTGTCCGAGCTGTTCAAGATTTTCATGCTGCAAATAAGGCCTGCGTTCACAGGAAAATTGACAATATAGCCACTTTAGCTCATAAAAACGTTTGATATGGAAATTATATGCATAACCTGTGCTCATCATTGTGTGAAGATGATGAATTGAACTACCATCATGTCCGAATCTACCAATTTACCACCAAATGCACACAGATTACCACGCACAAACCAACTAGAAGGCTTAATGACAATCATACGCGACAAGACGACATCAAGAGGAGAATTCATCTTCTATGCGGACAGGTTGATCAGACTTATAATTGAATCAGGACTTAACGTATTACCCACAATACCAAAGCATATTACTACAGAAACTGGCGAGAAATTTCAAGGTGTTGGATTTGAAGGTAAGGTGTGTGGTGTCTCTATTTTGAGAGCGGGTGAGGCAATGGAGAGTGCTTTAAGGGAGTGTTTGCGTAGTGTGCGTATTGGTAAAGTGTTAGTACAAAGAAATGAACAAACGGGTGAAGCACATCTCTACTATGCCAAGTTACCCGAAGATATTCACGAAAGATTCGTTCTCCTCTTAGATCCTATGTTAGCTACCGGTGGATCTGCGATTAGAGCTATTGAAGTCTTGCTAAGCAGAGGTGTACAGCAAGAGAAGATTGTCTTTTTGAATGTCCTCAGTGCACCTGAAGGTCTCAACGTTATGTATGAAAAATACCCAAAGATGAAGATTATTACTGGATGGGTGGACAGGCAACTCGATCAGCACAACTATATTGTTCCAGGATTAGGTGACTTTGGTGACAGATACTTTGCTTAGATAGGAATTTTGTTATATATGGTTAAATGCATACATAACTTTCATTGAAGTGTTATACTTCGTGTGCTTTTTAAAGCTTAGTTGGTAATTTTCGGTTTTATTGTAAGGCACAAAACTATCGAAAAACAGAATGTTCTCAAATTTTCATTAGATTTGTATTCTTACTTGGAAATATATACGTTGCAAATTTTCAATCTGGATAATTGGCGTAGTATAGCGGTTAAGGGGGTATAGTTCAGTGGCTAGAACGCGGTCTTCGCAAGACCGAGGCCGGGGTTCGATTCCCCGTACCTCCATTTTTTTTGCAATTTCATTTTCGATAGACCTATGAGTCAGAGTTATGAGGGCTTGTTATCAGTGTGATAGACATGCATTAGCTGTAATAATTCTAATCACAAAAGTATTTTGTTGTTTCACCTTGCTCAATCCACCACACACTGTCGTAAGCAAACACTCAACTGACGTCAAGAGGAAATGCAGCGAATTTTTGGCAAAATACCAGCAATCGCGGCCATCAACACACCCTCAACAATTCTACGAGGGATTTCAACAACATCTGTACAACTAAAAGCGAATGAGCGATTGAGAGATGAAGGTGGGTTGGTGAGAGCACGGCAAAGCAGCCAACTCACAAAGCAATATATGCAGAAATAGTACACGCTTTTGATAGAATTTCTGTTGTAGATGCACTCACTGGCAAGCCTCAACGAGCAGAGGATAGCAGTGAGGTATTACGCCGGCTAGAGCGAAGCAAATACCGCCTAGAGCTGGTGTCACAGAGTGCAGACACACCGCTAGTTAAAATTATAGACAAGGGCGACGAATACCGCAAGGCGAAAGAAAAAGCAGGGAGGGAGAAGGAATTGAAAGCAGCGAGCAAGGCTAAGAGCAAAATGGAAAAGGAAATACAACTAACATGGATGACTAGCTCGCATGACTTATCGCACAAATTGAGGAAAGCACACGACACTCTCTCCCAGAAAGGCAAAGTATCGGTGGTCTTTGCGAACAGCTCAGCACATAAACGTGTGGGTGACCCCGAGAAGGAATCCATTATCCGCAGTGTTGAAACGCAGTTGGGTTTGGGTACAAATACAAATGTAGTGAGGTGGAAAGAGACGGAGAGGAGTAAACGTTTCTGGGCTGTACATTTGAAAGGGACTTAGAAATAATTCATTTGTCATATCTGCAGAGTGTGCTTGGTTAGCTATCGCTTTTATTAGTCGTGCAATCCACACCACTCACATTGCTCGTGCCATCTTGGCTACGTCTACACTCTCCTTGATGTCATGCACGCGCACTATATCAGCGCCACCAGCCAACGCGGCCATTGTCGTGGCTGCTGTACCGGCCACGCGATCTTTGGCCGTATCGACGTTGGTGAGTTTACCGATGAATGCCTTGCGTGAGTGTCCTACAAGCAGCGGCATGTGCGAGAGTTTAAGATTGGGTGAGGGGGTGAGTGTTGGTGTCATTGTGTCCAGAGAAGCATCACTCGATGTACATCTACCCCCGAATTGGGAGAGATTGCGCAGGATATCCAAATTGCCGTTAACATCCTTGGCGAATCCAAGACCAGGATCTATGATAATATTCCAGCGTCGTATACCGCTCTCCATGGCTTTCTGCATCCGCTGCTGAATCTCCCCTTTGACGCCTTCGACTACGCCAGCGTCGTACTGCGTAAGGGATGTCATGGTGGAGGAGTCACCGCGCATGTGCATAAGTATATATGGCACACCTAAATCAGCCACCGTCTCCAACATACCCTCGTCAGCCATCCCCCCACTGACGTCGTTGACTATATCTGCACCTGCTTCTACAGCTGCGCGTGCGACGCTGGCTCTGAAAGTGTCCACAGATATGAGAACATCGGGGTGTTGGCTACGCAGCGTCTTAATCAACGGTACTACCCGGTGTACCTCGTCGTGCGCAGATACATCTGGGGCATTAGGTCGCGTGGACATGCCGCCGACGTCGAGTATATCCGCACCTTCTTGCACCATTCTAGTTGCATTCGCGAGAGCGTCTTCAAGAGTAAAGTTGAGTCCGCCGTCTGAGAAGGAGTCTGGAGTGCAATTAAGGATGGCCATCACCCACCGCCTTCCGCGCAAGCTGAAGAGTCTGTCACCCACGGGCAGCACGAGTTGAACGGCGTTGTCGCCATCCCCAATACGCTGCAGGGCTTGCGTGGTAGTGAGGGAGTGTGTTATAGGTGTATAATTGGGGAGTATGTCAGCGAGAGGCCGTAGCACAAAGGCGCGCTCACGCATGCCCGCGTGAGGGACACGCAGAGTGTCCGTGTGCACGCACTCTTCGCCATACAGGAGGATATCGAGGTCGATGGGACGCGGACCCTTCACCTGCCCCTCCATGTCGCGGCCTAGATCTCTCTCAATCTCTTTGAGCGAGTCAAGGAGCGTGTGTGGGTGCAGCGCAGTGGTTATTTTGCACACACCGTTCAGAAATGCAGGCTGGTCGTGTACGTACATTGGCGCAGTAGCGTAGAGATGCGATGTGTCAACTACATTCCCCACTCCACGCTTCTCTAGTTGCGAGAGTGCGCTGTGGATGTGGGCCTTCTTATTGCCGAGGTTGCTGCCGAGAGAGAGAACAGCGGTGGTGGTGCGGGGGTGATCTTCTAAGACATTTGGAGAAACATTATAGTCAGCAGCTGTACGCGTCACTTGCACACTGGCAGAATCAGCGAAAGTGAGTGCACTCGGTTTTGCAGCTTTGATGGTGATGCTCGGGTGGGCGAGCTGGACAACAGCGAGTTTTGCAGCATCGAGAGCAAGATGTTCGAGTACGTGATAGGAGGAGTTTTGGAGGAACTGTTGGGGTGATAAAAAAAAGAGGTGAAAATTTGGATATTGACGTACATTGATGAGATTTTCAATGAGTAGTAGGATATGAGAATAGTCAGTACCAGGAACACTAACATCTAAGACTACTTTCTGCTTAAACTGCCTCTCCCAGGGATGTATACCAATGATAGTGTCTACGTCAATACCAGAGACGTGGTAGGTATCATTAAACGCACAACCAGCGTCCTGTACCTGCTCATACTGTACGACACCTTTCAAAAGACCTTTGCACTTTGAAAGTTTAAGATTTAGGGCTTCCACGCCTTGATAAGAGAAGGTGGCGCGTGAAATGGCAGTTGCGAGAGAATTGAGGTTGGAATAAGTGCCAGAACAGGCTTGGTTGATAGAATTCGTTAGGCTTGCGTAGTTTATGCTCTTATCGAGATCGTTTTGTACCGATGTACTGCACTGTATATCAACAACCAATGGCTCAGCGTTTGTATTCTTAAATCTATCGAATCCAACGGTACTAGTCACATTAAGCTTGTTTATACTAATGACATCCCTCATATGTTTCAACCTGTTTAATCCACTCAACCTACTTAACATTCACTTGAAACCCTTTTGATAACGCCGCCAAAGCCAGAAAATTAGGTGAAAATTTTATATAGACGAATATAGACGACAAATGTACAAAATTAAGCAATCAAGTACAAAACACCTTAGTTCATCTTACGGATGAGATCGTTGACAAACTTCTCTCTGTTACCAACATCACCACCTTCAACAAAGTGAAGGAGCTTACGTGGTCTGTAACCGCCGTTTGCAGAGCTGAGGTGGAATGGCCACAAGAAGTTGGTGACTTGCTTGAAGTGTGGGCCAGCGGTGGCAACCTCGTGGATGCAATCTTCAATTGAGAGTATGTCGTATTGACCGAGTTCCTTCTCAATGATGCTGTTGTCTTGGAGAGGGATACGTTGCTTGTTCACCTTACCATATCCACGCTTGTAGATCAATTCACGGATGGACTTCAAGTTTGGTTCACCGTATGCGACATATGGCTCAACCATCTTAAGCATCTGCTCGGTGGCTCTGTTTACCTTGATAAAGACACCGGAGTTGATCTTAAGGAGACGCAAGAGCTGCATAACCTTACGTGGCTTTGGTGCAATGTTTGAAACACCACGCAGACGAATCGCAAAGTAAACCTTTGGCTGTGGTTGGACGTAGAAGTCGCCGTTGGCACGAGCAACACGCTTCAAGCGGACTTCCTCAGCTTCTCTGATTCTGTACTCCTTGACGTACTGCTCTGCACGCTTGAAGATGACCTTGCGCTTTGCTTGTTGCGCCTTCTTTGCATCAGCAGCCTTGGCCAGCTTCTCCTCCCTAGCCTTGTTGTCCTGCTTACGCTTCTTCAAGATAGTCTCTGGCTGCTCGATTTTCTGAAGAGTAGGGACGGTAGTGGACATCTATTCAGATATTTTAGTTTATTTCTCTCTTTATTCCCCAGCCACCCACCTCTAAGCGTTCGCGTTGGCGGTAGTCACAAGCAGAGAGAAGATTTCACTCCGCCTTACTCACATTCGAATTTTAAAAATTTAAATTTGAGAGATGAGTTGAGAAAAGGGGCGTATGGAGTCGCAGTGTGTTGTATGTATTTATTTTTATCGTGTAAGCTGCGTTTGAAATATTTCACCTGCACTGGTTGAGATGGTCGTGAGAGATAGTGAGAGATGATGGCTTGTGGAGGTGCCAGCTGTGCTCTACACGTGTGCATCTCTAAATCCCATCGATTCTCATTTCCCGTCCCTCCTTTTCCACCTACGTCCATGGACTCGAATAGAATCCAAGTACGGCCATCTGTTCAGAACGTCTCTCTGCGCAATAGAACCGTGTCTGCTAATAGCCCAGGCGATAAGCCATTCAACCCTGCCAGAAGGGCGTTTAGGCCGCGTCGATCTGAGCCATTGAGAAGCAGCCGCGATAAGGAGAACACGCCGACGAAACAGGCCAACACCCCAACGAAGCAAGCATATACCCCAACAAAACAGGCAACTACGCCTAATAAACCAATAAGACAGCTCCCAGTGACGCCGACGCCGGTTGCAGCATCAACAGTCCCTCCATCCGCGCCTTCTCAAACTCCCCATCAGACACCCACTCAGACGCCAAAGAAGACTACAGATGATAGCAGTACAACGCCAGTCTACTCTCCAGTCGCAGCCTCTGAGAGGACTACACGCTCACCAGTACAGCAATCACCCAGCCATCAACCCAGCCATCAACCCAGCAGTCAGGATGAATTGATGACAGAACACACGCTAGCACCTTTCAGCGTCGCTGATTCTGGCTGGGAATTGGAAACTGCTTCAAACGACTGCAACGCTTTAGACGAGGATTTCCAGAACACTGTCAACTTGTTATCTACCCAGCACTCCTCTACTATCCTCAGCTACAAAAGACTCCTTGAATCGTGTCAAAACAGCTCAGCTGCCCAGCTCTACGCACTCCAGGCTGAGGTTAATGAACTCCACAAGACCACTCACGCGCTGCGAGTAGAGAATAGAAATATGAAACTTGATCGCGATAACATCCCGCAATCCACACCACCCACTCACCTCTCCACTCTTCTCTATCCCCATTTCGACGAAATAGCCGTTCAGAAGGCGCTGAGGCAGCTCAACCAGGGCGAGAGATTGCGACTGATGAGAGTGATACTAGAGAACACACTCCCTCACGACATTACGACCACCATAGCCATGCTCGAGAAGTATGCTGCCAGTGCTTTCGATTTGCTAGCCACACTTCCGACGGGTATATCCGTGCGTATTCTCTCTCATCTCAGCGTGAGCGAAGCATTGGGATGTCGGTTAGTATCCAAACGCTGGAGCGACATGGTGAGCAAGCCAGCGCTATGGCGCGCGTTCTCGCTCCGCCTCACAGCCTCAGATCCCGATCCGCTCTCTCCGCCAGACAGGGAAGACGACTGGCAGCCACTGTACCGAGCACTGCACTTCCGCGAGCAAAATTGGCGGCGAGGAGCAGCGCAATCGATCAAGTTATTGCGCGGCCACACGGGGTACGTGACGTCGATGCAGCTGAAGCAGGGTGTGCTAGTTACTGGGTCGTACGACCAGACGCTGCGTATCTGGGACGTTGGAAGTGGAGAGTGTCGCACGGTTCTTCAAGCGAAAGCTATCAGCTGTCTCGACTACCTCCCCAAACACAAGGTGCTAGCAGCAGGGTATTTCGACGTCGGTCGTGTAGTCGTCTACTCCACCCTCACCAATCAGCAGCTGCAGATGCTGCAGGGGCACAACAAGGGCATACGCGCGGTGGCATGCAATGACGAGTACCTCGTCTCCGCCGGCCAGGACAAGGCACTGGTAGTGTGGAATTGGCGAACGGGGCAGCGCATAGCCCGTTTCGGTCAGCAGACCAATGTGTCTATTGGAGTGCAGCTTATTGACTCAGATAAATTCATCGCCGTTACCGTCGATTCGATTGTGCGCTGCTTCAGCATTACTAAGCGCGAGATGACGTCGCAGTACAGACTCTCCTCGCTCCTTCCTGAGCTAAGCAGCATCGGGAACAGCGACACTAGCTTGACGTGGTTCGGCGCGGACGGACTGAGCATGACGTGTGCAACTAAGAACCACCTCATTCATCTCGAGTGGGAAGAGGGCGAGGAGGAGGTGATACTTGGGGAGCCGATCCAGACGCAGGTGCAGCACGTTCAGCAGACGCAGGCACAGACGCAGATACAAACGCAATCGCAACAGTCGCAGTTAGCCCCACACACACATACATCTGGCACACTCAAACCGCGTAGCTCGACTGTATCTATCGGTGCTTCCAACACTCCGAACGCCACAAACGGCAGAGGCCCACGCCGGTCGTTGGGCATAGGTGGTGCTCATGCTCAGTCACCCCTGCTCCCGCGCAAGAACAGCGCAGACGAGTCCATATCCGATGCCAACAGCGTGCCTTCGAACCCCTCTCATCCCAGTCTGGGATCCACTGCAGCAAATTCATACTCCTACTCAAATTTTCCCTCCCACTCCTCACCAACCTCCCCCACACCCCAAATCAGACGCAGGAAAGCACCCATACTGACAAACCCTCCTCGTGTAGTACAAATCACGCACACACAGAATATGGCACCCGTAGGAGCGACCGATGTGTCCAAACACCGTGTCGTCACTTCTACACGCTTCTCTTCCCGTTCGGGTGCAGATAGGAGGGTAAGAGATGGTTTTCATTGTTTGTACAATTTACTCACACACTTACTCAGCTTTTCTGCTCTACTCTCGGTGATACTGTTCCTATCGAGGGCGTCTGGAAGGACTTGTCGCCGCGTTGTGAAGATGTCGGTGTGGAGATGGCTAAAGATAGCCTTGCGAATAGTAACAGAGGCCCGCTGTCTATTTGTATAGACCACCAGCAGGCTGTTTTTGGTTGCGCTGATGGAACGTGAGTTATACGTGGCTGTGTATTTCCACACTAATTAGACGAAAACAGTGTTTATAGTTTGTCATTCGTTGGCGAGAATTATACAAGTCATACTTCTAGCCCACCATCCTAATATACACGCAAAGCATACCATACTAATAGAGAAAAGGATCAGAATACCCGCTCACTCGTTTTTCTTGTCATGAAATTTGTCATAAAAAGATAAATAATATTACATGTTCCAAAAACCCCTCTATACCAACAAAACATCCAGATTCATATCCCTCATCACGTCCATCCACGATAATTGATTGCACCCCATATCAGATCTCCTCCAATACTCCTTGAGTATCGCTTCCGCAGACTCTACATCCCAGCACGCTTGTGTTTTGAATGACTGTAGCAGCGCCAACACCGATGACCTCTTTTCCTCAGAGATGGAGTGCATCCCCGCAATCAGCACCGGCCACGTCAGCCATACTACCATGCCTGTACTCGATCCTTCGAAGCAGACTTCGAGTATACTGTCAGTAGCCCTCACAACCCTCTCATCCGCAATAGAAACCTCAAACAGATTGCGCAAGATGTGTATCTGCATCGCATATCTATGAGCGTGATTCCCAACACTAACTCTGGGATGCAACTGTACGAAATTCATCTGATTGGAGAAGTTTTCAAGCTCTGTCAGTGTTTCTCGTGACTCCTCTTCTAATGCTTGTCTCCGCATTTCCTTAACCACTTCATTCGAATCCACGTGACGTCTCGCGGAGCGTGAGCGATTTCGCGAATTCGCTGAACGACTCTTGCGAGCTTCGCGGGTTCGAGAGCGTGAATCGCTGCCTGAGTTGCGGACTTTGCGAGAGCTGCGCAATTCTGAACGACCACGCATTTCAGGTGTTGAATCTCCACTGTTACAGCTGCTTCTTTCAGCTTTTTGCGCATCATTCTCGTACAGCGGTAAACCGAGTTTACGTTTCCTGGCGACGAGTGAGGAAATGCGAGCTATTAGATCAACCATTCCTCTACTCAATCCGAACATACGCTCAACGCTTTCCCACTCCCAATCGCAGCTGCCTGATATTTGTTAGAATGAGATTAGCTATGTAACCATACTACCAACCTGTCTCGCCAAGCTCAAGGAACCACGGCGACCAACCTTTGATGATGGCTGGCTCTTCACCTGTCGTGAGCGAGCCAAAAGCATCCCTCGTTGCAAGCTGCTCGAGGAGAAATCTCGGCACAGACACTTCCTTTTTCTTTGCCGGTTTGCCCGTTTCCAGCATCTTGATAGGACCACCGCGTCGTTGTATTACAGATTTTGCAAGTTCTAAAATACCTAAAAGTAATGTTAATTTGTAATGCACCAGTGGATTAATCCAATCAAACCCACCTTTCCAGCCTGGATCTCCAGCAAGAATGTCGCGCATAGCAACGCTCAACACCCCAGCCAAGAATGTATCCGTTTCAACTTCGCCTGCACTCACTGCTTTTTGAAGATATCTGACTGCCGTTCTACGCAAACTTGCAGCCAGATCTCTGCTCGCTGGATCCTTGCCGCGCAAATATGCAAGATGTACTGCCGACACACTAAGCAAACCTGTGCGCAAAGCTTCAACGCTAATACCCTGTCCTGTAACTTGAGCCTGGGCATATGCATCATTAGGGTTCTTGTCTGCAATCATACCGAATGCGAGTGGTGCATGTATACGTATCCATGGATTGACAGAGTGTGGCAAGTTCAAAGCAATGATGAATCTCACCGACTGTGTGAGATAATGATGTACCAGCATACGATCTTGTTGATTAGGGAAGAATGGGAATAAGTAGTCTGGGTTTGAGAGCAGTGGTGAGCGTGTTTCAACTGATGATCCTCCGACTGCGGCACTATTCTCAATCACCGATTTGGTGAGTTTATTTTGGAGTGTTTCCTCGTCCTCACCCTCATCCTCATCCTCATCCAAATGGAAAGCGGTTGTGCTAGGAGGGTTTGCAAGCTCATCCTCTTTCAATTTGCTGAGATCAGGTGGATTTGAAGACGTTGGAAATTTAGTTTCAAATGGAATCGCGAATGGTGAAGGTGGGTAGAGAGCGTCAAACGGCGAAGGAGTCGATGCTTTTGTGATTGATTGCTCTCTAGCGGTATCATCATTTTTTTCTTTCCCCGCTTCGCCTTTTTTCTGTCTCTTGTGAGCCGGAGTGTTTGATTTCTGTGACAACATCTCAAAATCCCTCGTAAAGCTAGCCATATTTTGGGACAGACTAGCGTCAGGCTGTGGAGGTGGAAATACATTGCTGATCGCTGGTCCGATTTGTCCGTCGACATCTAGGAAAGTGGGTGCGGGGAACCGCGGACCAATCTGAGACACAGAGTCATCATCCGGAGCCTCATCAGGGAGGAATGGAGCCAGAAAATCGGGTGGATCTGTGGTATACTTGAGCCAGCCAGGTCGAGAATCGTTACCATCTTCTTCGTCAACGCTACTCGTGCGGCGTTTGCTGCTATCATTTCCATACTCAATCGAAGGTGGAAATGAGCACTCGCGCTTTGCAACCTGGCAACGATGGCATACTGGTCTACCTTCATCACACTATCTATAGTGTTATCTGGTGTATTAAGCCGTACCAGGAAATTACCCACCTTTATCTTCCTCGATCTGCACGTGTAGCAGCCTTTCCTGCTTCTCCTAAACTTCTTTTTGTCTGCAGCTTCCTGTTCCCTGTATTGTGCATCGTCTCTTGAGATGGCGGAAGCAGAACCAAATCCCGAGGACGTCATCGTTGGCGAGCTGTTGGAGTAACTCGTTTGGGGGGTCAATTGGGCGGCGAATGGCGGCTGTGAATCTTGAATGCCCATAATGTATTCGTTGAATGGTTGCACCGGTTGTACTGGTTGCACTGGCTGTACCGTTGTCGCCGCCGGTGCAGCTGCAGGAGCAACTGGCTGCTGAGAAGACCTCCTACGCAATTCATCAATATCTAAACACCCACAACTATTCCAACTCACCCTCTCAACTGCAAATACTCTTGAAACGCAGAAATATCATCCACATCCCAATTCCTATCGAGGAGCCCGGCGACAGACGCAGCACCAGCGAGCTCCGTAGGCAGGTTGTACTCATTGTTCATTATCCGAGTACTCGATGATGTGGTAATCAACCAACCCCACAAATCTCACTATCAAAAGTTTAAATTTTCATTGGAATAAATTATTTAAACACTCTCGGAATTTATTTGCTTGAGTAGATCGATATACTCTTGCCCAAGCTTCGATAGCGCTTTCCCCTTTGCTAATATACTTGCGAATTCCTTTACAAGGTCCCGCTTCTTGTAGCCGAGTACCGTCGGAATAAAGTCTTCTCCTCGGCTGTAGTGGTAGGTGAGTACTTATTACTTTATCCGATCTTTCTACTCACTTGAATATTGGACCCATGTACTCTTTTATTATTTCTTCCGCTTTTCCTCTGAATCCATCCTCAGACAGCCTGCGGGCATATCCTAGCATGGAGTTCCTGAATTCTCCCGGTGACTCGAGCAATATAGCCGCATGTAGGCGTGTTTCAAAGTGACTGTACGTAATAACACTCTCTTCCTCCTCCCTTTCTTCATTATTGAGGTTCATTTCTTGATTAAGTTTTTCATCGACCACCATCTCATTGAGTATGATTTCAATCTGTGTGATTGGGTTTGTTTGTAGTTGTTGGTAGTGATGTTGCGATTGAGTGCTCTGTGCAGATGAAGATGAATGTCGATGTCTGCCTCGTTTATCCCATGCATCCGATTTAGCGTATTTGATTGTACTAACGAGTATCCATGTTTTGAGATTCTTGTAGTCGTAAGCATGTGCTGTGCCGTTGGATAACACCAGTACTGGTACACCATTAGAACGTAGCTGTACAGTCTTGATTGCCTCATCTGCACCGAGAAGGGGTGCTATACTTGTGTTATCTATTAAACTTTTTCGCTGCCTCGTGCAATACTCATACATATTCGCTGAACATGTTATTGCAAACAGCTTGCTACCTTCTGCTTCTAAAATTGAGCAGGGCGCATCAAGTGTAATATCAGGTAGTAACTTGCGTCCTGAGAAAGTGTACACTCTTAAAGTTCCATTTTCCATGCTCACACCCACAAAACCATCCCCGACAGCAACATTAACCACCCTGCAAGGTACGTAGTCGACCCACAAAACCTTACCACTATCCTTAGTATGACTATCGCTGCGCTTGCTTAACATGAAAATCTCGGTACGATTTTGTTCGCGTCGTCTTTCTTTTTCTGTATCATTACCTTCTTCAACCATATCCATGTCAACTTGACCGCCTGCATTCCTCACTTCCACCCTGTCCAACTCTTTATTCCCGACAGTAGCAGCGCCCATGAACTGATGGAAAAGGCTCGATTTGATAGTCGGCGCGGCAATAGTTACGTCTTTCGTAGTATGCTCTATAACCCCTATATCCCTAGATTCGCCAATTGATTTCCTCTTTACACCATGTCCCAATGTACGAGCTTTAACGTTTTTGTAAATTAGCGCAGCTGGAATGTTTGATATCTTTACGCGACTTGGATCTGTCTCTTGTATTTCCATGGGAGTGTCGTTGTCATTCTCACCATCCTCATCACCCCCACTACTTTCTTCTTTCGGGTCATTTACATACGGTAGCCAGTACCCAACAACATTTGGATTCTGAGGATGTGGTAGTGTCATCGGCATGAGTAGGTCTGAAGGTAAATGTGGAGGGTTGAAAGTTTGGGCTGGTATGCTGTTGGGGTAGTATGATGGTTGGGTTGGGTATGCAGATGTATTTGAAGTGGGTGGGTTAAATGGGTTCGTATGGCTTGGTGCAGATGCAGTTGCAGATGTGGATGCTTGGAATGGTGAGACTCCTGGCAAAGATTCAACAAGCGTGGGTGCTATTCTCTTTTTATTCGACATCTCCACAGCTGTTGGGGCTGGTCTCTTGTTATCCATCAGTTTCTCCAAATGAGATGGTTCTTTTTGGAGAACAGGACGTGGCTGCGCGACTGGCACAATTGGGTGTACTGGCGGTACTGGCTTCTCGTACATGGAGAGAATATTGTTAACTTCCTGTGTAGCTGCCGCCTGACCTAGTTCAGCTTCAGTGAAGGAGAGTGCCACAATACTACCGTCTGCTGAACAACAGTAAAGTGTAAGGCCATCTCTAGACCAACTAAGATCGAGAACTTGGCGATTGAATAGATCTTTGATAACAACGAGTGGTTTCGAGGTGTTGATTTTCCACACCGACACCACCGAATCAGTAGAACCTGTTGCACAAATGTTGAAAAAGGAGCCCTGACTGTCTTTGTACATGCGTGGGTTGTATGCGGTGCACAAAACGCTGTTTTCGTGACCAACGAGTTTCATTTGAGATGACCAGTCTTCGCGTTCTACCACGGCAGCAACAAAGACGCTATCCACGATGGCATTAGCGCAAATAATACTGGCACCGTCAGGAGACCACCTTTGAGAGGAGGGTAAGAAATATGATAATAGGCGTTAAGAAAGTAAATACTCACGATAAACGCCTGACAAAAGCTCTTGGAGATTCAATGAAAGGTTCAGTAATGCAAGCTTGCAAACCCCAATCAGCAGTTCTCCAAATCTTTAGACTGCGATCATCAGATGCAGTTGCAAGGTAGTGACCAGCAGGATCGAAACTAACGCCTTTGATAGAGCTATCATGGCCAGATATTTTGATAATTCGGTCGAAAGTGCGGGTATCATGAACCATGAAGCAACCATCCATGGCCACACTGGCGAGATAGATGTCGTCCTTTGACCACGCGATTTCAGTTACATCTATGTGCGTTTTTGTGGGAAAGGAATGACGAAGAAAGGAAGAAACGCACCACTATCATGACCGCTGAGTACTCTCTCAGCTCTCCAGCCCTCAATATTAACTTCAGTACTGCCAAAGACCTTTCCACCGCCATTTGGATCGATTGCCCAGATAATGATAGCGCGGTCATCGGAAGCAGAAGCGAGATACCTGCCAGAGTTACTCCATCTAATAGAAAGTACGGGGCCTGTTGATTGAGCTGTTTAGGTGGTTTATATGACTGTGCACTCAAAACACACCTGAATGCTGATCCAGTGTTGATAGCTGCTTCGGTACTCTATCACTACAGGCCAATTTCTCATTCCTAATTGGAGCTGTCGTCCATACTCTAATTATCGCGTCAATTCCACCTGTGGCTAGTCTGCTGCCGTCTGGGTGGACATCGAGGGTGAAAATTGGCTGTCGTTTCTTACGGTCGTGGTCGCCGACTTATAGTTTTTGAATTAGATTAATTTCATTAATTCAACAGTTCACGAACCCTCATGCACTGTCCAGCCTGGACGCGTTAATTTCATTGATTTGTGATGGCTGTGGTGGACAAAGACATAACGTATATTATGAATAAAATAAATGAAATTATTATTTAATGAGTAGACAATGTATTAAGTAATTCTAGTTTGGCAGTTTTTGTATGCGTTTAGAGTATCTTTGAGATACGGTTCTTCAGCTTCTTGAATGTACCCGTCTTCTCCTTGGTTTGGGCTTCTTTGTTGTCTTGAGCAGGATTTTCTTGTTTGCTATCTTCAACTGGTTTGTCTTGCTTTTCATCTGAAGCAGCTTTGTCTTGCTTCTCTTTTGAAGCTTCCTGCTTTGGTTCCTCGTTGGCTGACTTGTTTTGCTCATTTGTAACACCTTCTTCTCTCTTTTCTGCAGATTTGACAGCACCCTCAGTACCTGCTGCAGCGGCAGGATCACCTGCCTTTCTAGCGGCTAACCTAGTTAAAAGTGGTTAGATGCATGAAACTTTTCAAAGACAACCTCGACAACCTCGACAACCTCAAAAGACGGACGATAAAGGATCAAAAGTCTAAAATATCGACTAAAGTGGCTTGGAATGGACACAAAAAAGGGTTCAATTTCATTCATTTCGATTCTTTACGCGTCTTTGAAGTCATCATATACGTCGAAAAACTTACTTTTCAGCACCGATGCCGAATTGGTTGGTGACCGATCCAAAGTGTTTACCGTGGATCTGTGAGGGGAGTGTGAGATTTGACAAAAAGACAAAGAAATTATAAACTAACTCTTGCAACTTCATGTTCCTCTGCTGAAGGTAATCTAGAACCATCACCACCAGCGATAGTAGAAGCACCCCAAGCAGAACCACCGTTAACGTCGAGTTGGAAGAGGTTTGGAGCAATGTAACCAGTTGGAACGTAGATCATACCATGGTGAGCAGCAAAGCTGATGTTGTTGGTGTGGGTGATTTCTTGACCACCGTGAACGGTAGCAGTGGAAATGTAGAAAGAACAAGTCTTCTTAGAGAGAGCACCTTTAGCCCAAAGACCACCAGTTCTGTCAACAAGGGTTGAGACTTGTGCAGGGCGACCACCGTATCTTGTTGGGAAACCAAAAATGAGACCATCGTATTCAGCGAGCTTGTTTACATCTTCTAAGAGGGGAATATCAGAACGCAAGTCCTTTGGAGCGCCCATTTTGTTGAGAGCGTCGATTGAAAGAGTCTCAGGGATTCTAAAGCGATCAACTTGGACACCAGATTCGATGAGACCTTTGTTGATGGAGTCACCGAGGGTGTAAATGTGTCCATATGTTGAGTATTCTACTTGAGCGACTTTAACCATATTTGAGTTGGCGGTGTTGATGAAAAACCTAAATGTCAATGCACGCGTCTTAAATAATTCAAGATGACGAATACATGTAATTTATATTTGAAGTATTTGTAAAATAAATTTAAAATTTATAATCAGCTACAACGTACCATGGCTTCTCCACTAAGATTCCTTCTAGCTGCATCCCTAGCCTCAAGCCATCCGTGTCCGTGTGTCTTGAGATAACCAATTTCACCCAGCTTTAGACCACTGACGCCCTTGATCCTTGCACCATTCACCCACCTTTTAACCTCAGCCTTCTCCATCCACACTCTCTTTGATGGCTTTGAAATAACACTCATGCTATGCAAAACTGGTCGATTCGATCTGTACTTGAGTTCAAGCCATATACGTCTATGCTGCTCATCTGTGCCTAAAAAAGTACTTGGATTGTTCGACGCTGGGCTCCCAAGCGTTACATTCGTAATCATTCCTTGGTCCAATAGAAGTCGGGAGAGGTGGAAGTTTTGCGTCGTGTACTGTAATGGTACCTTGGGTATTGCCGCACGTGATGCATTTTGTATTATTGAGCAAGTATTATGAGGAAGCATATTTGGTGGTGACGGTGAAGACGATGATGCGAATATGTAAATACCTCTTCAATTTCTATTTACAATACCTTCTACCTTCTCCACTAACACTCTAGCCTTGTGGCTATCGTCCAAAACCTCGTTAAGACGCAGTACTTTGGTTGTGTCTTGGAGGTTCACTTGGGTGCGCAGCGTCCCTTGATATTCCGGTATATTTATCATGCAATTCGATAGAATGCACGATGTAAGCGTGCACAGTACCACTTTGTCCGACATTTCTCCCACGTCAGTCTCATTGTTTAGTTGCGAGTGATTCATGTTGAATATTTGTGCGATAGTGTCATCTGATATGAGTGTCAAGTGTGTTCGGAGTATTTAGACACCTATCTCACCTTTTGTAATCTCCTTAAACACATCAGCGATACCGGCAACACCCTTACCCACTTCACCCCCCAACTCTATCAAATTCATCAACAATCCAAGCAGCAATGTGATAATTGCCGTGTGCTCTTCTGTGTTTCTTTGTGAGAGGTATCGTGAGAGGTGCGTGAGAGTATCGCGTGCCACACCTCCCGTCACAAAGACATGTCTCGCTAACTCCCTCCTCTCGACACTCAACGTAACCATCGCTCTCGTTGTACTTTTGATGTAATCCCTGCTGCAGGTCTTTTCATCCTGCGCTGCCATCCACCCGAAAACCACAGCCAGTTTCTTCAACATGGCAAACGATGCGGCGTCTGCGGATCTTTCAACGACTTTCATCAGACGCATTATGTATGACACCTCCTGTGAGATGTTATTGTGAGTGAATTGGATGATTAGACTTGCAACTATCATCACCCACCTCAACTACCACTCTGGTTCTATCAAAAGCATCCAAAGCGACGTGGACAACATCCGCATAATCCTGCAGTGCAACATACTCACCAATCCCATCAACGGCATGCAAGAGGAGTCTAGGCACTGTGATTTCACCATTCGATTCCATCTCGAACGCGCTCTCAGCAGCTGCCTTGACCTCCCTCAACAGTGGTCGTTCAGATCGGGACAGAAACCTATCGCTCATTCTAAACACGTCGCTTGAGTTGTTGTTGTGGTAGAGGCTCCTAATCGAGCTACAGAATGACGGAGAGAGTGAGGCCAATGGAGAAGCAGTATGAGAATTAGAGTGAGCGAGGTGAGCGATAATGATAGCCGCTATAGCGTCAAATATCGCGTCTCCATTACCCATATACCGCGTTACACCCATCCACACCCTATCCAGGCACTCTTCGCTATCGACTAGCCACCTCTTCCAGTCGTGGTTGGATAATTTCTGCGATACACTCAAACCCGATGAGCGTCGTATAGTGGGTGATTCTCCGATAAAGCCGTCGCAGATATAAGATAACTCCTCTTCATTTCGTTTGCTCACACCTGTAGAACGGAGCTGGGAGAATGATTTATGCGTGCTTGAAGGCTCCTCGTCGTCCTCGTCATCACTGTCATCCACTCCCCACTTCTTCCGCATCTCCCCATATCCCTCTCCAGCAGCCTCGTCAATAGGCGCGTCATTCCGGTAGCTGCGTACTTTGGCATACGTGCGTTTGGAGAGCGTGGAGGCGCCGGACTGAGAGCGTTCCTGTGATATTTCTGTTTCTGCTTCTACAGGGGTAATTTCGCTGTTTGGAATTGCCTTGTCGTCACTGCTGTCATCGCAGTAATCGCAGTCTTCATCAATAGCTGGTATGATTGGGGTATCGCTAAGCGTGTGGTTATCATTCAAATCACCCATCGATTCTGTCCTTGTTTGCATCTTTGATCGTATTTTGGAGGTGGATGGTGATGCAGTCGCTGTAGACGCGTTCACTGTAGACACTGCTTCACTCCCCTTTTCCAACCTCCTCCGCCTATCCTTGTAGCTATTCGCTGATGTATATTTTCTCTTGAAAACCGCGTCCGACATGATGGCTGATGGCTGATAGCTGATGGCTGTGATGATAACAATATTTCTATCAATTTGACTATTTACAATCATTTTAGTACCTCGACTGCCTCTTAGCGTTACGATGGAACCTCGCAAGTCTCTGCTGTTCATTCTTCAGTGCTCTCTCGCGTTTCTCGCGATCCATCGCAGAGACAGTTGGGTTCTTCTGACGTTCTTCGCTCTCCTTCTCTTCCGCCATTTCACCCACATTCTCCGCTTTCTCATACAGACCTTTATCGCTTCTCTCAGCCTCGTGTGTTTGACGAATAAGTCTTTCTCTGTTGAGTTTCTCTTGTGCGCGCGCTGCCTCCTGCATCGGCTTCTTCTTCTCTTCAAATTCCTCCCTGAAAGTGTTGTATGACGATTTGACACTTTCCAAGAAACCTGGCTGCTTCTGATTGCTGTCAGCGTACTGTTGTGGGAAGTTACGCTTGTTGTTCTCTGCAATCACATCCAATGATGGCAGCCCCATGCTGTTTCTCACCCTGGTTGAGCTGAGGAGGTAGGATTGGGCGAGTGAGAATGAGTTAGTGGTGCACCAGTAGATGAATACCGCCTATTTCGTTTGTTAGCAACGTCGTCTAATTGAATTACACTCACACTTGGCATCTGCAGCCACCACGCCATAGGAACGATAATAAACGAACCAATCTGGAAGAAAGGTTTCATTTTCTGTGCTTGCGGGGACTGCACACTACCGCTCCCATCAGGACCCATACTGATACTCTTGAACATGAGAGAAGATGAGATAATAGGCAGTATGCACGTATAATCGGGGATAGTGAGATTCTGCACCCAACCGAAACCACCTTCTGCGAGCTGCTTGACTGGTAATCTAGCCATATCGTCTAGACCAAAGTAAAAAGCGATGAAGAGGGGCATCTGAATAAGTGGTAAGACTAATCCACGCAGAGGTTTAAGGTTCTTCTCTTTCATGAACATCCTCATCTCCTGTCCGAGTACAGCCGCGTCTTGGTCTTTACCAGCCTTCTTTGCGGCAGTCATTGAGTTGATCTTGGATTGCATTTCTGGCTGGTGGACTGCCATGCGAGATGTGTGTATGAGGCTGTTGCGCAAGAGTGGGAACAGCGCCATTCTGAGTGATACTGTCGTCACTGCGATCGTCGCCCACCAAGGCAAACCAGTGGAAACGTGAACAGCTTCCAACGCTTGCTGGACAAAGCCATACCACTTGTTGCATAGCCCGAGTTCTGCGAGATCGCCATATTTGAGTGGCTCAGTAGTGCTCTCAACGATGTTTTGCAGATGTGCGGGTGCTTCTGGTGATGGTGCTCCTGCTGGTGGTGATGGTGCCGCTGCTACTGCTTCTGGTGACGCCGTCGATGCTGCTGGCGGATCGTTGAGTACATTCACTGGCGCTGAAGATGGCTCTGGCTTATTGCTCTCCGTAATAAACGTCCTGTACTGGCTGAGATGGATCTGCTTCTGCAGTTGCACATATCTCGACCCCCCGTTGATTCGCCCAAATCGACTAGCACCGTACACTCCCCTTGCGATCATCAACGTTTGGAACAAGAATCAAGAATATTTATTTGCACTCAATGCGACTCGAACGCTCCTCCCGAATCTGCATTTAAATTTTTCACTCGCCTCGTCCACTTCCCGTTGAGCCATCGAGCGACAAGGCTTTTCTGTCCACCTAAAAAATCACCCAACCCATCTTTGACACTGAACAATGCCGCAACAGCCATGTAGAGATTGTGGCAGTACAGAAATAGACTACGACAGCTCATCTGGATGCTCATTCTGTGCTAAATGTGGTATTGTTTTCGAGGAGTCAAATATCGTATCCGAGATTGGATTTGGGGAGTCGTCATCTGGACAAGCTCATGTACAGGGTACGCTTGTATCGCATGATGCCGGTGAGTTTGTTTACATCCCCTACCGCCTTTCTCAATCCTCCACCAGCCGGCACTTCCCGCCAATCGAGAGACAAGACCATATCAGAAGGTTCGTGGTGTTTTTATAGTTACCAGCAATCCTCACACTCAAAATCACACTTAAATTCCAGGCAAACGTCGCGTTAAGCAGCTCGCAGCCGCTCTCAGAATCTCAGAAGCAGTTTCAGACTCAGGTGAAAGATTCTACGCACTAGCCGTACAAAATGAGTTTATACGTGGACGTAAATCTGTCTACGTTGTCGCAGCTTGCTTATACGCCGCCTGTCGTACACTACGCGACTCACACATGCTAATTGATTTCAGTGATCTGATGCAGGTGTGTTTATCGGGGTGTTTGTTATTGACAGAAATCTAACCACCCCTTGTAGATCAACGTCTTCGCTTTGGGCACCACCTACCTCCGTCTCGTCGAGAGATTGGATCTCAAACTGCCGAAAATGGACCCTTCCATCTACATACAAAGATTCGCATCTCTCCTCGAATTCGGTCAGGAAACTCAGAGAGTCGCCAGTGACGCTACTCGCTTGTGTAAACGCTTCGATGAGGATTTCATCACTCATGGTCGTCGTCCTGCTGGCATTTGCGGCGCTGCTCTCATACTCGCTGCTAGGATGAACAACTTCAGAAGATCAGTCGAGGAAATTGTGCAAGTCGTCAAAATCGCTGATGTCACCGTTCAGAAACGTCTCGATGAATTTGGAAAAAGCGCTGCAGGTGATTTGACAGTCGAGAATTTCCGCGATGACGAACGGGCTAAAAATTGGAAAGAACCACCGAGACCTCCCACATACCATAATGCAAGAAAGAAGGAAATGATGGCAAAGGAAATTGAAACAGATCCTCAAGGTGAACTCGCCAAGAAGCAAGATAGATCCAAAAAGTTGAATAGAGTGTTTGATAAAACTACTCGACCAAGGAGAAAGAACGATGACCCTGATCAGAAGCAATTTGATGACTATTACAAGACTATCGTTGGTGTCTCTGCTGATTTTTTCCAAGAGGAGGACGGTAAAGATGCAACCAAGAAAATCACCGCTAAAGGATTGAACAAAAAGATGAAAAAGGCATACGAAGAGAAAGCTAGAAGGAACCGTGCCATAGACAGTGATGACAATTATGATCAGCTTGAGAGTGAAGATGATGAGGTTGGCAATAGTGGTAAAGATGGTGAGACACCGCTATTTGAGGATTCAGATGAGGATATTCCAAGGCGACTCCGTCGCTCACGACCTACACGTGCCAATCGCTCTGAGTCAGCAGAAGAAGATCAGGATGGTCGTCATTCTATTGACCAGGGTACCTCCAATCAACCTGCAAAATTGAGGGACGCCATGGGTCCCGGAAATGAAAGCACTAATGAAGAGATGCAATCCAACACTGTACAAGGAAAAGACTTCCAACCTCCACACAGAGATAAATCTGCCACTCCAGGAGACGCATCACATCCTCCAAATAAGTCTTTCAATCACACAAGTAACGTCATCGAAACTCTCGAAGAGAATGGTCCGCAAAGTGAAGACGAGGTGCATGCAAATGACGAAGAGAAGGGGAGTGAGAGGGAGAATGAAGAAAAGATTGTTCAAGAGGATGAAAAGGAAAACGAAGATGAAGATGTTCGTATGCAAGTTGAAGAGGGAGGTGACAAGCAGACTGGGAATATTGGAGACTCTCAGCAGATACAACTCGAGCAAGAGCCAGGACAATTGCCTAGTCATTCTTCTCCACAGGAAAGATCTGACAATGTGCCTGTTTCACCTTCTCAAACAAGACATTCTCATGAGCCAAATCAATCGCCTCAGCCAGTCAAAGAGGCACATCAATCAAACGAATCTGCCACTCACGAAACACAGGATGCATCTCAATATCGTGCTTCTACAGAATTAGACACTCAAGAGCCTCGGGAGGTACCTCAACCTCGTGCTGTGGAAGAACCAACCACTCAACAGCCACCGGAAGAAGCAGCAAAAAACATGGACGACAAGGAAGATGAGAAGGAGGATGAAAAAGAGGACGAGAAAGAAGATGAGAAAGAAGACGAAAAGGAGGATGAGAAGGAAGACGAGAAGGAAGACGAAGAGGAAGTAATAGTTGATGAAACAGACGAACCAACTCAAGTCGATCAAGATAAAAAACAAAGTGGACCAGAAGAGAAAGAAATTACAGAAGAGATATCACATGCACTCGGTGATCCAAACATCCAATCACTCACTAATAGACTTGACAACGTTGATGACAGACGTCGAGCAGAATTGGAAAGACGCAATGCGAATGTAGATGAGCTACAAGGTCTAGATGAGGAGGAGCTCGATGATATGATTCTTGGTGACAGTGAAGTTAAAGTGAAAGAGAGAATATGGATGGAGTTCAACAAAGACTATCTCGAAAAGATTGCCATTCGTCAAGCTACAGGTCAAGATACGCAGAAGAAGCCACGTCGCAAAAAGCGTAAGGCTAAAGAACAGTCAGTAAAGCCTGAGAATCTGACAGAGGCAGCGTCGCAAGTTCTCAAACAGCGTAAGGTATCAAAGAAAATCAATTATGGTGCGCTTGAAGGACTGTTTCACAAAGACAACAGAGAAGTCAACAGCTTGGCACCGGGTGAAGTAGATGAAAAAGAAGATGAGAAAGAAGACGAAGAGGAAGAAGGGGATGCTGAAGAGCACCCTGCGCCTGAGTATGGTGAAGAATTTTCAGATAACGACATGGACTGAAATCTTGATTAGCTGATTGGCTGATTTGTTGTACCATTATACAGACATGTATCGTTATTTTTTCGCACTTACATATGCTTTGATGACGAACACATAGTCACTTGTAAAAGAAAGAAACAGTTATAAATGTGTGTTATTACTTTAAAATATTCATTTTATTCGCAATTATAAGAAGGAAAGTTTTTAAGCTGATAAGAAAGAGTCTACAGTTTCACTAATCTTCTTCTCAATTGCCTTCTTAACTTCATCGGATGGTTGACCAGTGCCGAGGAGCTTCATTAATTCAGAGTCAGCCTTGATAGATTCAGTTGCAGTCTTCTCCCAAGCAACAATCTTCTCAACTGGAACCTTGTCCAATAAACCGTTGATACCAGCGTAGATCAATGGAATTTGAACTTCAACAGCCATTGGAGTGAATTGTGGTTGCTTCAACAATTCAGTCAAACGTTGACCTCTGTTCAACAAGAACTTGGTTGAGGCATCCAAATCGGAACCGAATTGAGCGAATGCAGCAACTTCACGGTATTGAGCGAGGTAAAGCTTAAGGGAACCTGCGACGGATTTCATCAACTTGGTTTGAGCTGCTGATCCGACACGAGAAACTGAAAGACCAACGTTAATGGCTGGACGGATACCCTTGAAGAAGAGTTCAGCTTCCAAGAAGATTTGACCGTCAGTGATAGAAATGACGTTAGTTGGAATGTAAGCTGAAACATCACCACCTTGAGTTTCAATAATTGGGAGAGCGGTCATAGAACCACCACCGTGAGCGTCAGACATCTTTGCTGAACGTTCCAAAAGACGTGAGTGAAGGTAGAAAACATCACCTGGGTAAGCTTCACGACCTGGTGGACGACGGAGCAAGAGAGACATTTGACGGTATGCAACAGCTTGCTTGGAAAGATCGTCAAAGACGACAAGGGAGTGGCGACCGTTGTCACGGAACCATTCACCGACAGCTGCACCGGTGAAAGGTGCCAAGTATTGAAGAGGAGCGGCCTCGGAGGCAGTAGCAGCGACGACAACGGAGTACTTCATAGCGTCATTCTCTTCAAGGGTTTGAACGAGTTGAGCGACGGTTGAACGCTTTTGACCGACAGCAACGTAAACACAGTAAAGCTTCTTCTTCTCCTCACCGGAGCTGTTCCAACGCTTTTGGTTGAGGATGGTGTCGAGAGCGACGGCGGTCTTACCGGTTTGACGGTCACCAATGATAAGCTCACGTTGACCACGACCGATTGGAACCATGGCATCGACAGGCTTCATACCAGTTTGCATTGGCTCAGAGACAGAGGTACGTGGAAGGATACCTGGAGCCTTAACGGAAGCCTTACGACGTTCGGTAGTTTCGATTGGGCCTTTACCATCGATTGGGTTACCAAGGGCGTCAATGACACGACCAAGCATGGCTGGACCAACAGGAACATCGACAATTTGACCAGTACGCTTAACTGTGTCACCTTCACGGATACCACGGTCAGAACCGAAGACGGAAACACCAACGTTGTCAGCTTCCAAGTTAAGGGCCATACCGCGGACACCGGAAGCGAATTCAACCATCTCTTCGGCTTGGATGTTACGGAGACCGTAAACACGGGCGATACCATCACCGATGCCTTAAATGAGATTAGATGATTGTATTCTTGATCAATTTTACTTTAAAAACTCACTCAAAACACGGCCAGTCTCTTGGACATCACCAGTAGCGCCAACACCAGAGATACGTTGCTCAAGGATGTTTGAAACTTCAGATGCAGCTGGCTTGGCTGTTGCGTAAGTGCGGGCCAAAGCTGGGCGTGACTGTGGAGTGGAGTGAGTGGGCGTGTCGGTGCAAGTCAACCAATAAAATCTCACCATCTTTGCGAAGTTTACAACGCCACGCAATGCGGCAGGTCTGAATGCAGCTCTATGCATTTTTATCTTTTATTTGAGATGAAAGTTGAGCGGAATCCAGCTCAAGGCCGAGTTATGAGATTTTATTTGAAAATTTGAAGTCTAAATTGGAAGTGGTTAATATGATGGGAAGTATTCTAATTGTATAAATATCTAATTTATATCTTTTTTACTTTTCTCTCGGCTAGCTTGGATAAAGACTTACGAAATCCGATTATTGGATAGGTGGCGAGGGGTGCTTGGTGATTGTTGCTTTGAAATGGCTATAACACGCGTAAACTACATACCAACACACAGCTTATACTATCATTCTCTTATTCATCAATATCCGACGATATCCACCGTCTGTTTGCGTTGGGCATACAAAGCTGAATTTTTTTGAATTAAATCAGTTCTAGCAACTAAATTACCTTATAAATCTAATTTGCATCTCTTTATTCGAAGTTTCTATAAAAATAATCGACACAGCTATTTTTATACTCTAGGATCGCCATCATCATCCATCTCGCACGACTGGGACGATTGAGGCGTTTATCTTTAATTTATAGAAACATACACGCGACGCAACAGAATGGTAAGAAATATCCGCGTCTTGAATCGTTTTCTCTTACGCTTGTTGGTACAGGGCAGGCGTAAGATTACTATAGCTCCTTTGAAGGAGGATCGTAATAGATCAGTCACCTTTTTAAAGCGTAAGACTGGCTTATTCAAGAAGGCACATGAATTGGGTGTTCTATGTTCTGCAGATGTCGCTGTCATTGTCTTTGGTAATAACGGCAAGCTACATGAATTCTCTAGTGGAAATATTGAAAAGATTTTGATGAAGTATACGGAGCACTCTGGTGAAACTGAGCGTCGGGGGCCGCGCGATTTCACTGATTCAAATGAGAACGATGACAATGATAATGATATTGAGCAAGATAATGAGCATGATGATAATATGGAACATCATCAATCTACTCATTCACCGAGTGTTAGCGTTAGTGCAAGACAAGATGATAAAGACATCAAACCGCGCATCCAAGTCGATCAATTGGGTGATGAAAATGCTCACTCACCTTCACCGTCATTTACGCAAAACCATCCAGCGCACCCACCGCAGCTGCCTCGATCTCCAAAACCAATCTCCCCGAAACCACTTTCACCTTATCCTATGCCTTCGTCTTTCTTGTCTCCAAACTCACACACTCAACCACAGCATAATGAAACGTTTATGAATTGGCAATTTGCGCAGATGCAAGCTCAGATGATGTCACAACAGCAACAGCAACAGCAACAGCAACATCAACATCAACAGCAACATCAACAGAGAACAACTCAACCATCACCGCAGCAGCATTTCTTATCACCATCAACACACCTCCTCAATCCAAACTCACCCAATAGCTCTCATCCACCACCGCCGTTTTTTGCATCGCCAAACATGTCTAATATGCCAGGTATGCCATGGTACGCTCCCATTCCACCTGTAGCATGGCCACCACCTCCTGCGCCTCCCTCTCAACTACCAAATTCCATGTTCATGGATCCCTTCCAATTCCCCTTGGAGGGATTTGGTGGCTCATCAGAAACTCCATTCCAGTGGCCGATTTCAAATAAAGATAGTAGCAACGATAACAGTAGCGCACAAAATCCTCAAAATCCTCATGCCCATAAATCAGCTGGTTCTGATACGGCTGCAAGCACAACAACGACAGCGACACCTGTCAAGACGGAAGATGACTCACCACGACCTGGAAAGCGAACGCGAAAAAGTTAGTGTGCTCAAGTTCAAGGTTGAACTGAAATTGAAATTATGGATGGACACTTTTCGTGCTTTTCAACTTATAAAGATAATTAAACAGATTTTTTTTATGTCGCTTTATTTCATAGATGAACACTTTTCACTTTGTTGAAACTAAAGTTGTATCTGCATTTTTAGCCTGTCGATAGAAAAGCTGTTGTATGTGAGACACGGTAATATCCTGCAAAATTCTGAAATTTAAGCAGAGATTTGCAGGGACGTTGAGAGGAAGGGTACATCCACTTCTCATTCTCAATAAGTCTGAATCGATGATACCTTTAAGCCTAAGATTCTGATTTAGATTTTGAGTGCATTTAAGTATTGTTGCATCTGAATAATAATGCACAAGTTATCAGTGTATTACAGTAATATTAAGCTATAGTACTTTTACTCGCATCTTTTCAATTATAGTGAGACTATCCTTGTTGGTGGCAAATTTAGCAGACCTTCTTGATGTCTTTTCAACGAGACACCCAAAATTGAAAAGTACCAAAATCGTATTGACAGGAGCATTCTCAACTGAGGTTTGCGTCGCTATCATATCCCTACGCCAAGAACATGTCTTGATATCAAATTGTACAAGAGTTATTTCTCATTCACTCACTTATGAAATTACCTTGATAAAATATTGCCAACAAAACACATAAATACTTGTCAAAAACAAACTTACAAGACATCCTGACTCCTCTTCAAATCCCAATCAATCCGCTCGCTAATCTGTTTTATATTGCTAACGATGTGATCTTGCACATCGTCGCCATGACCAGCAGCGATTTTGAGAATGATTTGATTCAGGGGAGTTGAGCCGAGTATATCGACATGGTCGCCTGTGTTATCCCCACCTCTAAGATCGAGACTATCAGGCTGATGTTCCACTTCATACGTAACTATCCGGCTGTTGCCTGGGTTGTAGCGTCTATCTTCGCGCCTCCAACCTTCCGCACACATTGCACCTAGAGATGTAAGCGACACTGTGCCATCGCCTTGACCAAATTTGACGCCATTCGATACACTAGGCGTAGTACTGTCAGTGCTAAAGTCATTTTCGATGGCGTGTTGAGACGTTAATGGCAAATCTTCTTGCGATTCATGCGTAACAGTGCAATTTTCCGCCTCACATCGTCCCACCTCGAGATCAGACTGAAGCTGCTGATGCGTCTTGGGTCCTTCGCTGTAATAGTATGAACGCTGAAGATATTTCATTAGAGGCGTTCGTTGCTTAGATTTTCGGTTTAAAGTCTTCCCACTTACTTCTGTTGGTTTACCCACACCGTAAACACAGTAGATGGACATCGACGGCGCATTTGGGAGACGCGTTTCGAGGGGATTTGACCATTTAGTAGGATCATTGTTGTTTGCATCAAGCTAGAAAAATGTGAGTCTTATTGTCTTCATACACACCACGCATCACCAACCTTTTCCTCATCGATCTCAATACCGTATGAATAGTTGGTCTGCATCATCTTCTGCCAAACTTGAGGCGTATTGCTTAGTATGTAAGGATTAGATTCGGACATGGTGTAGTTGGTGCGAGTGTTGTTAGCGGCGTGGTTGTCGCGTATAGATAAAAAGCGGCCTGGATTGTTCACATTAGTGAGTAGCCGCCACTAGAGCACCCACGCACCATACGTGTCTGTCGTGTTGGCTGGATCGTCAGGCGCACTGTTCTCGTCACCCCACACTGCATCACCCCCCTTCATCCACATACCCGCTATACCAAACCACGAGCGGAAGAGATCAGCGCGCTCCTCCTTGCTGAAGAACTTCTCGAGAGCGTATGCCCCAGCGGGATTCAGCTCCACAGTGTCTTTCATCTCACCCGAAAGGAGTGCTGTCATAGCTGATGGTGGAGTGGTGGCGTCAACAAGGCAGCTCAGCTTAGCTTTGAATATCCCACTCACCCTTGGGCACACCGAGTAGTGTGCCGGATATGTTTATTAGAGACTCTATGTGATCCTCTACCCATCGATCACCACCCCCGCCATATCCTTCCGCTTCTACCCATTTGAAGAAGTACTATGCGTGGTTTAGTACTGTGTTGAGCTCAGAGCTCTTCTCGCTCCACTCACAAGCAAAACTGTGCCACCCATCGAATGTGAAGCGAGCTTGAATGGTGTGTTAAGGAAACGAAACGCAATCAACGCCTGCAGTTCCTCTCACAATTGTCTTTTTGCCGTGTATCTTTTTGTTCAGCTCTATGCGACTCTTTACTCGCGTGAAGTAGCTGTCGCGGTTTTCGAGATTCGTGTAAGCAAGTCTCCAGCTGGCAGGGACGTCATTGGAATGTCAGACGAAGACATGCTAACACTCACTCATATGCAGCCATTTCGAGATCTTGAATATCATATTAGATGGCCAAGTAGTGTACTAGTGTATGAAAGAACCTACTATTTGTATCGTCTGGGCTGTGTTAATGTTGGTATTGCGTATTTCTCCACTCACAATTGATGCATGCCAGATTCTCTATAATGGGTCTCCAGACCCAGTATCTTAGTGGGTCATTAGAGAGTTGTTGCTAGTAGACGCCCACTCACCCTTGCATGAACATACTCGCCGCATCGAGACCTTGCGCAGGTCTGACGCGTACACCAGCAGGATCTAAACCAGTGTCGCTTTCTCGGATTAGGAACGCACTCCGCCGCTAATATTTCCACCCACCAATCGAGAGAAATTTGTCTAATCCACTCATTTTTATCCGCGAAAATACTCTTAAACATGCTAACATGTATGAGCGTGCTAAAATACAATCTGAAGAACAGACCCACGTATGTGTACCCCAGATCCGCTGTCTGAAACTCGCCAGGCTGCCTGCATCTGTTGACCAGGACTCGAGACCGGTAGTGATTACACCCGGGAAGAGCATCAAAGGGCTGTTAGCAGTAAGGCCATCTTCAGCAGCTGCCAAACCAGTTTTGAAACCGCGCGAGCTGAACCAGAGCTTAGCATCACTGATGCGTGTGGTGAGGTCATCGAAGAGGTACTCCCACTGAGCGCCCAGACCGGATAGATCAAAGTCAGGCAGATCAGCCAGTCCATTTGGGAGAGGGGCGAGTATTATAGATGCCAATGCAAACCCAATGCTGAGAAATAGGGGTAAGAGGAAGCGTCTAGTTTTCACGACGCGTTTCGTGCGCTTGAACGCGCCTTTGCGGTTGGCTTTGTCGTTTTCGCTGTGTGCTTGAGCGTGTTGAAGGAAAGGGATCTGTGGGGCGTGAGGGAGTGTGTGCGTGTCGATCGAGCTGCGTACTTCGGACAAGTCGACTGAAATTGAGTACTGTGAGAAAAGCCGGGAGTACACGAGAAGACGTTCTACCCACTCTCGTGCAACGGCGTTCCTGGCGCAACCTGCCAAGATTAAGCAGCGAATCGAGTAATAAGCTTCTACGCACCACCGAATATGATTTACGGCGAGGATCGTGCCTCAATTTCACCTGAAGCTCAGTGGCCTTCAGTTGTTCCTCTTTCTCCTTGTCCTGTCCCGCTTGCTGCATTTTCCGGCGCTGATAGATGCCCATCCGAGGAGATGGAGATGGCTGTTAATCACCAACGAACTCAACCAATCAAATCGATCCATCGGAATGGCAGCACTCACGCATTTGGATTTAACTTACGTGCAATATACGCTGGACTCCCACGTCAGCTTTCTTCTGGCTCACGTCACGTTGTTGCCCTTTGTGTGCGCATAGCCCTGGGATACACCACGACCGCTCACACCACGCAGCACTCTCAGCGCATATGCTGCCTTGGTATATTTCAACAGAGACGCTGTTATTCTCAACGCGTTCGCCGGACAGCTCGCCAACGAGGGGCTGAATTTGGTGCTCAAGCGGTTATTCAGAATACGCAGACAAAGTGAGAATACGGTTTCTTTGTTTATATAGCGCTAATAGCCAAAATCCCAGCTATCGGCAATGGTTATGGTATGCCTTCCTCTCACGCTCAGTTCGCAGCGTATACAGCCACTTTCATACTGCTACACCAGTACACTCGTCTGGGAAGGGTAGATTTGCAGGCGTGGTGTGCTTGTGCCGTCGCTCTCCTCGTCGCTTACAGTCGACACCACCTCAGCTACCACACCACCAACCAGATCATCGTAGGCTGGGCTATCGGTGCCCTTTTCGCAGTTTTCTACTTCAATCTCACTGAGGTTTCGTGTGGGTTGCGTGTAAGAAGGAAGTCTCTGCTGGGGAAGCTGTGCGGGATGCTGAGACATACCAGGTTGTTCATCGTGCATACCCTTTCGCTCAACGATCCAACACTAAGCATTAGGCGGAGTTGATGTGAATTTGTGCATCTCTGTATGCGCTTATGTATGCGTATATCTAATTATATACATGTTGACAATGCAGGTGTTTTGTTATGTGCAATATCTATACGATCCGAGGCAGTGAAATTGATTGGTATGATCCTATTATGTTGGAAATAAGATATCGTTAGTTGAATTGTTCCGTTCTATGCGTGGAAGTGCAAGTCTCAAGTGAAATAAAAGGTGGAAAGTGAAAAGTGAAAAGTGAAAAGTGAAGAGAAGAATCCGTTCCGCCATAGGTCGCCTCACTTGGAAGCCTTGCCGGCTTCTCCGTCGCCCTTCTCGTCTATAGACAACCTCGGTGATTCCTGATCCGAGAGGTTGTAATTTACAAACTCGTTCTCGTCCTTCTCATAGTAATGCAGCTTCGCGACGACGGGAATAGCCAGTATAATACCTACGAAAAGACCGATGAAGTTAATGTAGATGTGCACCGTCGATGTAGTATCTACTCTCTGGCTGATGGCCCATGCTACCGTCTGACCCAACGCCTCTGCCGAACGCAGGATACAAACGTAGGTAGAGAGGTTGTTCACACCACACGCATAGTGGCCCACAACCCAATAGAGGTAATTTTGAGAGCCCTGCAGAGGATTAGAAGGTTGTATTTGGAGCCGTCGCCAACTCACCTGACCGACGAAAGTCATAAAAAAGACGACAGGGAAAGCTCTGTTAAATTCATAGGAAGCACCAGTGAAATCGAGCGCAACTGAGTTATTTGTACCGTAAATCGATCTAATAACAGCTATCCAAGTCCACAGACCCATCTCGCAGAAGAAAAGAATGGCCAACATAGTCAGGCCTTTGGTCTTCTCACTCCAGCGCTTGCTATCGAGGTAGAAGCCCATCAGGACGGAGCTGATAATGGCACCGAATGGGCTAATAAAGCTGGAGAGTGCACGTGTGCGTACGTTAAAGTACAAACTCGTGTAGTTGGACTGATAAGCGTAGTAAAAGTAGCTCATGAAGAAGAGAGGTAGGAGCATGAAAACGCGTGGTTCTCTAAAAGCCTTCAACGTGCGCGTCATCTCAGTCACCAATCCATCTGTTTGGCGCATTTCTACTTTCGATCCGTCGCGTCTGTAAATGTTGGATGGGTTGGGGAAGAGGAAGGCTATTGCAAAGCCAGCAGCCATCAAGCTGAAGAAGACAATGTAGACGTTGGGATTTACTTTGCCTGAGTCGTACGAGTGTACGTTGAAGCCTAAACTGATGGAACCACCAAGTGCGAGAGGTGCAAGGTTCTTGGCCACACCCCACAACGCCAAGTAGCGTCCTCTATCGTCATTGGATGGGAGTGATGAGAAGATGGTACCCTCGGCAGCCCAGAATGCAGCGGCGCTGGTGGTTGTTAGCGGGTAATCAAGTGAGTGTTGTGAACACATACCTAATTCCACAGAGTACACTTCCACCTATAAGAAATCCGTCGTTGTGGGCGATGGAGTTGTAGTACAACGCGGCGCCATCTGGGTTGAATTAGAACGAATACGGCACATTAAGAGCCACCCACAGACGCAGAAGAAGGCGCATCCAAGAATAAGCACCGGTTTGAGGCCGATATACGATATAACAGGTGCAGATAGCAGGATACCGACAGTCATGAGGCCGTATACGAGTGCGTTGGCTACGGCGATAGCTTTGACACTACCGAAACCACCTGCGCCAAGATTACCGATGCCTTTAGAGGATAGTGTGAGTGAGGGTGTAAATTGGCTGTTAGTTGAGCTCACAATCAAACATTCCTGTGTGGCGTTAGAAGGCGCTTGATAGGTATCATGCAACTCACCAGGCTCGCATAGTGTCAAGATATTGGCAACCAGGCCTGCGTATGTTACAGTGCTGTAGAAGCCAGGTTTCTTGAAAATCTGCATATCTGGTGAGTCTGTGGGTGTTGAGGATGGTATGAGTACACACAGCCATTTTTATTAAGTGGGGTTGGAATAAGGCGTAATCACAATCACTTAGTAACAACACTTGCTAACCGAAGAAGATTTCACCCAATCGAGTATTAGCACGCAATCAGTAACTGGATTAAAATTAGCAAAGAAATTGTAAATGATGAGTAAATATACATTGATATATCTTCATATCGCTTTATTTGGATTCATTTGATTGTATTTTACTTGATATTTATATCACATTACAGCCACAGACACGCACATCAACAAGCCCAGAGGATGACGATATAAAGCATGAATTGAATTGATCATGCTCATGGATACGCGCTCAAGCTTCAAGCCCCTCTATTCATGTAAAGCCAGAGCATATCCCACGACAACCTTCACAGTCGTATAAACAGCACACAGAGAAATACAAAGGATATACTCTAGCGCTCTGTACTTTTAAATAAAATATATTCACCGTCCACTCATTTCACAATAAATTTTTATCTTATATTTTTCGATGGGAAGGCAAAATTTGGATGAAACTTTCTTCAAGCTTTACGTAGTTGTCAGTAAGTATAGAAATGGGAGAAAGCATGCGTGGTAGCGGATAAGGGATTAGCTTATTGAATTTATATTACATTCTCGTTGTTTCTCGTTCTTCGGCGGTGTTGGTGGTGTTGTTGGTGCTGCTTTTTCTCCTGCTTCTTGCTTCACGCCGCTCCTTCTCCTGGATTCCCTACACTACCCCCTCTAACACACCTCTTAGTGCCATTCAAGAGACGTGCTCACGGTCGTAACAAGCCAGGCGCTTCAAGAGGTCACGTCAAGGGTGTCCGTTGCTCCAACTGTCGCCGTATGGTGCCAAAGGACAAGGCCATCAAGAGATTCACTGTGAGGTGAGTTTGAGTAGTTTCTACAGTCAGATCAACCTACTAATCCCTCATAGAAACATGGTCGAAGCTGCCGCTGTCAGAGATATCTCTGATGCCTCCGTCTACGCTGAATACGTCGTTCCAAAGCTCTACCTTAAGGTCGCTTACTGCGTTTCTTGCGCTATCCACTCTAGAATCGTTAGAGTCAGAAGCCGTGAGGACCGTCGTAAGAGAAGCCCACCAGCAAGACCTCGTTTCAGAGATGGCAAGAAGGTCAACCCAGCTGTTGTTTCCCAAATGGACCCAAGAGCTGGCGGTAACCCTGCAAACCCACCTGCACCAATCGCAGCTAACGGTGTCAAAGCCTAATTGTAATGTACAGAAAGTTTGCATGAATTCGCTACAAATATAGCTTGAAATCTTATAGGCTTGTCTTTGGAAATGTGTTTAGAAGTTCGTGCATTGAAATTTGTCTTCTCCCTTCAAATTTAGAAGCAAATTCGAATAAAAAAGTATTGCAGTAGAGGGTTGAAATTCTCTATTGAATTGAATATAATGACTGTTAATCGCGTTGAAAGTATTCTTAACAATCTACGCTCATATGCTCAGTGGGCGTACAAGGCTAGCTCTACTGAGATATCAATTAAAAGACTTTAATGCATTTGTATCGAGCTACAGTGAGTGCTATTGCCTAATTTCACCGCTTAACCTCACGAGCTTCTCAGGCCACAGCCAATACAGGTGAATTGATGGCTACCGTACATTCATATAATACTCACAGCTTCTACAGCACACTACAAAACACTCCAACAAGCTCAACTCCCTCCACAAGTCAGACAGTGGCAACAACAACACCGTCAACCACGAAATCCTTAAAGGACTCCCACTCAAACCTCAATCAAGCTTTGAGCTCTGGAAGCTACCAAACCATTATCAGCACTCTCAAACTTCATTACTTTTCTTCAACCACGCCTTCTTTTCCTCCTTACGCCGTGTCTTACACCCTCGAACTTATCCTTGCTGACCCAATACCCGATCAGCGTACTCTCGACGCCGTTCTGCTCCTATTCAAATATTCCCGCAGAATAGACGCTGTACCTTACGACACTAGCGTCGTCGAGTTGTTCGCCAGAGTTTTCACCCATATCGGTGAATATGACCGTGCACTTAAGATTATACGTTCCTTGAAGCGCCTTAATAGGTATGTTGGTGTTGATGTCATGGAGTTCGTTGCTCAGTCCATGGAAGCGTCCCAACATAACGCGTTGGCTCTACGCACTCTCTCCATGATGGCTTACGACGATATTCCAACTGTCGGTATTCTCAATATACGTCTACGCTGCTCTATTGCTTGTGAGGAATTCAATGCGCTTAATTTAGTCGAATTCGAGCATTTCAACATATCCCCAAACCAGGATACCTACCATGCCCTCATATTTGGACATCTTCTCAACGGTAACCTCGCTCAGTCGAAATTTTACCTCGCACAGATGCATAGAAGTGGCTACACTGATAACGTCGCCACTCATCTCGCGATTCTGCGCGCATATAGAACACTCGGCATAGACACTACTCTGGAACATAACGCTCTCAACGATACTGCCAGACTTGGTTTGAATGCCGATGCAAGGGTCTTGAATGCACTCATGATGTTACGTATCGACGCCGAAGATGACAGATTAGCGTTGAGGATATTCGAGAAATTCTTCAACCACTCCATAAGGCCAAATACAGACTCATTAGAGGAGCTAGTTAAGGATGCTTTGGAGTCGCGTAATATTGCTTTCAAGAAACCCTTGCCGGATGCAGCGACATATGCAATAATTATACAGATTTACGCTCGCAATAACAATCTCGCACGGGCTATATCCTACTACGAAGATTACAGACGATATATAGTCAGAGATAACCGTCATGTCGAAGCTGCGCTAGTGAGTGCGTACGTCTCCAATGGAGAAACATCCACTGCACTGTGGAAGCTCAGGAATGGTCAGATACGCACTACGACAAAATCTATCAATGCTTTACTTAAAGGTAGTCTCTTAACGATGGGAATGGATGGCTTATACATGGCTCTAAGACTGTTCAGGCGGTTCCGTCGCAAACCTGATCAAAAGACATTGGAACTAATTTTGCATCATCTGCATGACTTGCATATGCCGCCTTCTAAACTTATACGACTTCTCAACAAATTCATCAATATGTCGTCGCATAGAATTACACTAAATACGCGCCTATTCAACATTATACGTCTCTCGACTTCTGATCACGTAAAGGCATTGGTATACGATCCATCTAAGGGAATACAGAGACGCACACCTGGTGTAGGTAGAAAATCGCCAACATATATACCTTCGTACGAATCCATATCAAGAATGCAAGAATATCTCGAAAACAAGGGCATGAACGATGACAGTATGTCGGTAGCTATCAAGATGCGTCTGTTGGCAGTAGCTGGTGATTTCGACGAAGCCAAGGCCATGTTGAAGGAAGTAATTGGCAGCGGCTACAGACCCAACAAATATCATTTCGGCGCATTGATAGGAGGTGCGACTCAAAATCGCAACTTTGAATTAGCGCAATCGATAATAAGTCAGGCAGCTAGATCGGGTGTACAGCCTAATTCTGCTATGTTTTCAACCATAATGGCCGGATATGCCAAGGCTGGGATGTTTCAGGAGGCTTGTGAGATGTTTGATTGGATGCTAACCAAGAAAATGAAGGTGGGAGTGCGTACGACGCAAGTACTCATCAAGACACACCTCGATGCGCGTATGCCAGCTAAAGCACTCAAATTTAGTAAGTGGTTGGGTGAGGATACTACACGGCTCGACGATGGCACTCTCGCAACGCTCTACCGTCTCTACGACTATCACGGTATGTATAGAGAGGCAGATGAGGCAGTGAAGCATGTTACACACCCCACCAAGCAGCTCAGGGATGCAGTACGCTTGATGAAGAAACGCAGAATGAAGCTGAAAGTATATCAAGAATACAACAGATCGTTCTGGTCTAAACTTAATAGTCAACCTGGTCCGTATAGGACATACGACAGCGAACAGATCAAAAGACTGATTATAGAGTGGGGCAAGGTATGGAATAGCTCGAGAAAATCGGGGGTGTATAGAAGAGGGGCTAAGTTGTCGAGATACTCGCTCAGCAGATATAGAATCACCAGAAGTTTGTAATTTATGCTACTAGATACTTTAAATCACAAATGACGTCTTATCTTGACGTTAGATTGCGCGAGATAAGGTTGCAGCTTCAGCTAGAGCGTGATTCCGCATGTCAAAATTATACTTCACGTGGCTACTTGGCTTAATATAAAAGTTCATTCCGGTCTTGACGCACAAAAAAATACCGAAAACCAGCGAAACTTCTGCTCCGAGCATCAACCATCTTGATTACAGAAATGCTTCACTATAAAATCACACAAGCAACTGCTGCACTCTTTTTAGCTGTTGCTGCCTCAGCGCAATCTGAATCTGCTCAGTCTGCTCAAGTTCCAGTGGTTGACCTTTCAGCGCCCTACTCGACTAACGAAATTCCTGGAAATCGCAGCTTCGATGCGCCGTTCTTCGTCGAGGATGACACCTTCCCTAGGATACAAATATTCGATGAGAAGTTCAAGCAGATAGTGGGTGATGAGCCAACGATCCATTCCATCGCGAAATCTGCCAACGACTCATTCAACGCATTCCACGAAGCTCCACTTGTTCGAGGCGATCTTGTATACTTCAGTTCTAATGCAGGCAGTGGTGGCAGTGGCCCGGATCGGAATAACAGACTACTGCATGTAAACTTAACAGAGATTGAGGAATTGCACGGCGATGGTAATATTACTGTCACATACAACGAACCAAGTGACCGGATTCAAATGATAAACGGTATGGCGCCATATCTAAACGATTCAATGATTATTGCGACAGAGGGCCGCGAGAACGCCGGTGTCGAGCCTGGTCTTTTCCGCTACCAGCCTGAAACGAACACTACCACTCCCCTTCTGACAAGCTTTTATGGCAGAGTGAGTGAAAGGTTTTTCTGAGACAAGATCTAACGCGATGTGATATTCGATATTCACAGCGATTCGACTCTCTTAATGATCTCAAGGTGCGTTTTCTAATACATTTCGGTCTCAAGCTTACTTAATGCTTCGCAGATCCATTCATCCAACCAAGTCATCTTCGTTGACAGTCTTTATGGGTTCTTGCAAGATTTCGCACCGTTCCCAGAACTGCCGGAAATGGTTTACGCATTCGACATGGATACTGGCAAGGTTAGGCCGTTAGCTACAGACTTTGTGCATCCTAATGGTATAGCATTGAGTCCAGATGAGTCGGTAGCCTATGTGTAAGTGTGGAGCGTAGAGTGGTAGAATATAATCTTCGGATTAACACACCCCGCAGCACGGACACAGGTGCTCAAAATGGCACTGTCAACACTCATCTTCCAGCCAGTATATACGCATACGACATCAAGAACGAAGATGGCTTCCTCACATTCAACAACCGTCGTATCTTCGCACATGCATTGACGGGTGTTCCAGATGGTATACATTGCGATGATGAGGGTAACGTTTGGTCTGGCGTTGGTGATGGCGTCGCAGTGTGGGATAAGCGCGGTGAGTTATTGGGCTTGATCAACATTGGAACCACATCTGCCAACTTCGTCCTCGTCGGGGATGGTCTCATTATCGTTCTCGCTGAGACTGAGATGTTTGCTGTGAGGTTAGACTCATCTCTCAATCCCGCCAAACTTCACTATGCGGAGTAGACATAGGCATTCGGATTAATAGAAATCTCCAGTTAATCATACATTTGCTATTTACATCATGTCTCAAAATTTTCAACCGAGAGTTTTGACACATCTGCACTGTGTGCTTTGCCTAAAACTAGCTCAGAAAGAACTAGTCCAGTCCCAGGTCCGAGTGAGATCCCCCAGGGACCCATGCCGGAGGCGACAAAAACATCATCGCCAACCAAGCTCTTCAATGAAGATATCATAGGGCGTTTCTTGTAGGTTATTGGGCGGTAGCATAGCTACAAGGGTTAAAGAAGCACTTAAAGCTGCCTAAGACTCACCTGCTTCTTAACTACCTCTGCACCGGCTAGTGAAGGACCAAGTTCGTACACGGCAGCTCGCAGCTTGTCCCATCTTTCTTCCTGTGTTAGGGCAAGCTCTGCAACTTGTCCAGCATTTGGAGGTAGCTCTGGCCCTTCGTTCTCGCCAGCAACATATACAGTCCCATCCAATCGACTGAACAACTCTGGCGTGCCGCTCATTGCATTCTCTACACTATCGTAGCCGAGGATAGTGGTGAATGCGGCATGAGCTGATGGCATAGACGTCGGACGAAGAACAAGTGAGTAGCCAGGCAACGCCTCAATCGGAAGATGGGCTTGAGTGTCGAACAGTGTGTCAAAAACACTCGATGTCCATGGTCCAGCTGCTAATACAAGCTTATCAGCAGGAATGCTCTCCCCGCTTTCCAGCGTAACAGATTTGTTCACGTATTCCTTCACTGAGCCTTTAACTACTTTGACGCCATTCTTTTTCGCTTCTTCTAAAATACTCGTTGTGAATAGATATGGCTCCACCTGAGCAGTGGTATCCTCATCTGACACCATCTCATGGCTAATCACACCTCTTGCATCCTCTAATGGCTTTGAGATCCAATCGATGTTGGACTCGCCCTTGGGTGGTGGTCGAGGTCTGAATGGCTAATTGTATAATGAGACATTTGACTAAAGTTATGCTATGCACACACCTCCTCGCCATCATGCACCACATTAGCTTTCGGCTTGGAATTTCCAGTAGCTTGTGTTGCTTTTAAGACGACATTGGATGTTTGAAGAGCTCTATAATGCCAGCGCGTTCTGCCGTCGAGTTCTTCAGCAAGCCTTTTATGTAAGTCGTAGGACAGATACCCTAAACTCTCAGTCGCACTTGCGTGCCAATCTTTAGCTAGGAAACCGCCTGCTTTACCAGAAGCTGCACCGGCAATTTCAGCGTTTTCAACTATAGTCACATCCACGTTGTCTTCTTTGCTTAGATAGTAAGCGGTACACACTCCAACTATACCGCCACCGATAATCACTACATTTGTTTTAGACATATTCAAGTCGGGTAGCAACCGACATATGACTACATATATCAGATAAGACTGGAGCTCCGATGAAAATCCGACGAAAATTTTGTACAGCGTATATGGATAATAAAAGGAAGGTGAGTATACAAGTTATCCGAATGTGAGATTGTTTCTACTATTAGAGCATCTAACCCGGTGAGAGATAATAAAAAAATATTAGAGATGAGTGAGCTGAATTTGAACAATTAAACAAACTAGTGCTTGTAATGCACTTCGTTCTCCGTGTTTTGGATGTTTGGCGATTCTAATGGAACGCTGTGAACTGTATGTGTCTTGTCGTGTTCATCACTATCATCGTCGAATGACTTTTCATCAAATCTAGACGTGCCACCTGAAGATCTCAATCTTTCTCTTCTCATGGAAGAAGTAATAGATTCAGCCTCCATTTCTTGTTGATAGTCATCATCATAATAGCTTTCATCGTCGTCATCTCCCCTCCAGAACCTCTTGTCACCTTTAGCGAGACGCTTCATCCAAGGTGGAACAAAGTATGCTCTTTGAGTTTCCCAATAGACATCCTTGCGGTCCCAGTCTGGTGGTGAGATCTTGTTCTTGGTGAGGTATCTAATAGCAGCTGGAATGGAGTTGAGTGCAACGTATGAGCAAATACCAGCAATAAGACCATAAGCAATGTTGTACGAGAGTGGCATCATAATGACTGTTAAGAACGCTGGAATGGCATCTCCGAGATATCCCCAGTTGATATCAACAATGTTCTTCGCCATCAGTGATCCGACAATGACCAGTGTACCACCAGTTGCCCATGATGGGAAGGATGCGAAAATTGGTCCGAAGAAAATAGAAATGAAGAAAAAGACTGAACATGTGAGGGCGGTGATACCAGTTTTACCACCTTCAGCGATACCAGCAGCAGATTCAATGAAAGCTGTAGCTGGCGAACTGCCCATGGTAGAACCAATCAAAATGGATAAACCATCAGCAGTGTAAGCCATTGTTGAGTTTTCAAAGTCGAGTGTGCGCTCGTTCATGACACCGGCAAATCTAGCCATGGAGTAAAGAGTTCCAGTTGCATCGAGCAAATCGACATAGAGGAAGGAAATGAGAGCGATCCATGTATGACCATCGCCGTAGTCAAAGTTGAGGACACCGGCTGATTGCTTGATTGACCTGTATGTGACGACTTGCTTGAAGAAGTCGAATCTCGATTGACCTTCATCGGTGTACGGGAAATAAGTCACTGGAGTTGGTCTTGGCCATGAAATGATAGAAACTAAAATGATACCGAGGAACATGGCACCCTTGACACGGTAGAGCATCATGTACACAGTTACTACACCACCGCAGAATATACCAAGCCACATGGTAGGTGATCTCATAGTAACAGAATCACCGCATGAAGAAGATCCATCTGGACAACCGGCCAAACCAACGATATTTGAAGGGTCTTTTCCGATGACGTTCAAACCAGAACCCGAAAGTCCGACAAAAGCAACGTAGAAACCGATACCAGCACCTGCGGCGAGTGCAACAGAACGAGGAACCAAACGAGCAAGCCAAGCACGAACACCGAGCATAGCCAAAACGACAAAGATGACACCTTCCAAGAAGACAGCACCAAGCGCAGTTTCGTAGTTAACTCTACCACTGTTATTTGGACCGACGACAGCGTTTGCGAAGTAGGCGTTAAGACCCAAACCAGGACCGACGGCGACAGGGAGATTAGCCATAAGGCCCATTAACAAAGAACCAATGCAAGAGATAGCAGATGTTGCAGTAATCATATCCCTGTAAAAGTCTTCTGTGCAAGAACTGTACCCGGGGTCGTCGCAGCCTTGAGCGTAGTCGGAGCATCTGCAAGTACCACCGCACTGTCTAAGAATATTTGAGTTTACAGAGATAATGTAAGCCATAGCAACTAATATTTTGTCAGTGGAGTAGCTCCATTACCAGAGAAGACGCACCGAATGTTGTAATTCCAGCACGAATTTCTTGGGTGAACTTAGCACCAGCGCGTGCCTTCTTGTGGCCTGCCAGAACGCTTAGCCTCGTTTGCCATTGCAACAGCCCACTCACCAGAACCATCCAATCTGAAGTAACGTCCAAACCAACTATCCGCGATCCTGTCGTTTGCCGATTCATTCCAATTCGAAAGGCGTTCAGCAATCTTGCTGGGCATTTTGTGGTACACTCCTCGGGATTTGTGTGAAGAGAGGTGAAATGTCAATCTAAGAATCTCATTTAAATATTTTTAATTCTTCAGGAACGGGCGAATTTACGATCGAATTAATGCCTTATAGATACATTTTGACCTTGAGATTTCATTGGTGGTACTCTCGCCACTCAATTCTGCCAATTTTCAACCTTAAGACATCCGATTATTGACATACTCTTATCAGGACCACTCCTTATCAGATAGGAGCAGACGGATACACGCATATCGGACCCGCTATCTGCAGCACTGATCGCAATCCAACGCCGATGCACTTTACTGCAACTGATACTGCACTCGCTGTCACTGATTCTGTGCCCTTAATTCGTCAATTTGTAAGTCCGTGCGTTATTAATATGTATGAATCTACACCGGCTTCTTAAACAGCGTTTATATATGCTTTGTATTGCTTTTTGAATGTTTTTCAGTTGACACTATCAATCCGCATTATCATCTCAGACAAGTTCCGTAATTAAACGCTAATTTTGAGACAACCGTGATGGCTTTACGGGTGGATAGAGCGTGAATGCTGGCAAATAAAACTTTATGAATAATACAACTAAATCTACTTGCAATCATTCCACATACTCCTCTCCCAGAATTAGGGTGTTTCATAGCCGACTCTTTCGGCAGATGCATCAAAACGCAGTAATCATCATTACTGAAACATTTGTCATGCATAAGCGTGCACATGTTCGTATGGTTCAACGTTCCCGATTAATCGATTCATGCATCAACATTCCAATCTCTCTAAAATCTTTTCATAAATAGCACACTCCACTTGTTCACCCGATTGCTTGATTCCACCCGAGCTTACCACCCCAGCATCTCCACATGCGCTCGACCACTGCTCTCTTATCGATCACTTGGAGTTGTGGTGCCTCTAAGGATGCTAAGTCTTCGCACAAGCCTCTCCGCAGACGCTTGTCATTGATATCTGATGTACTTTTGCGCATTATTGATGTAGCAAGCAAAAGGTGACCCAGTGTCTGTTGTGGCAGTGGTGACTGTGACGATGGCACGAGCAGACAGTCTATCCGCCTGATACACTCAAACAGCTCAAGACGACGTCTCAAAGAGAGCTCTTTTTTGCCAATTACCAATCCTAATCCACGCGATAGCCAACTACCAACAAAGTAGACAATCGCGAGCGATGGCGCAACTCCCACAAAGCCGAATGTCAGCTCTTGCGACTTGAGGAGGGCGTCTAGTTTGGTCATAGTAGTGTCGACATCGCACTTGACTTTTTGTATCTGAATCAGCAGCGCTCTGACCAGTTGACCGAACAATGCTGATTTGAATGGCGTCTTCATCTCGTTTTCATACACTTGTAGCACAGCTGACAAGTCACCTTTGCGGACGTTCTCACCTAGCTCCAGTAGTTGTGCATCAGATAGTTTGAGATTGTCTTTGCCTAACTCTTTCACCATTCTCTCCAGACTAGCTATGTCACTCTCGAGACCAGCTTCAGTGACGCCCAATCCATGACCACCGAATCTGATAGTACTGATTATGTGTGATGCAGGCTCTACAACCCAACTTTGTATGAACCCTTTTACAGTCTCACTAGCATCTCTCAAGTACGCCTTTACAGCGTCTTGCGATCTCAGCACCACCCTAGCTGCAATGAGCAGAAGAGGGGGACCGACGACAAATTTTGGCCAATTGCGAATGAGCGTGGATGGTCTTTTGTGATCTTGCACGCGCTGTTGAATGCTGGTTGTGTGAGATGGTATAACGCTATTCACAAGCGTCTTTAAATTGTCCAAGATTGCTTTAAATGAGGTTGATTCGCTTACTTTTACGCTTTTTTCCTTATCAAGTGAGCTCAACACGCTCGTTAAATGTTTGATCCAGCTGTTAAGGTCACCACCGAGACTTCTACCGCTGACGCCACCATTTCCGGGTCCAAATCCATACTTAAGTCCATCAAACGATGCTAACATACCGACAGAGTTGGCAATTTCATCCTTCAACGCTCCCAAATCATCCACATGGGACTGTAACTCAAACTTGAGCAAATTGAGGGGTCTGGAAGTGAGCGTGCGCAGATTAAGCGATAATCCAGCTTGGCTATAAGGAAAAAGGGAAAACATAGATGGTTGGGCATTCTTGGCGTAGTTAAAAGCGCGATTGGGCAAAGCTGGAGGATTTTAGGTTAGAATCTTGATCTGTAATGGCTCACCCACTTTGTAATAGATAATTGTACGACTTGAAACGAGATTCGAGCATTCTTTCCCAAAAATTACTCAAATCATTCAGCCTTACTGAGTGATGAAGCAGCGTCTCGCCGACGTTATCATACAGCACCAGCGTAACTCTGGCAAGCAAAAGCCACTCAAGCTCACTCTCGCCCTGCTTTATATCTAGGCTGTCTAATGCTTTGGAAGCAGCCTCAAGCGAGTGATCCTTCACCAGCATATTGAGTAGCTTCGAGATTTTGTCTCCACTTTTAAGCGCTTTTTCTGATATTGGAAATGAATCTAGCTGCAAGCTTAGGCTGCCTAGCCTGTCACTCAAATGTGACGAACATGTCCGTGAGGTCATCAACGTCGGAATCAGAGAGGTACAATTAGTGGTATGAGGTGGTTTTGTATATTCCCTCAGTGCTTGTTGGTCATTAACTCACCCATTCCATTTGCCTTGCGCTATGGCCTGTCAGTGCCTGAACCACGGCGATCAGCGGCAACTCAGGGCGGCAACAAGGTCAACTTTATTAAAAGGATCCACGTCAATTGATTAAATAGAATAATTATTATATAAGACAAATAATGTATTACAGGTTTGGTATCACAGGCACATTTCCGTTTATTGCTCTTTTCTATACTTGTCTCTAGATTGGTCCATCTTGCTTCTTATGTGGGAGTCATTTAGTATTGAAGAGCACGTCTCCATCAAATTATCTTCATCTTCCGGTATGAAAAAGTTAGACAAACTGGTGAGTATTGTCTCAAAGTTGGATTCCTTGTCTATTATGTTATGCCTCAATGACCATAGGATGGATATTGAAAACGCAACAACAGCATCTGGACCGTAGAATATCATCAAATCCCAAAATCTTATTTGGGTTTTGAACGGTACTGTGTTTGCGAATAGCGTAATGTACCATTTAGTAGCATATGAAGTTGGTGGTACATTCTCCTCATCTAGCTTTACAAACACTTTTGGCATTGTCAGCTTGACAATTTCATCCTGTACGTGCAGATGTTCAAGCAAACCAGGGAACCCATGTTTGAATACGTTGTGCATTCCGTAATACTTGTCTAGTAAAGTTAACATTGCGTAAGCCTTTTCAGGTTCGTAATAACACAGCAATGTAGCAGCTATCGGGCCCATTCCCTGACAATATCCATTCGGCTGTAGGGAAAATGCATGTAGCACGTGAAATAAGTTGCGTTGACCTAACCCATACCTGCTGTGAAATAGTATGTGACCACTTATCGTTCTAGGTACGTCTAAATCTATCTGTATATCGTAGCTCGACGGCTCAGCTTGTCTATCATAATACTGTCTTATGAGGGATTCTATGACTGATTTGCTCGAATTCCCTGAGTTACTAGAGCCTCCTTCCACGTCTTCATCGACTGTAGAGATTGATCTTGTTGAAGGTGTTCGCATGCTAATTTTTTCACTGGATACGGACGCATTCGAGTTGTAATAAGGTCTTGGAAAAAGTCCCTGCTTTTGTATATTCTGAAGCAGCATAGACTCCCAAGCCGCGGCTCTCCACCTGTCTGGTACGCCCTTGACGAGACGCCTAGCTAAGGTGCTTTCACTGTAGCTGCGTCGCAACCTCCAACGCCTTATATTACGACCGTAGTCACGTTGTTTAGGCTGTAACATGTTTCTCCACTTTTCAATCCTGTTGATTTCTTTGGTGGACAAAGTATCCATGCCCTTCAAGTACTTGTTCACCACCTTTGTCTTATCGAGTTCACTTTCTGGTCTTGTCTTGTGAGACTTAGAAGGCCTCTTAGATGACGGGTTATGTTTAGTCTTGTAGAGAATAGTAAGTCGCTGCTTGTTCTCATAATTGTGGAAAAAGAATCCATATCTTTGGTAAATGAGCGGTAGAATCGCTACAATACACCGACATACCTATCAAGATTATCATAGAGAGCATCTGAGGAGTCTTCGTGCACGTTCTCGCCGTTGTAGTTGTTACGTATCTTCTGAGCCAGCTGCTCCTCCTTGATCTCGTGCTCAGATTTATAATAGCTCAATTCTGTGTTATCGAATGCAGCTGACTGTCTTTTCACAGCTGACGTTGTCGCCGTCGTCATCGTCGATTGTTACGAAGAAAGCCCGGTTCGCATAAAACGACCAAGATAATCAGGATGGAGGTCACAAGGCGGCTGCATATTGCGGGAATGACGCCATCTATCACGCTCAAAGACTTGGAGAATAGATTTAGCAGATTTGGTAGCGTTTTAAGCGTCGAAGATTGTGGCAGGGATGGTAATGGTGATCCACGCAAATATTGCTTCATGAACTTCCAAGCAAACCAGGCACAACTTAATAAGCGTATGTCTATCCCATTGTTCTATCAAATTACTTAGATTTCTCCAGTGATGCAAACATTCTCCAACTCGCACTGGAAGGACGCTAAGTTGAGGATCAGCGAAGCAAGGCCCAACTATATTACTAGATTGGAAATAGACAAAGAGAAAGCTGCAGAAAAGGAGCGCAGGAAGGAGTTTAAGCGAGTGAGAAGACTTCTCCAAAAGAAATTAAGAGGCAACCTCAAGACCTACGCAAAGGATATGCGCTTGACAACACCTTACAATGCAAAATGGAGAAATGTGAGTCTTTCCCAATCACAATAGGCCTTCTAACCATTCAAATAGGGCTGGTACATCACTCCCGCTAAGCACCTCATACATCCAATACACATACGCCCTGATCATCCTGTTCCAGTGCCATCCACGTCTAGAGATCCATCGAAATCTTCAAACGACTCAAAAGCTCCGAAACCACCAAAGAAATCTAAGCAGATCATGATAGATCCGCGCAAGTATGGCCCTATGCATTATGGAGAGAGTATGATAGGCAGTGAAAACGTAAGCTCTGACAATAGACCTTGGAGATGTGAACAAGACGAGCAAGGTCGTGTAAAATGGCTCAAGGATGGTGACGATGATGAGATATACAACGTAGCTCACGCTGATCCACAGAAAGTTTACGAAGAGAATGCTGATCAGTATAACAATTTGGATGACAAAGTATTTGCGTCAAAACCTAGACCTAAAGCGAACAACATCGACGAAATTGAGAATCAAGTAAGAAGACTAGAAGAGAACGAGAAGAAATATGATGAGGATGCACTCAGTGATGACGATGAGGATGAGATATTTGCAATGCTCGAGAGCCAGAGGTTGAGGGAGAACAGAAGCGAGTCACCACTGTTTGAAGGTGCACAACCAAAATCTTTTGACTGGCTAAACACAATTCCAGAGTTAGACAAGACGGAACAAGCCAAAGCTCAGCCTAAGGTCGATCCGTCCGCGGAACAAATCAAGCAAGAGCACAAATCACAAAACGCACTTCTTGATTCACTTTTTCAGAGTAATGACTTTGGAAGAAAAGCATCAATAGATATAGACTCCGACTAGTGTTGTAATAGTAGTATTAGCAAGATTATTCACATTTTAATACAGGATTGTGATTAAGATTAAAGAGAAACTAGCGATGACTTGGTCTTACGCTAGATGATTGCGAACCAATTGCAAGAAGCTTTGGGTTCGACATATGTCCTATAAAACACTTATGAGAAAAGTAATTATCAGCGCATCATCAACTCACCTGATATAGAATTTTGTGAGCGGTGTTTGCGGTTGAAAGTGCTTGTGCCAGACATGCGCGAGCGCACAGAGAATGGCGAATCCGCTCCTGTTCTGTAAGCTGAGTTTTTGTGGTTGGCATGATTGATGTGGCTCATGTCATGTTGCAGGCCCGCAACTGTATGTTTGCCACCACAACAAACTCTTGGGTCATCAAGGCCCTCATCAGATGCATCGTTGAGGTTCTCATCCTTGTAACGATAAGTTGCGCTTGATTTCGGTCTAGATGGACTTTCCAAGAAGCTAGCGTTGTTCGCTCTCAGGTATTCAGATGCAGGCGTACCTGCTCTCTTACCCGCTGATGAGCTATAGCCGGAGAAGTACTTTTTGGCACGAGGTGTAGTACCCATTCCCATTCCAATATTCGATAGCGCTGACCTTGTCTTGGTTTTAGCAGTGGAGAACGACCAATCAGCATAACCAGTAGCTGTCTTTCCAACGCTGCTGCTTATTGAGTTACGCGGCTTAGAACCGAAGTCCATCTCTGCGATACTGCTAAATGATGGCCTTCCACTAGCCTCTGAACCGGCGTAAGGTGCTGGATTTATCGAGTTGCGTTGAAGAAGGTATGACAGTGCGTTCAGCCACATTTCGTGTCTCTCTCTATTTGATGCTGTTAATTTGAGCTCACGATCTTGTGAAGTGAAAACAAGTATACTCTCGTGATGTAAGCCAGGTGGAGATGGATTTGGATCATCGATGCTCTCTACGCGCTCAATTGGAACACTCTTCGACTGGGTTTCGGATACGTTAGGTCCACCCTGCTCATCTTCACTCCAGAAAAGCATCTTGTTGTATGGATGGAGCCAGAAGTATCTTCTGTGACGCTTGCCGGTATTTCCCTTTAAGATAGATTTGCGAGTGTACTTGAAGAGGAATTCACCTAAAAGATCGTTAGTCCGGTCAGTCAAAGGTAAAAATCATCACTCACCAATCATGGTTTGCGTAATAGCTTGAATGATTGGATCTGGTTGGGTATTTCCGAGTACATTGCTGCCTGCCATGCTGACACTGTCTTCATCGCTCTCGTCATCTTCGTCCAGATGATTATTAGCACTCTTTGGCTCACTCAAGTGTGCAGAAGATGAGCTCACGCTGTAAGAACGGCGCTCGATATTCGACACAGTACCGAACGAGTCACTCGTCTTTCTTCTGTGTGATTGCGTAGATGTATTTCCGGGCTTGGCTGATCTGAAGCTACCGAGTGACGAAAGCGGTGTACCCGATCTACTATTGTGCTGACTACCGACTGCACTCTGGAAAGACATGTTCGACATTTGTTTCCTCAATGCAGGTCTACCCTTAGAGCCAGTAGAGATGGTTTGAGAGCCTCTGTTAGTTGCTCTACGAATAAATTCTGGCGGCGGTGGTGATGTTGGTCTTGGTGGTGGCATACCTCCGTATGGCAAGGCTGTAGAACTTGAACGAGAGATGATGTCAATGTAGCCACCTTGAACTGAAGTTGAGGAGGCTCTCCTTGGAACATCGGGAACCTGTCTAGATCCCCTTCTTGAGACACTCTTGTGCTTGTCTGATAGAGCTGTGCTGACGTCCTCAACGTTGTGCTCCGATGTTTGATCAGGGTTTTCGAGATCGGCTTTTGGTTTACTTGTTGGAGATGTTGGATGCTCTTGTTCATGATAGACGTGAATTGTCTTGACACGTGGTGTGTTGTCATTGTCATTGTCGGTCTGTACACCGAGATGGGTTTGGCCTTGGAGTGTCTGAGATCCGACAGAGGCTGTATTTGGTTTCGTTGCAGGGAGGTGTTTGATTTTCTCAACCGGAACCTCAACTTTCTTTTCAACAGTCTTTTCGACGATTTTCTGGGCCGTGTGAGAAGTATAATGACTGGAGCTGACTGTAACATACCTCAATCTCGATTGGTACCTCAACTGGCACTTCAACCTTCTTTTCAACAGATAATTCGACGGGTACCTCAACCTTCTTCTCAACAATTTTCTCAACAATTTTCTAGGCTGTGTGAGATGCATAGCAGGTAGCACAAAATAACATACCTCAACTGGTACTTCAATTGGAACTTCAACCTTCTTTTCAACAATTTTTTCGACAAGTTTCTGGGCTTTGTGAGGATTCTGGTAGATGAAGCATACTAAGACATACCTCAACGGGCACCTCGATTGGCACCTCAACTTTCTTGTCGACGACCTTTTCAACAAATTTCTGTGATGTGTGAGATTGTAATGCTGAGAGAAATCTGACTTACTTCCACAGGAACTTCAACAGGTACCTCAACTGGTACTTCAATCATCTTTTCAACAACGTTTTCGACGATTTTCTGTAACGTGTAAGATTTAACTGGTGATGGGAATTTGACTTACCTCCACAGGAACTTCAACGGGCACCTCAACTTTCTTCTCCACAATCTTTTCAACGAGTTTCTCCACAGGTACCTCTTTCTCGATGACGCGTTCGTCTGGTTTGAGCTGCTTTTCGACAACAATTTCGATAGGCTTCTCGACGACGCGCTCAACGATCTTCTCGACTTCGATTTCCTTGGGTATTTCTATGATCTTCTCAACTGGTATCTCGACAGTCTTCTCGACAATCTTCTCTACTGGTACTTCGATGATCTTTTCGAAAGGTACCTCGACTGTCTTCTCTACAGGAACCTCGACAACCTTTTCAACGATCTTCTCGATAGGTACTTCTACTATTTTCTCTACAGGTACCTCGACTATCTTTTCTACAGGTACCTCGACAACCTTTTCAACGATCTTCTCGATAGGTACTTCTACTATTTTCTCTACAGGTACCTCGACTATCTTTTCTACAGGTACCTCGACAACCTTTTCAACGATCTTCTCGATAGGTACTTCTACTATTTTCTCTACAGGTACCTCGACTATCTTTTCTACAGGTACCTCGACAACCTTTTCAACGATCTTCTCGATAGGTACTTCTACTATTTTCTCTACAGGTACCTCGACTATCTTTTCTACAGGTACCTCGACAACCTTTTCAACGATCTTCTCGATAGGTACTTCTACTATTTTCTCTACAGGTACCTCGACTATCTTTTCTACAGGTACCTCGACAACCTTTTCAACGATCTTCTCGATAGGTACTTCTACTATTTTCTCTACAGGTACCTCGACTATCTTTTCTACAGGTACCTCGACAACCTTTTCAACGATCTTCTCGATAGGTACTTCTACTATTTTCTCTACAGGTACCTCGACTATCTTTTCTACAGGTACCTCGACAACCTTTTCAACGATCTTCTCGATAGGTACTTCTACTATTTTCTCTACAGGTACCTCGACTATCTTTTCTACAGGTACCTCGACAACCTTTTCAACGATCTTCTCGATAGGTACTTCTACTATTTTCTCTACAGGTACCTCGACTATCTTTTCTACAGGTACCTCGACAACCTTTTCAACGATCTTCTCGATAGGTACTTCTACTATTTTCTCTACAGGTACCTCGACTATCTTTTCTACAGGTACCTCGACAACCTTTTCAACGATCTTCTCGATAGGTACTTCTACTATTTTCTCTACAGGTACCTCGACTATCTTCTCCACAGGCACCTCAACCTTCTTCTCCACAGGCACCTCGACGATCTTTTCTACTGGGACCTCAACGATCTTTTCTACTGGAACTTCGACGATCGTTTCTACCGGGACTTGGACGATTTTTTCAACTGGAACCTCTAAGATCCTTTCGACTGGGACCTCCACGAGTTTTTCGACTGGAACCTCGATGATTTTCTCAACCTCCTTCTCAACGATGCTCTCAACAGGCACCTCCTTCTCTACAATCTTCTCAATAACGCGGTCTTGCACACCACCCAACTGAGAAGAATCAGCGAGGTTAGTCTTGTGTGAGGTAGGCTGAGAAGGTGGAATGAAAGAATCACGGAGACCGCTAGCGCTCAGTTTGTTCTTGACAGCTCTGCCGCGTCTCCTACCCAACGACGACATGGAGACGTTAGCTTGGGAGATATTGGTATTGGTATTATAATTGCTATCTTCTTCTGAGCTACTCTCCTGTTGAGTCCCTGTCGCTGATGTGCTGCTTGGTTGTTTGACTGGCGAGTGTGAAGCGAAAAGCGGATCGAGGTCGTCATCGTCGTTATTATCATCATTCTGGTCAGGTGAGTGAGAGGCATCTGTTTCGAATTCAGGGAGCTGAATTGATGTTTGACTGGTGTCATCGAGCTGTTTGGAGTTAGTTATGTGCGTACACATATTTGGCAGTACTCTCAACTCACCTCAATAACATCACTTCTATCATACTTATCGTGCTTATCAGTCAAGGCAGACTTACGAAGTTTAGAAGCGCGTGATTTGCTTGGTTTGCCTTTGTTCTTGGATTGTAGATTGGTTGGGCTGCTCTGGCTGACGTTAACTTGCTCCTCCTTCTCCTCATCGCTATTATCACCACTCTCATCACTCTCACTATCCTCAACACCTTCGTCCGGCCCTCTTTGAGACAGGGCCAATTTGCGTTTATATTCGATGATATGACCTTTTTCGTTGCGCAATTGTCTCTGCAGGCCAGCAATAACTCTCTCTTTGTTCCCATAAGCGACGCGTAGGGTTTCATTTTCGGAAGCGAGAGCAGTAGCGGTGCGAGCGCCACCTGGGGTCATATTAGCATCGTTAGTGTTAACGCGAGGTGGTCTGGGTGAATCGAAGACGGGCAGGCTGAAGTTACCCGTATGTCTACGTCTACCAGCTGAGTCGCTTTCCTCGAAGATCTCATCGAGGAGGCCCTGCGTGGGATGATACTCCCCTGGATGACCGAAATCGCTGCGATCGGGGTCGAATTCTGCGTCGGTGTTGAATCTGCGGCTGAAATCGTTGTCATACATCGTATTGTTCATGCTGACGTCGTTGGAATGGTTGCGTACACGCTTCGCTCGACCCTCCTTCTCTAATCTGTCGATCTCCTTCTTGGCACTCTCAACCGCACTGGCTAAATCACCCTTTTCACGCGTTGCTGTTGCTCGGTCTTTCCTAGCGAGAGCTGTTTCTGTCTCGTATTTTTGTTTAAGTTGCTCGAGTGATTGGTTCAGTTTCTCGCTATCTTGGCGCCGTTCTTCGAGGGAGTCTCTCGAGAGCGAGAGGGACTTAGTAAGTTTGTTGCGCTCAGCTTCAAGTTTGGTGAGTGAGTCCTGATGGTTTGTGTTACTTGTGTACAGCTCCTGGTTTTGCATTTCGAGATTCCAGTTGTCTTCTTTGAACCTATCGACTGTCTGTTCGAGCGAGTTGAGACGAAGGAGGAGATCGTCATGTTTTGCGTGCGTGTGCTCCTTATCTAATTGAAGATTTTTGATAGTATCGTCGCGTTCACTGATCAGACTCTGTAGACGTCTCACTTCTATTAACAAATGCTGGCCAATCTCAGCAGCGAATTCAACATCGTCTGACCTGTGCGCTGCATTACGCGATCTTCTATGGGACTGATTCTTGTGTGCTGGTGCTGTGGGTACAGCGAATGGTTGTGGGGAGTTGGCAGCTGTGCTGAGAGCGAATGAGGAGGTGGAAGGGAGAGTGGGGATGATAGTAGAGTCTGAGGTATTTGCAGGTGAATTAACTGAGTTGTGTTCACTCTGATTGTGCTCGCTCTCCAATTTCATCACTGTCGCTCTCAATTCTTCCACCTTGTCAGCGTAATTGGGGTCATTGGGGTCGTCGGGATTGCTGTCTACACCTTCAATAAGCCCAGATAATTCTTGACGCTGTTTAAGCAGAGATTCCCCCAATCTGCCTGTATTTGCGAGCTGCGTGTCCTTCTGCGCGAGAAGATGCGCGAGCTGACGGCGCAATTGCTTTTCACCGAGATTATCTGGTGGCACTGGATTGAGCTTAAATTGCGTTGGCTGGCTCGCATCACCAGATTGGAATATATCCATCTGCTCTTGAGCGTAAGTTGCAGAGAGGGAAACGCGTTTTAAAAAATAAAAATAAAAAGTAAAACACAGAAATGTCTTTTATATTGTATAATCTAATAATTTACGCGTATGTTTGCTGTGTTTGGGATTATTTTGGGTGAAGTTGGTGGAGATGTCAAGGGAGAAGACATTGAGGGAGATCAGGGATTTGAAATAGAAGGCGCTAACGGGGTGTATTGAGGTATATACGCAGTAATAACCGTTGCGCTATTCAATCCACTCTTCCACTCGTACCACCATGGCTTCTCTATTCCCAAAGCCACCAAAGTCACCAAAGCCACCAACAGATAAAGCTCTACGGCGATGGGTGAGCACGGACAGCCTCCACTCCTCCCGCTATGCTTGGCCCTTCCTGGCAAAGCCCAGATCCACCAGCAATCTCCATGCCATACAGACGTTGAAGTTGGTAGATAAGCCGACAGCAGTAGACGCAGCCACGGGGGAACACGCAGCCACGCCGCCACCAACACCCACACGCCGCACACCTCACAAAAAGTTCATTCGCCCCAGCCAGCCATTCTACCACCGCGTCAACGAGTACGTAGGGCGGTTTAAAGGGCTAGTCAAGCTGGAGCAGCAAGCGAGTGAGCACAAATTCAATAACAGGATGCATGAGTGGCCACTTGACAAACTGAAGCAAGAGGGCTATGTCATTACTGACTTGAGTGCTTGCCACGCCAGGAGGAAGTGGGGGAAACCCAGTGCCATTTTTCAGCTCAATCCGGGTCATTTGCTGCCCTCTCACAGATTCAGGAAGGGTGAGACTGTCACGTTGAGCGAGTTAAGTGAGTTGAGTGAGGTGGATGCAAATGCAAATGCAAATGCCTCCGATGTCCCCCGAAAATGGTCAGGAACCGTCGATTCAGTCTCGCCCACACACATACAGCTCCTGTTTGACAGACGCGTCCCTATCACTGCCGATGCCAGGTACAGAATCGATATGGCACTCGCAGATGTCCTCTACAAACGCTCTTTGGAGGCGCTCGAATCGCTCTGTCTCGATCCAGTAGAGCAGGCCAAGGTGTCTGATAGTGCGCTTAAAGGGACGCATCTGTGTGATGTTATCCTGAATACTGGCAATTCTGCCAACACCACCAACACAAACTATCAAGGTATTTTCGCGAATGACTGCTGGATGCGAAGCTGGGCATTACGTTACTCGCGTGCAGATCCACTCGCTATAGAGGGAGATCCCGAGCTATCACTGAATGCGCGGCAGATCCAAGCGGTAGCGCTAATGATTGGCAACCGGGCCTCACTCATACAAGGACCACCAGGGACGGGCAAGACGGCGACTATCTCGCACAGCATCGCTCTGATGAAGCAGCACTTTCATATCCCCCACCCCATCCTCATCGCCGCATACACCAACGTCGCCACCGACAACATTGCGTCTATCCTATCTGCGGCGGGGATGAAAATAACCCGTCTGGGGCATGTCAGCAGAGTAGCGCCTGAGCTTCATACCCACACTCTCGCAGCACAAGTCGAGGCTCATCCGCGCTACACGCATGTCAAACACGCGCGATATAGGAGCGAAGGGCTATTCAGACGTGCAGCTTCGACGAATTCGACGGCTAATGCCACTTCTAGTCTGATGAAAGGTGGGTGAAGTGTGAGTAGAGTTTAATCCAACTCACTTTTTTCCTATCCTATGTTATTGTTGCACTGCAGAACAGCTCTATGAAGAAGCGCGCCAACAGAGACGAACCGCAGGGCGGATAGTACGGGAGATGCAACAAGACATAATCCGCAATGCGGATGTAGTGTGTGCGACGTGCATAGGTGGAAATGCGCGGGAGCTATCAAGTGTAGATTTCCCAATAGTGTTTATAGACGAGGCGAGCCAGGCTACTGAGCCCACCACGCTAATCCCGCTCATGAAGGGGTGTTCGCACATGTCGATAATAGGGGACCATAAACAGCTAGCGCCAATTATCACATCTGAGGAGGCTTCCAGACAGGGTTTGTCTGTTTCGTTGTTCGAGCGCCTCATTGAGACTAGTAGCGTGCCTTCAGTGATGCTCGACGTGCAGTACCGCATGCACCCCGATCTCAGCTCTATTCCCAACACCATTTTCTACGACAGTCAGCTGGTGGATGGATGCATGCGAAGGAGTGTGGATGCTAGCAATGGTGGCAGTAGTGGCCACCTACTCCCCGCATACAAACCCCCGCGTTCCGCATACCTGCGCGACGGGGCAGCGCTTGCTTTTGTGAACCACGAGCACACGGAGACGCGCGACGGGGAGTCAACGCTTAACGAGGGGGAGGCAGGTGTGATAATGGGGCTAGTTACCGATTTATTCAAACAGAATATGGATATACGCGGGTGCGATATAGGTATCGTTAGCCCGTATGTCGCGCAGACACTCGAGTTGCTGCATCTGCTCAACCGCGACGCGCACTGGCGGCGACAGTTCGAGGGCGTACTCGGGGCACAGCGCTTGCACGAGCTCGCTGACATCGAGGTTAAGACGGTCGATGGGTTTGAGGGGCGCGAGAAGCAGGTGATTATACTCTCGTTAACACGCTCTAATGAGCGCGGGTTTATTGGGTTCTTGGACGACCCTCGTCGCGCTAATGTCGGCCTCACTCGGGCGAAACGCTGCCTCATGGTCGCGGGGAATGCAAGCACTCTGGTGAAAGGTGTCGTCGGTGCTGGCAGAGAAAGCGCGCTGTGGAGAGACCTGATTGGGCTATGCCGGAGCAAAGGGGCGTATGTGGAGTATGACGAGTGTAGAGTATAGAGTAGAGTGTAGAAATAGAAATAGAAGACAATGCATCTCTTAGTCCTGCCCGAGCAGAGTGTTGAACAGCGGCTTCTCACCCCAAGGGAAAGTCTTTTCGAGTTTGCGGAGGTAAGGGTAGGCGACCTTCTCCGGCTCCTCGCCGCCGTTTTCTTCGACGACGTGGTGGTGGTGAGCCTCGTGGGCTTCTTCGAGGTTCTTGGTCCAGAGAGCGCCGAGGAGACCTGATGGCAGTTAGAAACGGTGGTTAGAAACGGTGGCTGGTGCACGCTGAGCACTCACACCCAGGGAGAGCGACGTAGAGTGAGATCTTTCTCCACAATTCACTCGATTCTGAGGAGAATATGAGAAATTGGGTATAAACTGCGCTTATCAAGCTCACCGTGTGCGTGTTCACTCGTCGCTGCTCTCTTATGCATGAAGCCGGATTCGCCTTCGACGGGGACAACGATTCCATCAGCGCCTCTGGGAGTGCTGGAGGAGGCGTATCTACGTTGAGCGTGTGCTGGGAGTCTGAGTGCTCTGCGTGCAATGAACATGGTGGTTTGAGACCAAGATGGATTTATGGGGAGCAATACAAAATACACAAATACACCAGCTAATGATGGGATATTCTAGATATTACGACGGCTAAGAGCAGAAGGAGGGCCCAGCGCCATTTATCCCAGAGACTGCGTTGTGGATTCGATGGTGAGTGGTGGGTGAGTGTTGGGTGCGCCGGGGACGGCGAAGGCGGCACGAGCGGATGAGGAGCAGCCTTGTCTAATATCTCATCGAGAGATGGACTGGCGTGTGGCTCAATTAGATCAGAAAACACCTCTGCGAATTGCTTGTTTTGCCTGTTTACGCTTCTCGACTTGGACGCCATCAGCAGCCTCTCTGAACGCGTCGAATGAATCCCCCCAGTGCCAATCTCATCGTCTAGAAAGAAAGAAAGTAAACCGGTCAGAATACTCGCAACACTCCATGCTGGATTCCAAGAGGCGGGATGGAACGAAGAGAAGGTGGTGCAGATGCTGGTATTTACTTGAAACCTCCCTGAAGGCGTAATCATTTTAATTTCAGGCGGTTTGAATGGGTATTGCGCGGGGAACGAGAGGGTGCCTGGGCAAGTTGAACGGGATATAAGCGGATAAAGGAAACACACCATGATACTCTCCTCCAGTATAATCACTATCTGGCGGACCACGCAGAACATAATGCCACTTGAGTATGTCCCTCTCATCGGGCCTAGCGAAACCAAATGGAGGTGGCTGGTCCTCCATCGCGATATTCTCCTTCATTAGACGTTTTCTAGCTGCAGGAGTGGCCCTAGAGGATTGTTTGAGTGAGATTTTATTCTTTTTACAAGAATATTCTCACATTTGGTTGATTGGTGGACTGGTACAAGTTGAATTGCTCAACACAACGGCCATCAGGTCAATCACAATTACTCAATGATGAATTGAATCCATCTGTAGATTCCTGCTGGTAGGCTTAGGTGGCTGTGAAGCTGCTAGAGAAACCGTAGTGTCTGTGTCAGTTTAGAACGGATATCTGAGAGTAAAGTGAATTCAAAGGATTACAAGGTATCTCAGTAATTCCTAGTAATTCCTAGTAATTCTTAATTGTCTCAAGCAAATTCAAGTCATTTCAATTACATTTCAAGTCATTGGATCTTGTACACATATTAATAGATAGTTTCCATCTGCAGAAATCAAGTCAGCCACTCTAGCAAATAACAAGCCATCCACACTAACCACTAGACAAGATAATTTCGTGCTTCTTATTCCTAATCCTTACCAGCTTTATGTCTTGCTACGGTGGCTCATTCAACAGGTAATCACGACAAGGAAAGGCCAAACTCACAGACTCAGTCTCCTCCACCTCCCTGAGATTGTCTGTGATCGACCAAATAATATTTCTACACGCCTTTGCATACTTCTTGCCCTGATCGCCATCAAAGATATTCCCGTGTATTTCAATTATACGGCCATCTCCTCTATCTAACACAAGGATTCCCTTAACTGGCTTGCATTCGAGCAGCCTGTGTATTCCTTCACTCTCGACCATTGATAGATTCCTAGATGGCGGTTGTCCAGCTACCACCATGACTCACTCCCCACCAAACTGGATTATACAGAAATTTGGTGGTACTTCCATTGGCAGGGCTCTTGATTCCATCGTTGACCACATCGTCCCCCAATACTTCCCTGCTTCAAACGTCGTTCTCGTTTGTAGCGCTAGATCCGGTGCCTCCAAGGACACCGGCACCACCAATCTTCTCTTAAAAGCCGCGACCGAGGCTCTCACTCCGCGGAATAGCCCAAACTCTCCTTCCGCTCCAGGAACTCCAGGCACTCCATCTGCCCTCACTAGACCCAGGTTCGGCAGTCCCCAGCAATCCAGATCTGCGTCTCCCACAGGCTTCAGCCATAGCAACCTCGACGACAGCCTTAGAAAGCTCTCTCTCTCCAGAAGCACGCTCGATCAACCTGACTTTGTCCTTACCGCCAACATACTCCGTGAGGAGCACTTCAGCGCGGCAAGAGACTTGATCAAGAATGACAACGTTAGAATATCTGTTGAGGCTGATATCTCTGCTGACTGTGACAGCCTCTGCGAATTCCTCAACGCAGCTCAAATCATCGACGAAATTAGTCCTCGTTCCAAAGACGCTATTGTTGGTCTTGGTGAGCGTTTGGCCTGTCGTTTAGTTTGCGCTGCACTCGCTGATCGTGGAATACCCAACGAGCTTGTCAGTTTGGAGGGTGTTGTCGATGCTTTTGTCGAAGGCGGCTGCTCCTCCGATGACAACAACAACACTACACTCGACCAAGGCTTCTACACCAGACTGGCACAGAGGCTGGGAGAGCGTCTGCGCAAGTGTGATGGTAAGGTTCCCGTCGTCACTGGTTTCTTCGGCCCCGTCCCCGGTTCTCTCTTACAGCAAGTGGGGAGAGGTTACACCGACCTCTGTGCGGCGTTGTGTGCTGTCGGTTTGAATGGCGGTGAGCTGCAGATTTGGAAAGAGGTTGACGGTATCTTCACCGCAGATCCCCGCAAAGTCGTTACAGCTCGTCTTGTCCCCATCATCACTCCAGACGAGGCTGCTGAGTTGACTTACTACGGCAGCGAGGTCATCCACCCCTTCACAATGGACCAGGTCATTAGAGCCTCCATCCCGATTCGCATAAAAAACGTCCTCAATCCACTCGGTCCTGGTACCGTTATCTTCCCTGACGCGAACAACGCCCACGACGCTCGTAACGCACACAACCCTGGCGAAGAAGCAAGCGAGGCTGTCAAAGCGCAGCATTCAGGCATCGTATCGAGCAAATTGCCCACAGCTGTAACCGTAAAGGACAACATACTAGTTCTCAACGTGCACTCGAATAGGAAGACAATGTCACATGGCTTCCTGGCCAAGATATTCACTACTCTCGATAGATATGGTGTGTGTGTGGATCTTATTAGCACGTCTGAAGTGCACGTCAGTATGGCTATCCACGGATCGAATTCGAGCAAGCGCTCGTTCGATAGACTGGTCAAAGAGCTCGAGTCTATTGGGACCGTCGATGTGCATGAAGATATGGCCATCTTGTCTCTCGTTGGTCGCGCTATGAAACACGCTGTCGGTATCGCTGGAAAAATGTTCAGCGTGCTCGCTGCGGGGAATGTCAATATCGAGATGATTTCACAGGGTGCGTCTGAGATCAATATTTCGTGCGTCGTGCAGGAATTGGATGCAATCAAGGCAATGAATATCATACATCAGGTGAGATCGCCGTGGTTGCTTTGGTTGCACTGACTAATACTACCAGGCCTGTTTAAACATCAACAGTAACAGCATCTAACCTGTGAACTTGCTATCCTACTATTTTCTCCCGACACCTTATCAGAATAGAAAATTTTATGCATTTGTATTTGTCTTGGTTGTTAATCGTGTTTCGATATTGTCTTTGGTATTCTGGCAAACAAAAGAAGCCACGCTATACATCCTCTCTTATAACCACACCACCATCATCGATATACCCATGACACATCTCTCGGTGAATGCAGAGAACGCAGCAAAAGCAGAGAATTTCGCAAACAAGCTTCCCAGTCCGCACACTGCCACGAAGCTGCTCAGTGACCCACTCGCACTCCTCCCGCCGATCCTATCCGTCGACGATGTGCACGCGCTGTTGACACCCGAGCGAGGAGAGGCAACGCAGACGCCTACACGCACACTGAGCGCTGGGGAGAAGGAGCGACTGGTGAATCGGGCGCTAAGCGAGGCGGTGTCATGGACAAATCTAGCTCTGCTCGACTGCGTGTTAGGTGCAGTAGGGCGGCGGTGGGTGAATGTCGATCTGCGCGATAACGAGCGCACGCCCATGCTCGTAGTGGCCGCTGCGTCGTGCTGGCTCGATGGGATAGCTCTTTTGCTTGGCGCCGGTGCCGATCCCAACGCGAGCGACAGTCGTGGGTCAGCCATTACGTTATCCGCACGCCTCACAATAACATGACTGCAGAATCGTGGACGGCACTGCATTGGTCGGCTATTAACTCGCATAGTCAGCCAGACGTCTGTGCGCGCATTGTCGCACTCCTCCTCCACCACGGCGCTTCGCCTCTTCTCACCTCTAGCAAGGGACGCACCGCGAGGGATATCGCACCCGTTTCAAACGATATCGGTGAACTACTCGACGGGGCACAGGAGCAAGCGGCTGCGCAGTCCAGTTCCGACCTCTTCTCACTCTCGCAAGCGTCGCTCACACCGTCGCATACGCCGCGTACTAAACTGCGAGCGCGCGAGAAGAAGGCAGCGCGCAACACGTCGATTCTTCACCACGCAGCAGACGAACTCGGCTTCGACCGCGCGCTGGTCCACGACGCAGCACCAGGAGAGGGTCACGCGGAGGGTGAGGAGGAGGATGAGATGGAATTAGCTGATGGAATGTCGCGGGTATTCGATTGGAGTGTGTGTCTACCCCACCAGATGCTCATTATCAATCCCGACACTCTACAGCTGGCCATAGATGCCCTCCTCGCGCTCCCGTCGCACCCTCGTCCCATAGCCTACGCAAGCGCACCTGCCAGTGCACTCTTCTTGTGGCAGCGATACGCCACCCATTACGGCGATCCTGGTGGTGAGCTCTCCTCGCTCATTTTCGACCATGCCGTTGAAAACATCGAACAGCGCGCATCAGCTGCCGCTGATAATCTCCCAGCACTCGCTTTTTGGTTGCACAACGTGACATTATGGCTCTACTTCATCGGCGCAGACGGGACGTTATGCGAGTTTCACGACATGCAGGCTATCTTGGCCGATTTGCTTAACGAGATACACGTCTTTGTCGTGCGACTCGTCGAACGCAGACTGGATGCCCTTCTCGACTCCCTCATTCTCGACTTTAATAGCATGCCTGAACTAGATGATGTCCGACTCGACGGCGAGTGGAGGATCGTGCGTGCGCTCACTAGGCGCAAGGATGGCGCTAAAAGCCCTGGAAAGAGAGGTCTCGGACATCGAAGAAACGGTGGCGGAAGCTTGTCCAGCAGCATTTTCGGGATGGGCGGTGGTGGTGGATCGACGAGTTCGTTTGCAGATATTTTCAACGGCAGTAATAACAAGAATGAAAAGAAGGAAAAACACTCGGATTCACTCGGACCTACCTCGCCGGCATCCCCCAGATCACCATCATTTGACGAGGCTACAAAACGGCGGCCGATTAGCACATCCATTTTGCCTTCAGATACCACCTTGCCCAGTTCGCCATCTCTGTCGTCTTTAGCAAATGCAGGTAATTCAGGTACCCACGACACGATCGGCGACAAGTTTAAGAAGATCAATGTAGAAGACATTGACAACGGCTCACCCAAGAAGCTCACCCATCTACTCAACTCGACTCTGCTAGTATTAGAGCAATACAATGTGAATGAGGCGACGATAGTGCAGATTTTCTCTCAAATCCTCTACTGGACGTCTAGCGAGGTATTTAACCGTGTGATAACCAATAAGAGGTACTTCAGCCGTAGCCGTGCGACAATGATTCGCTTCAACCTGAGCGCGATTGAGGAGTGGGTGAAAATGAACAAATTGCCAGCGAGCATATTCAATCACCACTTCGCACCTCTCATGCAAATGCTACAGTGGCTGGGATGTCTGTCGGCGATGACGGATTTCTGCGCACTCATTTCGACCCTACAGGGTTTGCGCCAGCTCAACCCAACCCAGTTGCACAAGATGCAGAAGGAGTATCGCCACGAGGCAGCTCCCGTCGTTGAGAGCCGCATGAGCGCTGAGTGTGTCGCTTACCTCGATCAGCTCGTGCAGGCGTGGGACTCGCGTAGGTGTTCCGCTGATTCGCAGCAAACCCACCCAACCCCAGGCGTGCCGGCCAAGACGATGAACCATGTTGACTACCTATACCCAAACTCGGATAGTGCACCCACTCAGCAAAACGGAGTTGGAGTTGGAGTTGGTCTCGGATTAGGACTGGGTGTGCAGCCGAGTACCGCCACCAGCAGTAGTAACAGTAATATTAACAGTAATAGAAACAGTCACAGTCACAGTCATAGTGCCACAGGCGATGCGTATATGCCCCCACCTTTGCCAGAAAACTTTGGGGAGCAGGTCGACAGCAGGTGAGTAGACGTTCTCCACACTCCATTTTCGACAGAAGCGCAACAAAATGGCTAACACGACCAAGGTACATGCTGCCATTCGAGCTGCCGAGCGACCTGGAACACCTGCAGTGGCGGCGTAGGAAGTCGGCGCAGACGGCCGATACGACTGACACCCCCAGGATGGCGTCTCTCGGCGCGCTTGACGATGACCTCCTCTCTGTTCCCACTTCCCGCCCGGCGTCGCGCGCTTCGTCGACGCATTCATCCTCCCCTCTCGCGCACAATGCGCACACCGCTCAAGTCACCATCACACCGGATGTACCGCAGGATATTTTGACTCGTATCGACAATGCTGTCAGCGAGGGCGTGAAGCGATAGTTGCATGATTTAGCGTGTATGCGTGTATTTGTGTATCAAGTATCAAATATTTATAGGATCAATGTTTGACTACATGATTGAATTTGAACTAAATGTTATCTCATGAATTGCATCGCACTTACATCCAGAGCAACATCTCTACCGACAGAGCTGACACATAAGATTTTCGATAACTATCTGATTCCTACTGAATTAGGGGACATCCCACTAAAGGAGCCCTACTTTACTAACAAATATTGCTGCTTCTTTGCTAAACAGAGCTCAAAAGGTGTAAATATTTTCTGTCACTGGGTTATGCATTCAAACGTTGTGTTTGAATTTTTCCGCGGAGGTTTTTCCACGACACTGCGAAGTTACAACTGCAATCTTCCAATCTGACTGTAGTGAAGATAAGTCACAACTCAGTCGCCCAGCGTAACGTAAACTGATTGGTTATGCATTCAAATTAGTATTGTGTCACTGTCATGTTTCAGAAACAAAGCTAAGTCGCCTGAGCGAATCGGGGTCTCTGTCAAGCCTAAAGATCATTTCCAATTGAAGGCTCTCAAGGCTTTAATCATAAAATTCTTTGGCTGTATTGAGCCCCACGCCGTTTATCGTCGGTGTCGGACCAGGTATATTCGTGACTACAGTCTTTTTCTGATGAATACAGCAAATCTACACTTTTTACGCGTTGCATCTGATTTTCTAAGATTTTAAACTCAAGTCTGGTCAAGTTTAGTGCTGAAATGAGGTCTGCGTATCTGCTAATCCAATACATCACCCAAATGTTTTGGTTTCAACTCCAAAGCTCAAGTGTTTCATTATTTTAAGGCTCCAATAATGATTATAAGAAATTCTCACTTTTGCACCTTGAAATCAACGCTACTAGCAACGTTTCTCTTTCAAGTTTATCAAGCTTGTGATTCATGAAAGAAGGTGGCACTCTGTAAATATCTAGTATTTATATATTTGTTTCTTTAAATAATCGCATCACCAAAGTCGAGCTGGCCTTTCTAAAAACACAATCCACAATCATCAGCGAGCGCAATCTCAACGAGCACGAACAAGCGCGAGGATCAATAAAGCAGTTTATATTCATGCTAACGCTATCTTCATTCAGCGATGATTATATCCGCTGCCAAATTATGTTTCGAAGATGTCTCAGCCACATAGCATTGTGATTGAGTGCGAGTACTGAACTTGGGTGCGCTGTAAACCTGCTTCGAGAACAAGCTTAAGAAGAAGCATCCATATAGACATGGAAGATATTGATTATTTCGTGCTATCACTCACCTCATTGGTAACGCGAACGTTGATGAGCAAAAATGGCACAAATGACGAAATATATTCAACGCGTCGCTAGCGGACCAAAGCAAAGATTCCGAGATCCAGAAACGGATACAGATTTAGATCTATCGTACATATCTGACAATATCATCATAATGGGTTACCCTACACCTGCGAGTGAGAATAAAATAAGCAAAATAGCCGCGTGAATCTCAAAAATACTTTTAGACAATTATCAGGCGGTATTTCGCAATAACCAGGACCAAGTGAGAAAGCTGCTTGAGTGGGTTACAGTGCGCAGGAGGAGAGGAATACTGACGAGTTATTGAGTGTAGAAGTAGACACGGACGTAATTGGAGGATATACAATCTGTGTCCGTGCCACGAGAATAAGTATGATCCAGCCTATTTCTACAATCAAGGTCGGTTGCTTTTGCTAGCTGTCAGCTAGTGCTAACTAATTGTCTATCAGTGGTAAGATATCCATTCCCAGATCACCATGCACCCCCTCTTGCATTGATAAAGGTTGCTGTGAAGAATATGGGGAGATATCTGAGCGAGAACGCGGAGAATGTTGTAGTAGTACACTGCAAAGCCGGTAAAGGGAGAAGTGGGACGATTGCATGCTGTCTTCTGCTCACATTGGCTGAGCTGCCACCGCCAAGTCGACATGTATCCAACAGGCCAAGACACTCTTACTACCCTTCAGGTAATGAGATTGATGCGGATCAATCAAGACCTTCACAACTAAAAACTCATCAGGGACATGCTAAAAGTGACGCATCAGCAGTACAAAGACTAGTGGAACCCCATATCATACCCTCAGCAGCGTCGAGTACATCACACCTAACGACGACAGAAGCGACAGAAAACTCAAACTCAACCCTACCACCTGCTTTAGAGAGAGCAGAAGATGTTCTAAAGCTGCACACACACCGTCGTATGAAAACTAAGGAAAGTAATAAAACTAAGGAGAAGGACGTGTCTAGATGGCGGATGGGTGTAAGCATACCGTCTCAAAGGCGATTCATTGAATATTTTGCGAGGGAGTTAGCAAATGAGGTTGTACACAACAGTCACAATGTCAGAGTATGGAGGGTGACAGTTCGGCTGAGTGAAAATTTTGGAAAACTTGCTAAAACGATGTGAGTGGCTCGCAATCAGATTGGCTTTGCTAATGCTTTGATAGCGTGGGTCTCGGTAATACCCGTCTCTGCCTACATTTTGCTAGGTATACAGATGATTATGTGGAAGCGTTACAAGACGGTGTAAATAATGATGATGAATCTTTTTCGATCCAAGATGACAGATGGGACAAAGAGAAGATGGTTCATAGGTTTGCAGAGACGGACGAATATACGACTGAAGAGGATGATCAAGTAGGTAGGCTGTTTTAACGACACAACAAACTAAAAGAGCTAGGGCATCAAAACCTTAACCTTTACGCCAGAAGTAATCCTCAACTCCAGCCGAGAATGTAGATTAAGATTGGTGTACGGACAAGTATCAATCGGATGGATATGGTTTATACCTGATTTTCATGAATCCGCGTTGATTATAACAAATGAGCAGATCGATTTTACGAAAGGAGCGTTAGTAGGAATATCTCTTGTCGATGTCAAAGTAGAGATTTAACACTCTGGTCACACTCTTCTCTTTAATACAATGTATGAAATAGAATAAACTATGATATGATGATGACTTTGATGACTTTTAAATTAAAAAGAAAGAAAAAGCTTGGATTTTGTATTAAGTTTACTTTGATTCCTTAATGGCGTCAGATGAGCCACCGTCTATTGAATTGGAAGATGCGTTTTGATGAGAAGATTGATTAGTAGGTTCGTTAGATTGAGCTGGTTGTGAATCAGCAGATTCAAATTGGGCTGACATAGCAGCAACTTGTTCATTATGATTGCTAGCTTCAACAGGAGTTGCACTATCATCAAATTGAGCATTATCATCTTGTGGTAAAGATTCAACGTCAACATTTGACTTTTGGGCATTTGGTAAAACCCATTTCTTCCAAACACCATGAGCGAGCCTAACTTTACCAACAGGATTTGTGTTGCTAGCGATGAAATCAATCTCTTTTTGTACTTGGGACATGTCCAAAGACTCTTTTTGCAAGACGCCTTCTTCTTTTTGAGAAGGCTCTTGATTACCGGCGAAGAAGAAGACTTCGACGAGTTGAGACATGGCAAAGACATCTCTAAGGAGGTAAACGTCGACAGAGAGAGCTTTAACTCTATTGAAAGTAGTGAAAACAGGTATATCGACCCAGCCATCACTATCCATTTGCTGGCGTAAAAAGAAGTCCCTAACTAAATTTTGAGTAGTGAAGTAATATTCTAATTGGCCTAATAAATAGAATCTCAAAGGATCCAAAGGATAGTTTGTAGTTGTAACAGGAGTTGGCATTGGCATTGGAGCGTAAGTGTGACCTGCTTGAGAATTTGGAGCGCCAAACATTTGAAAAGAGGAAGGCATAGGAGGAACGACGGGAGGGAAAGCCTTATCCTTTGGATTCTTATCAAGGTTCTTTTGATTTCTACGATTTGATGATTTTCTTTGATTTGATTGGTGGGGATTTGAGTTCTTTGATTTTGATGATTTGCGTTGATTTTGTTGCTTGTTTGAAGGCTGTTGAGCTTTAGATTTTGAAGAAGATTTCTTATTTGAACGTGGAGGTTGAACTGGTAATACTTGCTCAACAGGTACGCTAACCCAGTTCTTCTTACCTGTAAAAGATTGTTAAAATGGCTTGTAAAGGGAATATTACTGAATACACACCCCTCCGCGTACTCGTAATTGAATCATCCTTCTTGTTATCTTTCTTCTCCTCACGCTCCTCTTCCCTCTTGTCATTAGCATCTGAAGCTGACGGCCAAGATATTTCATCCTTCACAAGTAAATCTTGTTGACTTGCTGGACTCGCAATTGCTTGTCTACTCTCCCACACGTTTCCATTACTCGTCATTTTTATCTATTTTATTGATCAAAGTTGCGAGTGTTGAAGCTTTGAACGGGGGTGCTACACGCTGATACCTATTCTAAATTCAAAAATTCAAAATTTTATATTCGTTTCTTAACTCATTTAGTTTCTTACTATGCTATTCATATCCCATTTCTCTTCTCTACCTCTTAACTTGCAAACTCGTTCATCTATGTCACAACCTGCTTTCTTCCATTTATAAAGAATTCTATGTTACAGAATTAAATATATCTCCCAAACAAATCAACTCGCTCCCTCAATTTCTTCATATGTGATTATTTTGTCAAAATTTTCACAAACGAACCAAACTCAAATGCTCGAAATTGTTTCAAAATATCATAGTCGTCAATTTCAGCACATCTTGCAATTCACATTTTAACATTTGATTCTCACTCAATCTCCCTTGCGACTTGACAACGACGACATCTCGAGCTCAATGGGAAGCCAACAAGAGCGTATTCAGAATGCATTGGCTCAAATGTCTTCAAAGCCAACGCCTGATATAGATTTTACAGTGCATACGTGCGTTCTTCACTCGTCATATAATATACATCCCACTAACTCCATAAACAGCAACGAGGATGGCTCTAAAATTTCAACTCAAGAGAGAGCTGTAAAGGAAGTACAAGCACCCGCAATGCAACCACCAACTGATGATCAATTTTGGTCTTCTGTTGATCCAACTAAGCCTGATATTGCTTTCCTTAAGAATCATTTTTACAGAGAAGGTCGCTTACATGACCATCAAGCCCTGTTTATCTTACACCAAGCAACTGAAATCTTGAAGAATGAGCCGAACTTGTTAAATGTTGACGCTCCAATTACTGTTTGTGGTGATATCCATGGTCAATACGTGGGTTTTGAAGGGATCCTCGTTAAGTTCCACTGATTAATCCATTCAGTTCGACCTTATGAAACTATTTGAAGTTGGTGGGAATCCCGCTGATACTCGTTACCTCTTCCTCGGTGATTACGTTGATCGCGGTTATTTCTCAATTGAGGTGGGTCATTTAAATGTTTCTCTAATATCATCATCCTCAACTAATTCACCCAGTGCGTCCTCTATTTATGGTCTCTCAAAATCTGGTACCCTAATACCCTATTCTTACTCCGTGGTAACCACGAATGCCGTCATTTGACTGATTATTTTACTTACAAGTTAGAATGCAAACACAAGTACTCTGAATCTATTTACGACGCATGCATGGACAGCTTCTGCGCTCTTCCACTCGCTGCAATTATGAACAAGCAATTCTTATGTATACATGGTGGTCTTAGTCCAGAGCTTAATACCCTTGACGATTTGAGAAGGGTCAGTGGATATCTTTATCGACTTTAACTTTCTCACTCTTTCATCAGATTGACAGATTTCGTGAACCTCCAACGCATGGTCTCATGTGTGATATCTTATGGGCAGACCCACTTGAAGACTTTGGAAATGAAAAGTCTAGTGATGCCTTTATGCACAACCATGTTCGTGGATGCTCTTACTTTTTTACGTGAGTTTGTAGTGCTACTAGTTTACACCCTTCTAACAACCTCACTCTACAGATACACAGCAGCCTGTCAATTTTTAGAGCGTAACAACTTATTATCTATAATTAGAGCACACGAAGCTCAAGATGCAGGTTATAGAATGTATCGTAAAACTAAGACAACAGGATTCCCTTCAGTTATGACAATATTCAGTGCACCAAACTACCTTGACGTTTACAACAACAAGGCAGCTGTCTTAAAGTATGAAAACAACGTGATGAATATAAGGCAATTCAATTGCACACCACACCCCTACTGGCTTCCAAACTTTATGGACGTTTTCACCTGGTCTTTGCCCTTTGTTGGTGAAAAGATCACAGACATGTTAATAGCGATATTAAATATCTGCTCCAAGGAAGAGCTTGAAGAAGAAGAGGAAGAAGAAGCTGCAGCTGAGGCAGCCGCAATCGCAGCAGCGAATCAAAAGATTACTGAAGTTGAAGTTGAACCATCTGCGCCTGTTGTAGATGTGGGAGTGGTCGAAGGAGACTCACAAGACTCGATACAAGCACCAACAATTATAACGACAAATAATCAAGATGAGGCTATGGCAGCTGCAGCCACATCTGATCTTCGTCGTCAAATAGTCAAGAACAAGATAATGGCGGTTGGGAAGATGGCTAGGGTGTTTTCACTGTTGAGAGAAGAGAGTGAGAAGGTATCCGAGTTGAAGGCATTACACAATACCAACAAGTTACCATCTGGACAGTTGGCATTAGGTGCTGAGGGAATCAAGGAAGCTATTGAAAACTTTGATGATGCCAAAAAGTCCGATATTGAGAATGAGAGACTACCACCAGAACTAGTGGATGCAGATATAGATGCGCCAGCATCACCGGCGTTATCGTCACCGGGTACACCAACGAATACAGACGAACCACTGCAATACTCTGCAGCTAACGGGGTAGCTTCACCAATGTCACCACATTCAGGACCAAGCTCACCTGGTTCAGTGGGCAGCTCACCTTCGATCGCACCTACAAGTACAACAGGGCATGGACACTCACAGTCATACGCTTACACACCTTCAACGCCATTCAGAAGAGGACATCATGCAAGACAGCAGTCACTGGGTACTACATCTACTTCGCCATCTAACAGACGACGTTCGCTCGACCAAACAATTTCTCTTATCAGGGAAGCTATGGATCATGATTGAGGATGTAAATGGATCACGAGTATCTAAATTTTATCACGATAAACAAATTAAACGGCAAATATATACCTTTTATGTCTATAATTAGTAATCTTGTTTAATAAACAGATCCAGATTCCTGGAAAACGTTGCTTACTCAGAAACGGCCATGTCCGAGGAAGTGAAGGAATTAGAGATTGTTTTCGATAGCAAGGCAGATATCAAAGTGGCGCATGACAGCAGTAGAGCGCCTGTCATGTCCACGCGCGGCGTGAACAACCTGAACGGCGTGCGTGGCAAATTGGAGGCATTTGACGCGGTGTTGAAGGATTCCTACCACCCATCGAAGAATCCCACTGGAATTATAAATGCCGGTGTGGCGGAGAATGGCTTGATGAGTGATGAGTGAGTGGGGGTTCCGTGTTCCTTGCGCCTGATTAACGGGGAACGCGTCGTCCAGGATAATAAAAGTGGGTTGATTAGTCTGGGCTATTAATTAATCTCACCACCCGCATACACCCAGTTCTACAACGATAATTTCAAGCTTGACAAATTCGATCTATCGTACGGCAACGGATTCAGCTGCTCGAGGGAGCTTGCAGCTGCAATGGCCGTGTTCTACAACGACACTCTCAAGCCGGTCGACCAGATCAAGCCTGAGGTGTGTATGCGCTGATTTGAGTTGTTTGAGCCGTTTTTCACACTCCAAAGCACATAGTAGCAGGTGTTGGTATGTCTGCCGTGAATGGCCAACTCAGTTGGTATCTCTGTGAGCCTGGTGAGGGTATTCTCATTGGAGCTCCCTACTACAATGGTTTCGATATAGAGCTGCGAGCGCAATCGCAAGTCGAGCCAATCGAGGTGCATTTCCCTGAAGATGTCCACCCACTATCGCTGGCCGGTGTGGATGAATATGAGCGTGCGCTACTCAATGCTCGCGCTCGTGGCATCACTTCGCGCGCAATCCTCATCGCCTCACCGCAGAATCCACTTGGATGGATAATCACCCGCGATGTTCTCATCGCATATGGACGTCTAGCTGAAAGATACAATTTGCATCTCATCTCTGATGAAATTTACGCTCTTTCTGTCTTCAGTTCTGATGATGTACCTAATCCGCCCCCCTTTGTTAGTAGTGCGTCGATAGATTGGTCGGCAGAGGGTGTCGATCCGGCAAGGGTGCATGTGTTGGTTGGTGCTAGTAAGGATTTCGCCAGCAATGGTCTGCGTATTGGAGCGCTCATCTCACAGTATAATGCTGACCTCGTCGGTGGGGTGACAAGCAGCTCGGTGCTAATGAAGCTGTCAAGCGCGTCCGAGGTCCTCTGGCTTAGTCTCCTCTCTGATAAAACATTCCTCAACTGGTATATAAATGAGAACCAGAGACGACTCGCCGGCTCCTACGCTAAAGTTACTAAGTGGTGCAGACACATGGGCATCCCTTATGAAAAAGCTTGCGCGGGTTTCTTCTTTTTGATCGATCTCAGAGAATTCTTGCCCTCTCGTAATGACAAAGGAGAACTGCTGTCGAGCGATATGGATAAATTGGGCGAGTTGAACAAGCGCCTGATTGGCAATAAGGTCTTGTTTAATCCAGGTACTTCATACCATCATAGGACTGTTGGGGTGTTCCGGATCACCCACACACTCTACCCCCACACGCAGGATCTGGCGCTGGAAAGAGCGGAGGAGGTGCTGCTACAGACAAAAAAAGAGAATGCTTGACTAGATCTGGTGCACCATTATATACTCTCGTGTCTCTTTGTCTTGTGTTGATGTATTTATTTCCACGCACAATACACACGACGATATAATGTGCTTCATATTTATTCACATCCTTCTTCTTACAACGCTTGGAAATTTATGTGGTGGCTCTCCTTCCGACGCTCCACTTGGTCCTCCTTCTTCTCGTGCACGTGCAGCGCAAAGACGACAGCGCCGAGGATGAGACATAGGGTGCTAACGACGATAGCGACGAAAGGGACCCACTTATTTTTTTTGAGATACATCTCAATATGCCAAGAGTGCTCATTTGTCTTGGGAGTGATGACTACTTGAGCATTAGGTATGATACCTTCAAAGTTGACCTTGTGAGAGTTGTCCAGAGTTTGGGAGGTGTCCTTGAACGTGCTCCCGACGTGTAAATTTTCTATGTAGTTATTCGTTCGGCCTACGCCTGTGAATGAGTAAGGCGTGTAGAGAGCATCAGACGCGGTAGAGGGGACCTGAGCGAACTGCGCCGCATGTCGTCTGCCAGCCGTATCCAGAATGGTAAGTTTGTAACTACCTCCGAGGAGGGCAGCGCCGAATGGTTTAAAAGGTTTATACAGTGCAGTGTCACCTTCACCCTCGCCATCGCCCCCATGTGTGTCGTCATATAGCCTCACGTCCTGGCAATACGTGTCACATACGCCATTGAGAAGGAGTGTCTTGAGGAAGAAGGCGTCATTGGGCATGTTGTTCTGGATGAAAGTGAGACCGTGCTGGCGCTGTACCATGACGTCAAGTGTGCCGTCGTCATCTATATCGAGCCACGAGACAACGCGTGCATCTGTAATGTTGTGCAGTGCTGCATACTTGGACCCGTCGCGCAACTCTATTGTGCGCCCACCCGCTTCTGTCACTTGGCCATCAGAGACCGCTGTATTCTCTAGTATCGCCCCGCGGTCGCTGCCGTCGTCGTAGTGCAGCAGTGCGAGTATATCGGGGAAACTGTCGAGATTGTAGTCGCCGAGGCGTAGGAGCAGGGGTTGTGAGTGGGCATTTGCCTCGCTGAGCCACTCCATGCGTAGTGTCGCATTACCTTTGGTGAGCTCATCAACAGAGACTGACAGCGCATTGGTGCTGTCGAGCACAAACTTTTCATCTGCTACACAAAGATCGGAGGGATTGCGGCAGCGAGTGTGGTCCCCGTTTTTGCTGAAGAGGGAGGGGTGCAAGAGAGCGTCGAAACTCCTGCTGTCGACACATAGCGGCATCTGCTTATTGAACCACACATTGATGTGACACTCCCGCCCAACACCATTTCCATCCACACTGGCGCAGCTCGGGAAAACCATGTCGAGTGTCCCGTCGCGGTTAAAGTCGGCGAATGTTACCAGACCGCTGTTAGGTGGTAGTGGAGTGTGTGAATGTAGGGTGAAAGTGTTGTTAGATGGATTGTTGCGCCAAATTTGGAAGGCTGTGTCTTTGTTATCTTTATCAGTACTTTCATCGCACAACAAGAAAACGTCAGCCAGACAATCGCCATCAAGGTCTATGAAAGCGTTAGAGTGTTTCTGCGTAAGTTTGCAAGGCTGGCCGTCGAAATTGAGAGGAGAGGAAGACAAAGAGCCATTGTGGTTGCGAAAGAGGGAGAGCGTGTCAGTGTCGGTGTTTGCGTCATCTGCGTAGGCGTAACCGATGTAGTCGGGAGAGAGGTCGCCGTACGCGTCGAGGAAAGTGGGCTGTGTGTAGCGAATACTGGGAAGTGGGGAGTGGGTATCAAAGCCATCGCCATGGCCAGGGTAGAGGGACATCTTAATTTGATTGTCGTCGGGACTACCGACAGCGATGAGATCAATGAGCCCATCACCGTCAATGTCGGTTGGAATGAGCGAGTCGAGGGGAAAAGGGGAAGTGGCTGTACTAGAGATTTTGAAGGATTTGGCAGAATGATCCCAGATATAAGTGGAAATGGAGTTGTTGCTGCTGTCGATAGAGATTAGATCGATGCTGTTATAGAGTGAGCTGCGACAAGTGAGAGAAGCAAGGAACAGACAATTGATCACCGTTTAAATCAGCGAGTGCGGATATTCGTGTGGTTCCTGGAGGCTCCAGGTTACCACCGCTGGAGTTGCCGGGAGAGACACCCAAGTTGCCGAGATCGACCAAGGAATTTGAAAAGGTAGCTTGGACGAGTGTGGAGAGAATAGCAGTGACAGTGGCTGTAGATATAAGTTTCATTAAAATAAAAAATAAATTAGCTCAATTAGCTCATCGGTGTTTGAGTTGAACCATCAATCGATAATGTCAGTATTAGATCACCCAATAGAATTCCTCCCAACTTCAATTGATAAAGATAAATATGAAAATATTCAGATGCCTAAGAGGAGATTGAAGAGGCTTTCCTTGTTGAGTGGTGGGAGTAGTGGTGGGAGTAGTGGTATAGCGAGTACCAGTGCTCGTACTAGTGCCAGCACCACCAAACACAAACCAAGTACAAGCACAAGCACAAGCACAGATGCGGAATCACTCATAAGTTTATCACGTCCAAGTAACGACAGCAGTAACGCACCAATAACTCAACCAATGACACTATTCGATCAACACGCTCCACTTTTATCTCGAATAGCGCATAAGGAGACAATCATTAATGATTTACAAGATGAGCTCGATATGCACACAGTTGAACTTAAAAGATTGCGTAAAGATTGGCGTAGAGTTGTTAGAAATCAAAAGCGAGATAATTTGGATGAATTGGGGCACCCTGTTTACACAGATCACTCAGAGGAACCAACTCCGACCACTCAAACCCCACAACCAAACGCTTACTTGCAACATTCTGTCGATTTGCTCGTTGATGGCGTAGGCGCTTTTTGGGATACACTTCGCAGTGGACCTGGACTCCAACCGAATGGCAGATGATATACTTGACTTGAATACCTTTATGACGTTTGAAATCGGATCTTCTTGTATAAATTGTATCATGAAACATAATGTATAACAATAATTTTACATATTCAAGTAGTCATTACCACAATTATCTGAACAAAGCCCTTGCACTTGCATTACTCACCCTATTATTACTTTTCTTGGCACTAGCAAGGAGATCTGTATGCGATGGGTGCATCAGCTTGTTTGGACGTGGTGTGACTGGTGGTTGTTGTGAGCATGCGCTTCTCTTCTTCGATTCTTCAACACCACTTGAACTACAACCACTTAAACTGCCAGTATCGACACAATCAACGCTATCCAACTGATAATCCTCCAATTCATCCTTCGCGTGCATACTCACTTTCGCACTCTCCTCTTCCTCCCTCTGAAGCGCCTCTAGTTGAGATGCGTGGTGGGCATCTGCGAATAGAAGACGTGGCTTAGGGTTGGGTAAAGGTGAAAAGTCGATATGAGATTCAGGGAGGTGTGCACGCTGTTTAACAGCACTTGGGAGATTTTTGAATGGGTTTGTGAATGCGCATTTAGCCCCACGGCTGTAATTGGTGTGAGTTCAGCCTAGCGAGAGTGAAATCAGTCAACCCACAATGAATACATCATAAAATCAGGTTCAGGAGAAGAAGTCCTCTTACTCTTCCCTTTAACTGGTCTTTTGTTTGTTGTACCAGAGAATATGTCATCGTCTGGGTCCTGGGTTGGTATAGCGTTTGCGTAGACTGATTTCGAGGTACTTGGTTGCGGCGAGGTGTTCAAGTCATCCAAGCTATCATCAAAATCACTAAAGTTCAATTTACGCGGAGATTTGCTGGCATGTTCTTGGAAACCATCCTCCTCCTCATCATCATCATCTAAAAGACCATAAACGACGCGTCTTTTAGGATCCTTTCCTTTGTGCAAGTACGCGGATGGCGGTAAGTTGTCGTCAGAGCGTTCGTCATCGCTCGAACGCGTGTCGTTGAGCAGCTCGTCGTGGAGTGAGTGGCGGGGATGTTGATATTTATACTTCTTTTGTACGTGTATGTTATGAGGAGATTGTGGAGATCTTTTTGGCATAATTTTAATAATTTTGATTGTCGTCGTTTGAGTCTAAAAGCGGCTGACCCACTAAGTCTTCGATAAGCAGCGAAATTTAGCAAAATGAGCCAAGATACACGTTCGTACGCGTCAAATCAGCTTCCATTTGGCGATAAAGTTAAAGAATTTATCGATGATCAGATTGCGGTACTTACAAAACCGGTGGACTGGAATGGCAAGATTCTCGCAGGTAGCACGATGAGCAAGGAGACAGTAAAAGCGATTTATGAACACGTGAATTTAGAAAGAGACGTCGTTATTTCCACTCATTTCAATCAGATTGCTAAAATGTCTGTCGTTGAGCAATTGACAGAAATACAGCGTGTTAAAGAGATTGATGAGAAGGAGAGACGCGAGGAGGAAGACAACGTCATCTTCATCGATAAGGGAAAGAGTAGCCTGTTGGCTGAGTTCCCGCAGCGGTGGCCTGGCGATGAGCATCACAGAGATTCACAAGTAAAAAGATATGATCAGAAGATGTCAGTTTACAAGAGTAACCTTAAGCTTATCAATGACCAGAAGAATAAGATCGCAGAGTATAAACGTCTCTATGAGATGTTATCCAAATTATCAGATGAATCCATCGAGCTGAATTGCGATGTAATGGAACAAGATACCTTTGAAGAAATCAATGACAGGCTCGATGACATGCCCAATCAAGATATTAAATCAATCTATACCGCCAACCACTTGGATCTGTTGTAACCACCATCGTCTAACTTAGTATACTCAAATGCACGCACTCCTTCTAATACTGCTGCTTATAAGTCTAGTATATTCAAAACCATCTCTTCTCGTTTTACATGGCAGTGATTTAGATTCTTACACTCAGCTATCTGATGAGCTGGAAAATTCCTTTGATACGGCGTATAAGGATATACAGAGAATCAGTCAATATGACTTAGATTACAACAATCTGCTGCTACTCTCAGATACACTCCCAACCAACCTCCACTACCCAATCTTAGATAATTTACAACACAACAACATCGTCATCACTTCAGAATCCAACAATCTATCAAATCTAGCTAGACAATTCAATTTACAGCTATCGAACAAACCAATTACCGCCTTCGATGGAGCTAATGAGCTGGAAATCCATTCAAACCCACACTCCTGCACGCTATCTTACAATGGCCACTCACACTCATACATATCCAACTCACAACTTATCCATCCAAGTCTATCATCGCCACCCGCAACCTCTCACTCAAAGTCTCACCTCATTTCATCCCTCCAATCCACCAAAAACACCAGAATGTCTTGGATTTCCAGTAAATCCTTCCTTAATGACACGTCGCTTTCAAACGAATGTAACAAACAATCTGCACTCGACGTACTTCTCTGGACATTCCAACAAAAGGGAGTTGTCAAGGTCACTCAAATGAAACACTACAAAACGGGTGAATCAGAGACACCCGAATATGTCTACAATGATGAATCGAACTTTGAGCTCCACCTTTCAGATGAGAACAATCAGCCATTCACTACGCACTCGCTCCAACTCGATTTCACTATGCTCGATCCACACATCCGCGCCCACGTCCCCCCATCGCACATCTCCGAAGATGGTACATCTATGGTTTACAAGCTCACTTTTAGAGTTCCGGACCGTCATGGTATTTTCAAATTCGTTGTCGATTGGAAGAGACAGGGTTACTCATTCATAGACGAGCAGATGCGCACTACTGTCGCACCTATTAGACACGACGAACATCCACGCTTCCTTAATCACGCTTGGCCTTTCTATTCAGGCACCCTCTTTACTCTCGTCTCTTTTGTCGCTTTTGCCGCCCTTTGGCTCAGTTGGGATGATAAGATTAAGGGTAAAAAGAGTGAGTGAGTGAGCTTTGTGTTTTATTTATATCATTTAAAACATTATACACATCATATACATCTTAAATTTTATCTATAATGATCTCGTCCAACAATCACCATACCAGATTGGATGATAATCTTTTGAACGAGTGCGAGTGGGAGCGAAAGTAATAGAAACGCTCTCAATCTTAATCAATGAGATTTTTCACTTTTCAAGCGTCGACCCTGGTTTCCATCTAAAAACACCTTGTTGAGGCTCCCACTCATGTATGACTTTCCAAAGCTGAAGATTTTAATATGCAAAGGCACTGACATTCCGTCTTAACTATCATTTCAATACAGCTCAATCATGAAACTATTTGAGGTGTTCGACCTGTGCAAAAGGTTTGCTAATAAGCAGTCACACCCCAAGTTGACAAAGATACATCTCACAATAAACGACATCAACGCAGATGGCGCATGGGAGAAAGACTCTGCTCAAGTTTAGTGCTGAAATGAGGTCTGCGTATCTGCTAATCCAATACATCACCCAAATGTTTTGGTTTCAACTCCAAAGCTCAAGTGTTTCATTATTTTAAGGCTCCAATAATGCTTACTAGAAAGTCTCACTTTTGCACCTTGAAATCAACGCTACTAGCAACGTTTCTCTTTCAAGTTTATCAAGCTTGTGATTCATGAAAGAAGGTGGCACTCTGTAAATATCTAGTATTTATATATTTGTTTCTTTAAATAATCGCATCACCAAAGTCGAGCTGGCCTTTCTAAAAACACAATCCACAATCATCAGCGAGCGCAATCTCAACGAGCACGAACAAGCGCGAGGATCAATAAAGCAGTTTATATTCATGCTAACGCTATCTTCATTCAGCGATGATTATATCCGCTGCCAAATTATGTTTCGAAGATGTCTCAGCCACATAGCATTGTGATTGAGTGCGAGTACTGAACTTGGGTGCGCTGTAAACCTGCTTCAAGAACAAGCTTAAGAAGAAGCATCCATAAAAACATGGAAGATATTGCAACTCATCCAGGACAAAGATATTGATTATTTCGTGCTATCACTCACCTCATTGGTAACACGAACGTTGATGAGCAAAAATGGCACAAATGACGAAATATATTCAACGCGTCGCTAGCGGACCAAAGCAAAGATTCCGAGATCCAGAAACGGATACAGATTTAGATCTATCGTACATATCTGACAATATCATCATAATGGGTTACCCTACACCTGCGAGTGAGAATAAAATAAGCAAAATAGCCGCGTGAATCTCAAAAATACTTTTAGACAATTATCAGGCGGTATTTCGCAATAACCAGGACCAAGTGAGGAAGCTGCTTGAGTGGGTTACAGTGCGTAGGAGGAGAGAACTGCACGATAATTCTCAATAGTCTTGATCATTCTTGCATCACCGCGAACCTCCACCTCCACCCACATGATCTTTAAGCGGTGATTCTATCAGCTGACAGCAGCTGTCAGGTTCAGCAGGTAGAACTAGCTGAGATTTATGCGGTCATGATCCTTGCGCGTGCTCGAAGGAAGCGTACAACAAAGTGGGTGATGCCGATCGAACGTTCCTGGAGAACGAACGAACGAGAAGTAACTGACGACAAAAGTCAGAAGTCAAAAGCACCGAAGCACACCTAATACAGCTGAGTCAGAATATATCGAGGAATGTTTCTTGGAATGTTTCGGCGTAGTTATGTCTGGTTCAAAAAAGGAGCATGTTCATCGGCAATAATAATTTTATAAGAAGAAAGTAACGTTGACAGAATAAGCCTTACGAGAAGACTTCCATATGTCAGACATAAACATAAAGCGGGAAGCGATCTCTCAATCGTACAAACCATTTCACCACAAACACAAGCATTTCGACAGAGAGATCCTGGTGGAAGGAATGAGTATGAGAACTAAAGAAGAGAGTGTACTGAGGTACATGAGTCAATTTGGAGCAGTGGACACTCTATCGATATATTCCTCCAAACGCAGTCAAACGGCATTGCTCACATTAACAGATGCCGAGCATGCGCGACAAATTAGTATCAGAGATCACTGGATAGACAACAAGCGAGTAAATGCTAGACTGTATATACTTGCACTGGCCAGCGGTGGATGTCTCACTGTCAATATCGACGGAATACCCCCATCCATCCCAGCTGAGGGGGTGGCAGAGGCGTTAAAATGTTTCGGAAGAGTTATCCACGCTAGCATCAAGCACAACAGCAATATAGGCAGAGCGTCAAAGGGATTTGGTGTGTTTTGTTTCGATTGTCCAGACTCAGCTAAAGATGCTGCCAAAGAGGGTGAACTGATGTTGGAAGGACAGAAAGCGAAAGTAAGCTACATGGGAAGGACTCGCAATACGTTTGGGGCGGACAGTCGGGTGGGCGGGGTGAAGTTTTTGACAAGGATAAAAGTCGCGATAAATTGGAATATTTCATGTGGTTTGTGCGGCGTGTGGTGTGCGTTGTGAATAAGGACACGTCTAAAGTGGCGTAAGACATCCCAATTCCAGGAATATCAACAAACACCTTGACATCGGCATGTCATCATCGAGGAATATCGAAAGAATGAGCAAATGGAGCCGTAGGCTGCAGCGGGTACAGACGTATTCAGGGGTTGCTTTTGGTGGGTTCGCATTGCAGCACACGCTCCCAGCGCTGCTAGCGAGTGTAGGACAGCTGGAGCTGAGTGAGCAAGTGGTGATGATAGAGCGGGCAGTGTACCACTCGCCGTATGTGGAAGTGGTGTGGGTTATTGGATCAATATCTGTGCACGTGATCGCCGGTATCTTGCGGCGTGTAGTGTTGAAGAAGACAGCGAAAGAGAATAATACGCAACACACACTCACCACACAGCAGAAAGCAGGCTGGATGCTGACGCCACTCCTCACAACGCATTACCTCATCCACCGCTCAATACCCAGTTTGGATACACCGCCTATACGCTCACTTTCACCGTCCGAACTCTCTTACCCGCATTTCGTGGGCTATGCAGTACAAGCACTCACACCACGCGCTGTCATATCCGCTACTGCCCTCACCGCCCTCTCAACCCTCACCGTTTATCACAGCTTGGCGGGGCTATGGCGCGGGAAAAAGAACGCAAGGACAGCGCTGAGGTGCTCAGTCGTCAACGGCGTCAGCGTATTAGCTGCATTGGTTAATATGGGCAGAGCGTACTCCAGTGTGTCTTACTTAGAGCCTCGCTACGAAGCAGTGTATGGTTATTTGGGGTTGTAATTGACACGGAGGCAGACGCCGCACTAATTATACACTAAATATATCTGACATTGGAATACAAATAATGGACTTGAAATTATTCAGCTAACCCAGCTGAGGTGCTGGCGGGGCACTAAACCTGTCGAGCACATCGAGTGCATCGCGTACAGCGCCCATCTCGACGAGCAGTTTCCTTCTCTTACTATTTGATATGAGTTGGTCGTGGGGGACGAGTTGTGGGAGTTGCAGTGAGGTGCTGTTGCGACGTGCGCTAGCATGGTTAGAAGTGTCAAGTTCATTGTTACTGCTACCCATATCCACCCTCACTTCAGCATCGCGGTGGACATTCTCGAGCACCTTCTCAACCTGTTGATGCAATTCTGCGCCGGTACATCTCGTTCTGCTGCCAACGAGATCGGCGAGTAGTGCTAGATCTGCTAGGCCGATGTTAGGATGTGATTTGAGACGTCTCCAAGCATCCGAAGCGGGAATGGAGGGGGTGTGGGTGTTGTTAACCCGTTCTTGGGCTCTTTCTTCAGGAGTGCTTTCTTCAGCTTCTTCGTGAAGGTCCTTTTTCTTCTTTCCTTCTCCTTGCGAATACTCCTTATTATGTCCCGGACAGCCTTCGCACCTCGCGCCACCGCCATCCTGACAGACGCTCCCCTGCAGCGCTTCAAAGAAGGCACGACCGGGTTTGTCGTCGCGGCAGGCGAGTGAGTCATCTACTTGGCACGCCATGCAGTTGTCTGGGTCGCCACTGCATTCTGTCTGTACGGTGAAAAGTTTCTTAGACTGCGTGCGTTTCTTGCGGAGGGGCTGAGCGGGTGCGATGGAGGGTGGATTGTCGAGGATTTTTGTGGGTGGCGTGATAGTTTCTGTGGTTTCTACTGCTGCATTGTCTGCCTTGTCTGTAGCTGCCTCGGATATCTGCCGACAAACACACGGCGTCTCTTCAGAACAAAAGCCGCAGCTGAAAAACTTATCGAGATCGTCGTCGACGTGCAGTTTAATAGGTGGTGGTGGGGGGGTTGTGTGCTTGGTTTGTTGAGCGTGGGTGTTTGCTGCATATGCTGTATCTGCAGCTGTTGTGCTGAATTTACGCTTCATTGCTCTGCGTGTCTGTGTGCCCATTTCCAGCCGCCTTTTCAGATGAACATTCTCCTCTTTGAGTGTATCATTTTCTTGCTTCAACTTCTGTGAAACCTGCTGTAATGCGATATGGCGCTGTATAGAATTACTCTCAAATTCCTGCAGACGCTGCTCGAGTTCCTGTACATACTCCTGTTTTCTCTCACGGAAAGCACGCTGTGCGACTCTGTTTTGTGATTTGCGCTGGGAGTATTAAAGATGTTGCTTGGACTGAAAATAGCCACTCACATTTACAGGATCAGCCTCAATTGGCTTCCTTCCTGGCTTTGGTCTCGCTGGTATTTCCCAGTTTTTCGTAGGCTGTACGTAGATTTTGCCTGTTTCTATTGTAAAAAGGCTATCATACAGCACATACAACACCTACCTGTTATTTCTTTCTGCGGTGCTGCCTTTATCGTCGACATGGCAGCTGCTATCAAAAATGATCTGATAACTCAAGATAAAGATCAATCGGATCGAATCGGGTAATCAAAAATGTTAATTTTAAATTTGAGAAAGGGAGTTGCATTTGGATGGTGAAGGTTTATTAGGGATTGTTTATATTTAAATATTTTAAATCCAATTAATTCCTGCGTTTTTAGCTTCAAATTCAACTCCAATGCGACCATCACTAGCCCGGCACACGCAATCGACCCTGGAAAGCATCGAAGGGATTTTGAGTAAATCACCCACTCACACAAACCCCTCCATCCAAGATTTAGAGTCACTGCGCCCGCGCCAACTGCCGACGCAGCTGCAAGACAAGATAATTCTCTACGACACCGTCCACAAGCGGCTAGATAATGCATTTACTAAATCTCAATTACGTCACTTGATAAAGGAGCTTGAGATGCAGCCAGGGAGCAATCTCAATAAGCGTGGGCTAGTTGATAGATTATTGAGTAGATGGGGAGTGTATTCGCAGCAGCACCTCACCAAAGTCAGTCAACAGGAGACATTGCGCCGTTCAGAGGCCAAACACACTATCGCGCTGCCCAGCCATGCCCTCTTTCTTCTCCTTGGTCAGGACGGGCAGCAGCAGCACCGTCTCATTTCGTCGCCCTTCAATGTACGCGTGGGGGTGGTACGCGTACCCAAGCTGGCGCTGTCCATCGTAGGCTCGAACGAGGGTGTTGGTCGAGCAACTGAGTTTCTCGACAGATTCGTACACAATACCCAATCAGCCAGCGTGCACGTGCCGGATGCCGTGAAGAGACTTTCGAAGAGTGCACTATTGGGCATATCGCGCATCACTCACACTTACCTCGATCCAGCTAGCCTGGGGAGCGATACGGTCGTCATGTACGCTCACCATCAACGTAATCTCACTCTCGCAACGCGTCTCCTCAACTCACACCTGAGAAGGGACAGGAGGGGGTGCGAGGTCGTTAAAACACTTCTGCCAGCTCTTGCACTCAACGCTCACCGCTCGCTCACCCTCCTCCCGTTCGAATTGCGCGATGAAAGACCTTGGGACTTGGTCGGGATGGCGTATCAGCTGGGCCTGCAGTTGGATGGCAGTGATAACTCGATGTCGCACATGCAACACGATCTCAACATTCTCACTCCTGATGACCTCTTTAATGGATGTGAGACACTCAGACATTTTAATTCTGATTCTGATTCCGCGCTGGTGAATGAGGAAAATGCGAATAAGGAGGTGAGGGTAGAAATAGAGTGCGTCGTGGGTTATTTGAGTGGTATATAACGAGACACTAACAAAATTCTCAGACTCGGCCACTACTTATACCTCGACCAACACGACACATCCGACTACACCGCCAAAGCTGATGTGGATGTGACGTCTCTGCCCACGCCACGCTTCGTGCCATCGGTCAACCCGGCCTCGCTAAAGATTCCGCTGAAAGGAGCAGACTATTCGCCGCAATTGAGGCTGACGTATACGGCAGGCGGTGAGGGCACACGGGAAGGGACACAGCGGCAATTCACCACTCTCCTCAGCACAGCGTCAGATGGTCAACCTTCACTACACCAGAGCATCTCGGCCGTAAGTATTGAAGGCCTCGTCCTGCCTGGGTTGCCCACCGATGCGCGCGTGAGCAGGTACACGCGCAGTGAGTCGTCTCTCCTCGGCCTGGATGTGGAGCTGAGGCGGTGGATTGAGGGGGTGAGTATGGGTGAAAGTCTGGGTGAAAATGGAAATGGAAATGAAATTGAGGATGCTAGCGCTAGTTTGAACGCTTCATACGGCTCAAATATACTACCCCCTCTCGCGCTCACGGATGAACACGGCACACAGTGGTATCTCGACGAACACTCCCTCCTCAACTCCAACTCAAGCAGCAAAGACAACACTATTGCACCTGGTGTGACACTCACTCGGGAGAGTGTGCTGGATGGGGAGACAAACGAGACGCACGAATGCGCTCGGATCTCTCTTAGTCTGGAGGGCATTCAGGGGTGTACAGTGGACAGAGAGTGTAGAACGCGTATGCACAGCCTCCTCACCCAGAAATGGTCCTTTGTGTATGACCACATGAGGTGGAGCAGGCCGCCACGGGAGTATCAAAGTGAGAAGGAGAATGAGCAGGAGAATGAGCAGGAGAATGAGCATGAAAATGAACATAGATATAAGCACAATCACGATGAATAAAAAGACTAGGCACTAAATAATCACGCTACCGCATTATTGGCCATCCGTGGGTATACAAACGATGCCACAAGCCACCGGCACCCAAATCAATATGCTTCTTCATGTACTTGTTACTCTCTGCATTCATCCCGAGTTTGATGCGTCTGATCCTGGCCAGTCGTCTGAGACATGCGTACGTCACTGCAGATGAAAGGATAGCAGTAGTGAGAGATACGCCGAAGAAAGCATAAGGGTTTTCTTCGAGATGTGATTGAAGATTCATTCCAAACAGCCCAGCAAAGAGCGTGCCTGCGCCTATACCTAGTGTAGCAATGCTTACTTTAAGATCCAAGGCGAGTAGATTATTTCGATTGCTGTCGAGAATGAGTTCTACTATCTCCTGCGTTGAGCTGACGTTAGCGTCGAGTGCATCGGCTGAGGTGACTATCTCTTCTATCTGTTTAGAGGCGGATTCCAACAGCAATTCGAGCTCGTCGTGGTCTCCGTGCTGCTGTTTATCATATTTCCCATTTTGCTCATCTTTCTCCCTATCGGAGAGATACATCAGGGACAAGTCTTCATCATTCTTCAGTACCTCCTCGATAGCCTCGTGGGTGAGAGTAGCGCGGTTGCGCAGAGTAGACAGCTTCCTGGCGTAATGAAGCAAATTCTTGAGCTTCTCCCTCTCAATGTCGTCCTCGAGGTCGAGAAGGAGGTCAGAGATCTGCCTTGCGAGTACATCAGTCTCGTGGCCGAGAGCAGCGATAACGCTCTGCAAGATAGCCTCGATAGCGCGAAATTCGTACGGAAGGTGTGAGTGAGTGTCTTTGAGGGAGTGCTCCAGATTATAGAGGAAGACTGACTGCTGGCGCGTGTCGAGTGCGTTGTGAGGCTCGAACAGGAGAACTGTGTCGCGCTTGACGAGTGCGCGCACGTGGAGGATGTTGATCAGTGTAGCCTCCCGCCGGGCGAGGATGGTGGGTACGATGTTGGGTATGCGTGAATCCACCTTGCGGAGGTCTCGCGGGTTGAGTGAATGGCGCATGCACAAATCACTCTTGCGGAATTTACCACTGAGTCGCGATTGACCCCGCTCGTCAATCACCGTGCCTGGTGGGAGTGAGCGTGTTGTGGCTGATGAAACAGGTACACGGACATCGAAGGTATATCTCGCTGCTCGTTCGCCCCCACACGCCGGAAGAAGACGTATAGCTGCGTGTACTATTGAAATTGGTGAAAATATTAAAATATCTTTTCATCCCCCTTGACCGTAAACAACCAAGAGATAATTGATGCATTCGGATGGAGAGAGTGCAAGCGCAGTGAGGGATGTTGCGTTTGGCAGTTCCGCGGGGATGATCGCCAAGGTTTTCGAGCACCCTTTCGATCTCATCAAAGTACGCCTCCAATCGCAGCCACTCGACAGGCCTGCACGGTTCCTCGGTCCTGTCGACTGCTTCAAGCAGACTCTAGCAGGCGAAGGTTTTCTTGGTCTCTATCGCGGTCTCTCTATGCCCGTTATTGGCAGTATGGTTGAGAATGCCACTCTCTTCGTCGTCTACAACCAGGCACAGGATTTCATCCGCTCCTTCTCCGCTATCCCCCGCGACTCCTCTCTTACTCTCACCCACCTCGGTGTGGCGGGTGGTATAGCTGGTGGCGTCACCTCCTTCGTCCTCACCCCGATCGAATTCATCAAGTGCAGAATGCAAGTGCAAATGCTCTCGCACATGGCCTCTGCACAATCCCCTCATCCACCCGTCACGAAAGCCCCGGGCGCGGTAGGTATGTTCCTCGACACACTCCGCACACGCGGCGTTAAAGGCCTCTGGTTGGGCCAGACAGGCACCTTCATTAGAGAGGCTGGTGGCAGTGTCGCCTGGTTCGGTGCTTACGAATGCCTAAGTCGGGCATTCCTTAAGAATACCTCAAACCCTACCGATAAATCTCAGCTTAAAACTTGGCAGCTCATCGTCGCAGGCGCTGTCGCTGGTGTCTCTTACAATGTCATCTGCTTCCCTGCTGATAGCGTCAAGTCCGCGCTGCAAACTTCGGACGAACTCGGAAGTACGAGTGGCGCTAATGGTGCCGCCAAGAAACGCTTCTTCCAGACTGGAATGGATATTTATAGGAGTAGAGGATTCGCAGGCCTTTATGCAGGTATGGGTGTTACCATCGCCAGGAGTGCTCCCTCTTCCGCCATGATCTTTACCATATATGAATTCCTCAATCAGACCTTTTGAGGTGATGGTTGAAAAAACTACACATGCTGTTAATAAATAGATGTATAGATGTACAAATGCTTCATTTCTAGGTTGTGTGTGAGTTTCTATGCCTTGTCGTTATTCTTTTTCACTTGTTCACTTTTTTTTTTCCTATTTCACTTATTCGTACTTGCGACCTTCGGCCTGTCTGCGCCTGAGAAAGTGTTTGCAGTTGGCTTGAGATGGGTAGCTTGTTGTGGTTGCTTCTCACCCGTCTTCAACTCCTCCCGACTCTGCTCTTCCGCCACCAACTCACCCTCATCCTTCCACAACTGGTCCTCAAAAGCGTCATAGTCCTCGCGCGCATCGAGCCATCTCTCCTGGACATCTATATCGTGTTCACCTGGAAGTGAGCCCATAGCGGAGGTGAAGAGCGACAGTGCGCTGTCCTGTTCAGAGAGTTCGCCCTGAAACACATATCCACAGACTCGGTCAGTGAGTCTGACGAGCTTAGTCATGCTTTGTTTATCCTGCAGACATTCTCAGTGAGTTTATTACGCTCCATTTTCGCACTACACACCTCGACTGCGAGTGTCTCAAAAGACACCAATCCGAAATCTTCAACCATCTCACAAATAGCCCTATTCAAACCTTCTAAACGAGAAGTGTGTCGCTGAGTGTTAAGATAGTCGCAGATGTAATCGAGATCGTGTACCTGTGTGTAATAATCGAGGTTGAAGGCTGATGAGGGGTGTAGTGAGGAATTGTACACGTACAAAACGCACAGCACCCACGCAGATCACCGAAACGAGGAAGAGTGTCTATTTTAGACAGAACGTTGATTTGCGGTTGCTCCAAAGCCAGCATAGAACGGAGTGAGAGGAGACAAACGGCAATATATCTGCTTGGTTCAGCGAGACAATGAGCGTCGGTGAGATTGACGACTACTAGCTGATAAAGGAGTGTTAGCCTTTAAGGCAAATAACACCAAACCACGCGCACACACCCTGCAATCGAGTTGCTTCTTGAGCTTTGTGAGGATATTGGTGAGTGCGGTATGTCCCGTGGTGAGCTCGACCTGGCCAGGCATATCAAAAACCAAGTACTCGCCCCCACACTCCTCTATACGATGTTCCAACCAATCGAAATTGACGTCAATGTATTCAAACGCAAAGAGGGTGGCACCATTAGGACCGAGGGAATGTTCCTGCATGATATCGGCCACAGTACACAGATCACGTATATCAATATCAGGTGTGTAAGGTGGCTCATCGGCAGCAGGATCGAGATTGATACGTGTTAAGGGACGGTGAAGGGCGGTGAGGAACTGAGATAAACCATCCACATATGTCGTTTTGCCTGCGCCTGGTGGACCGATGACGATCTGACCGAATTTAGTCATGAAACAGAAGTTGGTGGTTGGAAGACAACGACCATGAACCAGCCACTTCACCAATTAACTGGGATTGAAGAAGGTGAGCTATTAATTGACCAATTGAAAGAAATACAAATATTATACAGATGCTATCATTCAACATCGATTGGCTATCGACGAGAAAGGCTGGAAGCAGTTGTCTAAGCGGGTGTTCAACAGCCACAGCTTAGAGGATAACCAAAGTGCTTTACTGGAGCTACACAAGTTTAAACTGCAAATGGATAGATCGCACTTGGTAGACGCTGCCATCCAATCTCAGTCCACAGAAGCTCATTTGGAGAGAGAGAGGATGAATAGTGCGTGTTCCTCGATAATCCAACAGAACAATCAACTTGTCTACGATCTGCACCAAGCTCAATTAGATAGACAGCGTAAAATGGAGTACGATTCCCTCGCTGCTGAGATATTCAATTACCCTTCACGCCAAGATAGTCAGCGTTCCATAGACGCCCTTCAATCTTCCATCGACGATCTTCACCACACCAAACACTCTCAACGTAACACCTTTTCAAACAGGGCTCTTACTTTTGCTGAGATTCTCGACGCTTGTGAGAGACTTAGAGGCGATGTTGGCGCTGAGGCTGAAGAAGGCAGACGGAGAGCTCTCGTTGAAATGGAACTCGAAGGTGAGACAGGTGAGAGAGGCGAGACAGGTGAGGCTGCTGAGGCTGCTGAGACTGGTCATCTTGCCGAGAAATCTAATCTAGACCCAAATGCCGCTGCTTTTGAGCCTGCCATATCCAAAAAGGTTGATTTAGAGGAAGGCGAGGAGAATGAGTAGTAGTTATATCAAGTAATTACCATGTATTATTATTCCTTACTTATCATCTGATATAGCTGCCTCATTCATTAATGTCTTAGCTATCACCGTGTGTATATTCCGTGAAGCACTTTCTGCAATAGACAGCGCCTGCTTATAACCCCCTAAATCGAGCATTCCTGCTTGCCATATGTGTGTTATCTGTGTTAGTGCTGGCAGAGTGCACACTGTCATCATTCCCTGTGATTCCCTGACTTCTGACGGTGTTGGATCGACAAGCAACCTATCTGATTGAATAGCCTAGAGTGGGAGTGAGTGGATGCCACGCAAAAACATCAGAACCCACCAACGCCACTCCTACAACTAACCCATTCATTTCCAATCCCGCGCTCGCCAACGCGCATCCAGCCGCCGTCGTAATACATCCCATCAAACCGAAATCGAGTGAATCATCCTCTAAAATGGTCACAAAGACATCGATCTGCATCTTCTCGTACTCGTCTAGTCTAAGACTGGGGAGAAGAGACTGTGTGACCTGGTTGCTGAGGTGTGTCGCGTCTAGCTCCTACCAATGTGGTTTTAGAACGGGAATCAATCAACTAAAACGCCCGCCTACTCTAACAGCATCACGTCGCACTGGCGAGCTGAACGGAGAGTGCTTTATCTCCACATTGAGCCTGCCGGTGGGAGAATACGCGGCGTTCTTTATCTGCTTCGGTCCATACACTGCGCACGCTATCTTTGTATTACCCGCCTCAAAGTAGGTGGAACCAGACGCAGAAGAAATCAAACCAGGTTTAAGGACTGTTTGAGCGTCATTCGTGGAGCTCACCGTCGCCGTCGCTGGTAAACATACAAATTGGCCTCATTTCGTCCACTTTACGTATTTCGCGTTCGTTTTTGGTAAATTGAGGAGATTCATTAGCGTAGAATACATCAGAGGTGATCTCAGGACCATTTACTCTCCTCCTGTCGAAATTCATCGAGATGGTGGTGGTAGTGGTGGGAGTGGAGGGAGAGAGAGATAGAAAAGCGGCATGTGTATTATGAGTGGTGTTAGGAACAGATCTGGTATTATTTCTGACTATCTCTCCAAATATCTCTCACTGACATCAGCATCTACCATCGAGCTTAAAGATACCACAAGGATGGCAAGTAAAATAGCTTTGAATAATAAAACACTATCAGCCTAATAAATATAAATTCGAATAAAATTATTTAAATTTACTCGATTTACTCGATTTACAATTTTTATCTCACCTCCCAAACCTCATCCAACCAATTTTCGCTTCTCTTTGAGTGCAAGTCAGGAGCGTTGAAAAAATGGTAAACATTCCAAAGACACGCCGCACCTACTGCAAGGGCAAGCAATGCCGCAAGCACACTCCACACAAGGTCACCCAGTACAAGAAGGGCAAGGACTCCATCTACGCTCAAGGTAAGCGTCGTTACGACAGGAAGCAATCCGGTTTCGGTGGTCAAACCAAGCCAATCTTCCACAAGAAGGCAAAGACCACCAAGAAGGTCGTCCTCCGTCTTGAGTGCTCTGCTTGCAAGTACAAGATGCAGCTCTCTCTCAAGAGAACCAAGCACTTTGAGTTGGTAAGTTGGTCTTTATATCCGTGTGCTTTGGCTAACGCTTGTTACAGGGTGGTGAAAAGTAAGCTCTTTGTTTTTTCTCTTCTTTTTTTGCGGAGAAAATCTTCACCCGAACACTCCCGCTAACAAACTCTTACAGGAAGCAAAAGGGCGCTGCTCTCGTTTTCTAAGCTATGTCCAAGCTTTACGAAAATATTCAAGTCGTACGTTTACCTACGCAATCCTCCCAACAAGGCTCACACAACATTCCAGTTACTTCTCACTTGTGCTTAAACATGAATGAATTCGGCATTACTTGCGTGATATGCTACTCTGTTTGCTATACAATTACTCTACCGCACTCTGCTTCACTTTGGCCCTGAACCTCGACATTGCACTGCCTTTCTTTGTGGATTTGGTGGTCGTGTTGGTGGTGTTGGTGGTATTGCTGTTATTGGTATTGTTGAAGACACTGTTATCCTCACTAGCGCTGCTTCTATCAACACCACTGACCCCAACAGATAATCCTTCGAAACCACCTATTTCATCACTCTTAGGCTCTTCTTTGTCGTTTCTCTCGTCGTTGATCCTCTCACCCTCACCATTGTTCTCTTTCTTAGTATTCTTCCTCTCCTTGGTTGTCTCTCTCAGAATATCATCCAGGCTTTGCTCTCCACTCGCTGGATTGATTACGTCCTCAAACACCTTGCTAAACTTGAAATTCTTGCTCCTATCCCTGTTAAACGCCTTACTCCCCTTAGCTAGCCGTCTTCTCTCTTCAGCCGTGCTTATAACTCCACCAGTACCCACTGCATCTTCGTTAAAAAAAGAAAGCAGGCTGGTCAAGATGGTCGAAACTGATAACATTGGATTCCATGTATCCTTGTGGAAATCACTAAATGACGTGCATATGCTTGTGTTGGGCTTGAAACGTCCATTAGGCGTGTCTGTTGGCGTGTTAAGTAGGCACGTATCTACGCCTAGACAACTCACAAAACTTTATATGTGGCGGTGAGAAAGGGTAATCTTTTGGAAACTAAGTACGTATGAGCTGGTATGTAAACTTCAAAATTCTGTCACACCTCTAAAACGCCATGAAACTCGCCATCTTTATACGGAGAATCTTCACTTCCCATGAAAACAAAGTGCCAATTCAAAATATTTGATCTGAGTGGATGTGGTTAGTGTTGCTTGATGAATAAAACCTTCAAACACACTCTTCTGGCCTTGCGTAGGTATAAGGTGGACAGCCTTCAAGTTGCAACGTTGCGAGCTCCTTCATCAATCTCTTTCTAGCAGCAGGACTTGCCTATGATGATTCCATTAAACATTTCAATCACCTCAAAGAATATCCCCCACCATATTTTGCTTTAGTTGGTCTTACTCCTTCAACAAACCAACGCTATTTTCTCATTTAAAACCTTGTTGAACGGCGGTAAGCTGAAAGAGTTACCAATCAAAATGAAATATCAACTTGCAGCTGTATCCACACCTGCCAGCGATACTCAGCAATCTATATGCCTCTTCTTCCCAAACGCAAGGTACTTGTTCGGTATTCCAGAAGCCACAACTAGAATGTGTATACAGCGTAAGCAGACTCTTAAAAAGCTAAGAGGTGCTTTCCTCTCACAGGCCACTGACGGTGGTCTCGCTGGTCTCACTATGTCTTTCGCAGACAGCTCTGGTAGTGGCACTCTTAATGTCGCTGGTCCTGAAGGTACTCTACACAGAGTAGCTGGAATGCGCTATTACAATAAAAGAGATCAGCTCAAGGTCAATGTTTTAGAAAGCTTGATTGGTGATAGATGCGAGGATGCCCTCTACTCTGATGAATTTGTCAATGTCTACGGCGTAACTACACATTCAATCAAATCTAACGAGTCTTATTCAAGCTCGTCCCCTTCTCCATCACGCAGCCAATCACCTTCACATTCCAAGCGTAACAACATGTCTTATGAGGAGAGCGTCGAATACAAGAGGAAAATTGTCGATGAAATCTTCCCTGGCTTGCTTCCACCGAATGGCTTAGATGGATCCTCAGAAATTTCCACACCCAAGAATGGCGGAGACGCTGTGGAAGATATCCCCTCACGAAACGACGCAAAGCTTTCGAGGCGTCTTGCTAGACTCCCAGCACCCAGACATCCTCGCTCTGATGCTGCCGCTAGCTACATTGTCATGGGTAAGCCGATGAGAGGCAAGTTCAACAATGAAGTAGCCGTGCAATTGCAAGTTCCTGGTCCTCTAAGATCGAAACTTACAAGGAAAGAGACCGTCACTTTCCAGCTAAGCGATGGCTCCGAGAGGACTGTCACGCCTGAACAAGTTGTCGCTCCTGATACTCCACCGACTGTGAGTGATAATCGGTCTTATCGATCTCACTCAGACAACGCTTAGGTATTCTTTATCGTCAATGTTCCCAACAAGAAGCACATAACTACTCTCGTACAATCATCGGCATGGGAGAGACACAGACAGACCGACAAGCCACACATTCTTGTTCATAATGTCGGTTGGGGCGTGTTGGATAGCGAGGAATATGTGCAGTGGATCAAGTCTTGGGGTCCAGATACCCACCATCTCGTCTCGTCCCCTGAATACACCGCGAACAACGTATCGCTACCATCTTCATTCCTTTCCTTGAAAAGGGCCAGTGTTTTATCGGACGCGTTCAAGGCACCTCTGTACTCGCTAGACGCGCCACGCAGCCTACCTGAGACGCTCACATCTCAAGTCAAGATAGAAGTGCTAGACAAGCACCACAAGGCAGAGCTTAATCCACCAGAGGCGCCCTCTGTGCAGCCGACACTGATGAGCGGTCTGCCGCCAGGATTCGACATACGTCGCGAGACGACCGAGGATGAGCTGCTGAAGCAAGGTCTCAGCGAGAAGTCGTGGGACAACTACTCCAAGGCTTGCGAAGCTGTCAAGGAGGAGGTATGTAAACTGACACCACCGGAAAGACAGGCAGGTGATGATGTAGTAGTCACCACTCTCGGCACAGGAAGTGCACTGCCGTCCAAATACCGCAATGTATCTGCAACTCTCCTCCAGACGCCGCACGGTAATATTCTCCTCGATGCTGGCGAGGGCACGTGGGGGCAGCTGGCGAGGATGTTTGGCGAGCGCTCCAGAAACACCCCGCCAAGAGATGGAGATGGAGATGACAGAGAAGATGCATGGGATGTGCTCAAGAATACTAAAGCTATCTACCTCAGCCACGTTCACGCTGATCACCACATCGGGTTGGCGAAATTGCTTCAACTGCGATCCAAAGCTGTTGGACAGGAGAACCCAGTGACTATCATCTGCAATCACCTCATACGCACTTATCTCCTTGAGCAGAACGAATTGGAGTATCTCGGTATAGGCAGGAAGGTGAAATTTGTAGATGTGGAAGCCTTACTATATAACCAAGACGTTGCTGTTGAAAAAGCGGGCTATCGGAAGCTCCAAGCAGATGAAGCTGCGCTCAACCTCGCAGCATTACGCCAATCGCTTAATCTCAAAGATGTAAAGACGGCGCTTGTGAAACACAGGTGTAAATGCCACGCTGGTATAATAGAAAGCAACGAGGGCTGGAAAGTGGTTTACTCGGGCGATACGATGCCATGTGAGAACCTCGTCGAGAGCGGTAAGGACGCCACGCTGTTGATTCATGAAGCTACAATGGAAGATGGGCTCGAGGAAACTGCTGAAGCTAAAGGACATTCTACCATTGGACAGGCTATACAAATAGGCAAGGAAATGAATGCAAAGAAGGTACTGCTCACACACTTCTCACAACGTTACTCCAAACTCGCTCAGTCTTCCGAGTCACAGAACGGGACAATGGTCATTGCGCATGCTTTCGATCTGCTTAGTCTGAGAGTAGGCGATTTGTGGAAAATGTCTCATTACAACAGTCCTCTTTCCTTCCTTCTCGCACAGGAAGTCGCAGGTGAGGAGACTGAAGACGTGATCGAGGAGGAACCTGTGGAAAAGCAAGAAAAACGTAGTAAAAAGTCGAGAAAAGCTCAGAATAAGGAGAAACGTAAGCCAAATTCTCTTTTTGACACTGTACATGAGAGTAACGCGAGCGATCAGCAACAGTCCAAAAAAGCTAAAGTATAGAACTAATTATACAACATACATATATTATTACAGCAGAATCTTGCGCAGCTGTGTGATTTTTACAGGCTTGAGTGTGACGGGACAGCAACTATGTTTGTCCACATACTCGAAAATACTCTTGAAGCTGTACACGTAGCCAGTAGGTACAAGCGTTGGATTCTCGAGCGGTGATCCTGTAAGTGGATCGATGCCAAATTTGATATGTTCATCGTCGATGGTCGATTCGGGGTGTTTTGACAACTTGCCAGGTGGTGGTATTCTTGTCTTGTTCGCTTTCTTCTCCTCTTCGCGCTGTAATCGTGGCGACTGGTTGGAATACCACCACTGCAGGAACTTTAATATGAATAGCGTCACTGGCAGGGCTGTTTTGAGAGATGATAGTAGCAAACTTGGTAGCCTGCGTATAAGGGAGGTTTGTTTAGTTGATTTTTGTATATGTAGCTAGATTTAGCGTCAGTTAGGCTGTTTAGTCAAGCGACAAGACAACCTCACCAGATCGCTCATAGTTTGACGGCGTATATCGACATTCATCCACGCCAGCCAAGGACGGTAGAAGGGCGTGGAGTTGAACATGTAGCGAACATTGTAGCTCAGCAGCGCACTCTCCAACGCGAGGTTGGCGTATGGATAAACCTTCTTGAATAATGTCTTGAATGAGTGCTGAGGGTTAGCGGAATTAGTGAGGTTGATTTGCAAAGCTTATGCACATACCTCTTGCCGTGCTTGCCTCGTCTCGTCTCTGAACAGCTCGCTCGGTTCGTTTCCACCCCAGATATCATACAACTCCTTCCCTTTGGCACGCAGATAGGGTACACCAACCTGGTGCACGTGAGATAGAGCAATTCAACGGTGCTGTATACACACCAGGAAAGCCAGCGATCCATATATCTGGCCTCTGCTAAGTTTATCGAAAGACTGGTGGTGCTTGTCAAGATACGCCGCCGATTGGCTCAATTCGAACGCCGGTCTATTGCGCCTTTTAAGGCCGTAGAAGGATTCAGTGAAAGAGGCGTCTGGTGTGTGTGAGTGGATGGCTGCAACTGGTTGGAAATGGCCTACTCTCAGTGCGCAGATAGTGCGATTCAACGACGAGCATCACCAGGGCATACAGCTCCTCATGCCGATTCACCAATCTGATCAAATAGCGTGGATAGCGTGTTGCTAATATCTGTGCTTGTCAGCCATCACTTGGTTGAGGCCACCACCACACACCGATAGGACGTATTTCACCGCCGGTTGCAGCAAATCTGTTAGCTCCTCCTGAGCAAACAACTCAAATAGCGACGGCTTTTCTGTAAATGACGAGCTTTCTAGTTGGGTGTCCATTTATGAGAAAATAGATTACAAAGATGCATGATACAATGTCTCCTTATTTTTGTGGTGTACAAATACCTTTAAACATGCCTCTTGTCAGATACATCGCTGTCAGATTGTCTCACGTCACTCTGCCTCATTGCTACTGTTGCATTGAGCCCAGTCACCGATGGATCCCTGATACTAGTATATTTCCACAAAAGGGCTCCAGCTATCGAAGCAAATGCATACGCAGCTCCCGCCTTGTACCCGATCCTGTAATTCGGTGCCTCAGACGCTGGGTAAAAGAATATATTCTGAAACGAATCAATTGCGTTGACGAGCGTGACAGCTAGACCAATGTATATTGTCCGCAACTCCGTGTTTTGCTTGCCGATTAAATCACTCATCCACGCAATAATCAATGGTCCACCGCAATTAGAGAGGTAGAGGAAAAAGTACGCGAACATCTTTAGTCCAAAGTTAGCTGGCCATGTTGACAGGATGATCGTACCGACGAAAATGGTGAGTTGTTGGATAACAATATACCGACAGCGGCGCTGCTGTTTGTCTGACAGATAAGCCCATAGCATCATAAACACAATCTGAAGCACATACCCGCCTATTGGTATGGATGTGAGCTGATTGTTGGTGAAACGCTTGCTACCGTCACTATTCGTGACCGACTTGAGAAATAATGTAAACCACGTGTTTGCGTCTTGTGACCAACTCCAGAATGCATATGTAAGTGTAAATGCGTACGTTATCCAGCTAGTCACGCCCTTCCTGATCAAGATGAAAAATTGTTGGAATGTGAGTTTGATCGGTTTGCGATATCCAGTGCGTGTGAATCTCTCCTCAGCTATTTCGCGCATGTTATTCGTCATCCATATTGCATGTGAGCTTTGCAGTGCGTCGGGTATCTGATTTGTGTGAGGAAGAGAGCTCAACAGCGCGACATTGCACGTTGATAGACACTCACAAGGAAAAATCCAGAAATTGCTATGATGACAGTGATGATGCCATTCCAAATAAACCTATAGGTTTGTCAGTCGTCGTATCGGAAAGCGTGCAAACCCACAGCCATCTCCAACCTTCCAAACCCTGCACACCATCCATACCCTCATTGATAGCTATTTGGAGACTACTAGTGAATATATTTGCTAGCGGGTACGAGGTCCCGAATATGCTGAGTCGTTTAGCGAGTTCTTTGGATTTGTACCAGTAGACGATCAGAGACATAAGACCGGCATAGCTGCTGGCTTCACATAGACCGATCAAGAAACGCAGTCCGTAGATAGTTTTGGCGTCGTTGGCTACAGCTATCAAAGCTGTAGCTATACCCCATATCAACTCGAGACCAGGGATCCAGTAAGACACTCGGATGATACTCGATGCTAGCACAGCTTCTGATATCGGTATGAACACACTATAGCCTATTCTGTAGAAGGTGTTGAAGTAGTTGAGCTCGTTTCCGTATAAACTGGGTGAAGATGTGAGATTATGGCGGGGTGAAAGTTAGGCGTAGGCATCAAAACCATACTCACCCAAGATCCTCTTTCATACCATTGACATATGCCGTCTTGTAATTTGACGAATCAATTTGCTTGCATAGATAGCTTAGATAAGCCCAAGTGAGGAAATACACGTCGAGGCGAGTAACGAAAGCCCTGTTCTGCTTTTTCCATGCCTTCTCGCTTTCAATTGAGCTTTGCCCTGTCTCAAGCTGCATGACCGTCCTCGCTACCAAGGAGGGCCTACTAAGTGGAACTGCAGACGGAGTCCGAGATAACGGTGGTACAAGTCCGAGATATCTGGTAGTTGCGTAGAGTGTTGATTATTGATTAGGTTGCTCATATTCTTGGACGCTCGTTAGTCACGATAACAGCGATGAATCCACTGACACACCCAAATTTAGATTCAGCGATATTCTAATATGAAAACAGATAAAACAACAAACTTCGAAAACATTTAAGCCATAAACAAATTCTACTCATAATAATCCACAAGTCGCTTCCAAACGATAAGCAGGTGAAAGTTTTGACAAGATTCTTGTAATATATAAAAGTATATGGTCTGATGCGCATTAATTTGCTGAGTAGTATGGTACCCCTGATGCACAAATTTAATCTTAATTTGCATAATTTATTCAATTTCGAAGCCCCGGCTCAACTCACCCGCGCATTGCGCTACAACATCGAAATTGAATTTCGTCGAGGCGCGCATCAATTTAGTGCAGGATCAATTCGAACAACTGGTGATTTGATCATTTTGAATTTTTTTTTGAAATACTCGCCTCGACTCACATCCTCTCTTCATCTTGTCCACCCAACATCTGAAATGTAAGTGAATATTTTCATATTTTGAGGTGGCAAAAATTAATTAAATATTTATAGGGCCAGAACTAAGCAAACAGCCCGCAAGTCCACCGGTGGTAAAGCACCACGTAAGCAGCTCGCAACCAAGGCCGCAAGAAAAACCGCCGCACCAACCCAAGCTGCAGGTGGTGTAAAGAAGCCACACCGTTACAAGCCTGGTACTGTCGCTCTTCGTGAGATCAGACGTTATCAGAAGTCGACCGAATTGCTTATCCGTAAATTGCCATTCCAACGTCTCGTAAGAGAAATTGCGCAAGATTATAAGACGGATTTGCGTTTCCAATCTTCAGCTATTGGTGCACTTCAAGAAGCTAGTGAAGCATACCTGGTCTCGCTATTCGAAGACACAAACCTTGCAGCTATCCACGCAAAGAGAGTTACAATTCAACCAAAGGATATTCAACTCGCACGCAGATTACGTGGTGAGCGCACTTAAGCAGTTTTCCTTTTCTCAGTGTATTCTTATTGTAAATGTTGATCAATGTTTGATATAGTTCTCGATATAGCTTTTGACGTTATTTGTGTACGCTTTTTCCGCCTTGCTGTTGTGTGCCTATTCATCCTATGAAGACTGAACGTCACTTTCGTCGATGTCTTGTCAAAATAATGGCAATTTAAAGCCATATTCCTAATGACAATAGGTTTTTCGCATCCTATTACCCGCTTGTAGCTCGCAACAACTCGTTGCCTCGATTATCTCAGCCAATGTCTTGCGATAATTCATGGACTTGGCAATCGCGTAGAGCGCGTCATAAAAGGATTTAAATTGTAATTCATCTCTTTCTATCACTTTTGCGGCGGCCGATTCTCCATAAGCTCATTATTCACTGTTTACATCAAGACCCACAGCCTACTCAATCGTAGTTTCATTTACAGTAATGTCTAGGTTTCTGATCAAATAACATTTGCTGTACCATAGCTTTGGTCGCTTTTAAATACTTCAACAGATTCATACCATGAAACCCATTATCGTCGCATCCGTTGTCATGGTATCGTGGTGATGTAATTGCCCTGGATCTTGATCAAAGTGAGAGGATATATGCAGTTGTTCAGCGCTTGTTGGGCTCTTTTGCACTGTTATTGTATTTAATCTTGTATTCTTAACAGCATTGCGCCTGTTGTTGGCGGATGTGTCTCTACAGATTTCCAACAGACTTTAACCCTTTGATTGGTAGAAATTGAGTTCGAAAATTACACAAATGCTAAATTAAGATGCTGGCTTTAAGGGAGGGTATTAATCACATCTATCACCTACAGACCCAGCGCGATATGATATCAGAGACACGCATGTACTAAAGCAGACGCCACCGAGTAACACTTGAGCACCACCATACAATGTCAATGTTGGCATTAAGGCATACTAAATCAAGATGGCACCAATTCATAACATTCTTCTATGCTTGGGTGCTGGTGCTGGTGAGCCCGACCACTCAAGAGATTTCAAATACAAAAAACCCACAAAAGCCACAAAAGACATAAAGTTTTGTTAAAATGTTCCTCGATGCGCTCTCAAACCATAACGGTGACGATGTCATTTGGGAAAGAGAACAATTATGAGCTAGACGTTAACGGCGGGAACATGAGGGTGTGTGGGGAGTGCCATTAGGCTAATAAGTCATCTTAATACGAATCCAGTCTCATTACAAGCCTCGTGTGTCATACTATTACAGTAAAGGGATTGGTAGGTAATGCTGGACGCATAAAGCGATTATTTACAGAGACAAGGCGACTATCATTATGGAGTTAGTGCTGCCAATTCTACTCTCTCAGCTACTCACAATCACTTCCAGGAGAAGCATCCGATGAAACCTCACCGCCTAGCGCTCACAAATAGCCTTGTTTTGGGTTACGGAATGCACAAGTACATGGAAATGTACGAGCCTCAGCGAGCTACAAGAGACGAGATATGCGAATTCCACGATCAAGACTACATTGACTTCCTGTCTAGGTAAATTTTTCAATCTCGACGCAAAACGGTCCACTCACACAAAGCAGGCTATCCTCGCCGCCTACACCGACAATGGTGAATCTTATGAAGCAATTTAACATGACGGACGATTGTCCTGCTTTTCCGAACCTCTACGACTTCTGTCAGCAGTATGCTGGTGCCAGTCTGTTAGGAGCGCGTCATATAACATCACAGCGCTCTGATATTGCCGTTAACTGGACTGGTGGTCTCCATCGTGGGTTTTTATGTCCAAACAGTGCTCATGGCTGATTAGACCATAGATGCACACAAGGCTGAAGCTAGTGGATTTTGCTATGTGAATGATATAGTGCTGGCTATTCTCGAGCTGCTGAGGTTGGCTCAACTTGCCCAGGTTATAAAGCCCATCTAACAATCTACAGGTTCCACCCGCGGGTGCTATACATAGACATTGATATTCACCACGGTGACGGTGTGCAGGAGGCATTCTACAATAGCAATCGCGTCATGACAGTATCGTTCCACAAATACACAGGTGACTTCTTCCCCGGCACTGGTGCACTCGATGAGACGGGCGAGGGCGCAGGCAAGCACTTCTCCCTTAATGTCCCACTCCAGGATGGAATAGATGACTATAGCTATGTAGCACTATTCAAAAACATCATGTCTTCCTGCATAGAATCATACAGACCATCAGCAATTCTGCTCCAATGCGGAGCAGACTCACTTGGGTGTGATCGACTCGGAGCGTTCAACCTATCGATTCGCGCACACGGAGAGTGCGTACAATATATAAAGAGCTGGGGTATACCGCTGATGGTCGTCGGCGGGGGTGGGTATACGATAAGGAACGTATCGCGTTGCTGGGCGTACGAGACGTCAGTGTTGTTGGACATGGGAGTCAATGACACACTGCCGCAGACAAGTTACGATGAATACTTTGCTCCGGATTACGTCCTCCATCCTCCTATCGTCACTAAGGTCGATAATCAGAACAGCAAAGCCGGCCTCGAAAGGTTGGTGAGAGGTTGCAGGGAGCAGCTAAGGTATCTTAACGGTGCACCGAGCGTACAGATGCAAGAGATTCCTCCGGATATCGCCCGCTTCATGGACGCGGCGGAGTTGGGAGTGGACGAAAGAGATGAATTGCAGTGGGGCCAGACTGCCGCGAGTGATACGAAACATCCTGATAGTCACGCGTCTAATAATGAATTCTTTGATGATGAAGTCGATCAGGACGCGCTGGCGCTCGAGCAGGTGAGGGGTGGTGAGCGGATTAAGATGCAGATGCAGATGCAGAGGCAGGAAAATGAGGAAATGGATGAGATGATGGGTGGTATGGTGGATGGAGAAGAGAAGGAGGATGAGCAGATAGAGAAAGTGAGGAGAGATGAAGAGATGGTGCAGGCAGATGAGGATAGTGGTGACAAGCAAGTTGAGCAGGTTGATCAAACGTCGGAATCACAGCAAGCACAGTCAGAGCAACCGCAACAGCAACAGCAACAGCAACAATTAGATAGACTTATCGATCAAGCAGACACAACAAGAATTGAACATACGGAACAACCACAGCAAGCTGCACAGCCAGTTGTATCATTGGGGGAACAACCAGCCGTGCAAACAATGTCTCGACCAGTTTCAGACTGGGCTGCAGAACCAATGTCTCATACCATACCACAAACAGAACCAGAACCAGTTGCACAGATGTCTTCACAACCGGCGTTGCAACCAGCTGCACAGCCAATATCAAACTCTGTTGCCCAACCAATCACACAAATAGGTGCACAACCAGATGTACACTTGAATGCTAAGCCACCTTCCCAGCCAGTAATTGACGAAACCATGGAAGGTGTGACATCTGGACAGAATGGATCAATTGCGCCGTTGATGGACAAAGAATCGACGACATCTAGTCAAGTAAAATTAGAAGACGGAGGTGAGGGCGCTGCAACTAGCAATGCCAATAGCAATGCCACTAGTAATGCCACTAGTAATGCCAACGTGATAAAGGTTAAAACAGAACCAGCTTAATGTAAATTATTGTATCAATGACTTCTTTGAAAATGACGTCGACGCGACCAGTAGTCTTCTTTGATGTAGCTTTGGGGGAATCAGCGTTAGGAAGGATAAAGATGGAATTATTTAGTGATATTACGCCAAAGTTTGTCGATACTTATCCCAACGACTTGGTTAACATCGATATAAAGAACCGCAGAGAACTTTAGACAGCTTTGTACCGGTGAACAGAGGTGAGACAATGGAATTTTGTCGGTTATAGCTCACAAAGCTTATAAGAGTGGGAAACGTACCACAGGGATACAAAAACAGCTCGTTTCATAGGTAGGATGATATAACAAGAATCCAAGGATATTCTAACCAGAGCTTAGAGTGTGAGTTATTCGTGATTAGCGGAGAATCGCTCACCTGAGCATACACCATACTAGTATAAAGGATTTTATGGTTCAATAAGTCTTGTGCTCATTGGATGAAAATTGGCCTGACAGACGCTGTAGAGGTGGAGATTTTATCAATGAGGATGGTACAGGCAGCTACAGTATCTATGGAGGTGCTAAATTCCAGGTGGGAAGAGTTTTGATCGGCAGAACACGCGCTATAACACGCACATAACCCACGCAGGACGAGAACTTTACAGTGAAGCACGACCAGCCAGGATTGTTGTCGATGGCAAATTCAGGACCAAACACGAATGGATGTCAAGTGAGTTGAGAGTGATTTGTTCGTAAGCAACGACTGACCGTTATAGTTCTTCATAACGTGTAAACAGACGCCATTCTTGGATGGGAAGCATACCGTGTTTGGCAAGGTGGTAGAGGGGATGCTCACGTTGCGTAAGATAGAGAATGTACAGACAGGTGCGAATAACAAACCAAAGTTACAAGTCAGAATAAAGCGTGGGTTTTGGTTTGATTTACATGAATATAATCTTACAAGGATTTTAGAATGTGGGGAGATGTAAATGTATATATCTTTATCATCTATTCATCTGGATTTTCCTTATTCAAGTCCTGCGTAACTTCCACAGCGGGAGTGTTTGAGCATCTATAGCAATATTAGACGCGTAAATAGCTCGCCTAAACGCGTTAAAATCACAGGACTCACACACTCAACACTCTCACCAATCTCCAGCACTGGTACTCATCAAAATGCTGTATGCAATTGAATTGACATATTTCTTGTAAGATACATTTATTATCTTGGATATCTTTGTTGTGTGGCTGTTTAGATTTCCTTGCCCACTGTGGAATATCAGGAATATCAGGCATGTTGCTGCCAATTGACGTGGCTCGATCTCACTCCTTTCAACACTATCATCAAGAGATAAATATAAAAAAATAATAAAATCGAGAGATGCCACATACGAGCATCAAAAGAACTTCAACTTTCGCTTGGTCGCCTTTCTCCAGCGATTCTACCATCGCTACTGGTACTGTCGCAGGCGCACTAGACGAGAACTTCTCAAACGACGCTCAATTGGAATTGTGGGATGTTTTCAGCGGTGAAGAGCCTCAAGTGAAGGGAAGCGTTACAACGTCGTCTAGGTGCGTTTGGTATGCCCACACAACTCACACCTCTCACATTTAACCAGATTCAACACTCTCGGCTGGGGTAGCGTCAACTCAAGCAAACCTCAGGGTGTTATAGCCGCTGGATTAGAATCTGGGGATATTTCAATCTGGGATCCACAACTAATCGTTAATCAGCCATCCAATTCACTTTTACACTCAAATAACTCTCACTCTGGCTCAGTTAGAGGTTTAGACTTCAATTTACTGCAATCTAACTTATTCGCTACTGGCGCTTCTCAAGGTGAAGTTTTTATTTGGGATTTGAACAACCCTTCAAAGCCATACCTTCCTGGTCCAAGATCTCAGAAGTTACAGGATATTACTTCTACCTCTTGGAATGCTCAGGTTCCTCACGTTCTCGCTACCTCTTCTGATACTGGCTACACGGTCGTTTGGGATTTGAGACACAAGAAGGAAGTCGTCGGTATTAGCTACGGTGGCGGTGCTGGTACTATGGGCGGTCCGTTCGCCAACTCAACTGCCATCACTCAACAAGGAAGACGTGGCATTAGCTCTGTTGCATGGCATCCTGATAATGTGCGTCTTTTTTCATCTTCTAATCTATCTCTTAACACCGTAAAAGGCTACTCGTCTAGTTACTGCCTCTGAAGATGATACCAGTCCTGTTATTATGCTTTGGGATCTCAGGAATGCAAGAGCTCCAGAGAAGGTCCGGTTTTCCTTTTGATTCTCAATTCCCCACTAATTTTCATTCAGATTCTTCCTGGTCATGATAAGGGCGTTCTCTCTCTTTCTTGGTGCAGACAGGACCCTGATCTTCTCCTCTCCTCTGGTAAAGACAACAAGACATTGGCTTGGAATCCAAACACAGGTGAAAATATTGGCGAGCTGCCATCTTCTGATAATTGGTCATTTCAAGTTGAATGGAATCACCGCAACCCTGATATATTTGCAACAGCTTCTTTCGATGGTACTGTTGGCATTCATTCCATTCAGTCACAAGCTCCTCCTCCAGAATCTATAACCGCAAATGCTCAAAGCAATGTTGATCCAAATGACATCTTTGGCGCTGTCTCAGCTCAGCAAGAAGCAGAACAACATGCACTCAAAGCCCAACAATCTTTCTCTCTCAAACAAGCACCAAAATGGTTGCGTAGACCTACATCAGTTAGCTTCGGTTATGGTGGTAAATTGGTGACACTTAAAAACAATCTCGTCCAAATTCACCAAGTTTCAACCGAACCCTCCATCCTTGAGCGTGCACGCTTGCTCAGCGAGGCTATTGACAGTCCAGACAGTGAATCAAAATTAATTAGCTTGTGTCAATCCCAAGCTGCCAAGAAGGGGGGTGACTCTGATACGTGGAAGGCACTCCACTCTCTCTTCGAAGCCAACTCAAGGGATCAACTTGTTCAATTACTTGGATTCAGCAAAGAGGAAGTCGCAAAGCAAGTTCAGGCTGCGATCGATGCCTTCGCTAAACCAGCAGGACAAACACCTGAATCTACACACCTCTCGTCAGTCGATACGAATGCTAGTGATGAGCCTGAGAAAGAGTCTACTGTATCATTCGCCGAGCCAGAGCCAGAACAAGAGGCAGATGGAGAGGAAGAGGAAAAAGTTGAACCAGAAGCAGAAGCAGATCAAAACACGCCAGCTCCAAGTGATAGCCTTTTCGGTGACAATAAGGCAGATGGCGATGATTTCTTTAGATCTGTCACCGTCGCATCAGAGACAACCCCACAAGTGGAGAAGGTTGTTATACCACACATGACTGCTGATGAGTCTGTTGCTGCAACAATTGGCTCACCAGGTCCATCAAGTATTACTTCTGAAGCAATTAAAGCCAATACTTTCAAGATATATCCATCAGAAGAATCCGAGTCAGATCGTCTCATTACCAAGGCATTGGTATTAGGAGACTTTGACTCAGCTGTAGAACTATGCTTGTGCACTGAGAGATACGCTGATGCTATTTTGTTGGCTGTTAAAGGCGGTGCTGAGCTGCTGGCTAAAACGCAAAAGAGCTACTTCCAACGTCAAACGATTCATCTACCATACTTACGTCTATTCCAGTCAATTGTGTCTGATGATTTGTCAGACATTGTCCAGAATGCTGATCTTGGAGAATGGCAAGAGATATTCGTCGTCTTGTGCACATTTGCTAAGGGGGATGAATTCGGTCAATTGGCAGAACAACTCGGTCAACGTCTAGACTTCCAATACAAAATGGTCGATGATAGCGAGAAAGTGACAGCTAAGAAGTTCCGCACCAATGCTATTCTGTGTTATTTAGCAGCTGGCAAATTGGAAAGAGTTGTGAATATCTGGTCAGATGAAATGGTTGAAGAGGAGAGAAGTGGTGCTGGTGATCAAACTTCCAAGCAATCACAACACGCTTTAGCACTCCAAAGCTTTATTGAGAAGGTCACTATTTTCCAAAAGGCAACTGGATATGTAGACCAAGATCTCAGCACTCCTACTGAATCACCAGCTGTGGCAGCATCTGGAGTAAGAGTTTACAAATTGAGCACTCTTTACGATCGCTACCATGAATATGCGGAGCTGTTAGCATCGCAGGGATTAGTGAAAGATGCTGTTAAATATATGAATCTTACACCATCTGATTACCAGGGCACTGGGGGTGTGTCTAGCGATGCTCAGACAGCCCGTCAGAGATTACTCATTACAGCATCAGACGAGGCGCAGAGAGAGACGAGAAGAGAAGCCGAAGTGCAACAACAGGCACAGTTGAAAGCTCAACAAGAGGCTCAGGCAGCTGCACAGGAGCAAATGATGGCCCAACAAGCAACTCAACCGGTTGCACAACCAACAGCACAACCAATAGCACAACCAATAGCACAACCACAAGTGAATGCCTATGCACCAGCTGCTACTACTGCACAGCCAACCTATACATCGCCTTACACACCACAAAACACGTCATCATACGCACCACCAGCTCAGACACAATCTCAACCTCAGCCACAAGCACCAGCACAGGCGCAGATGTACAGTCAGCCAGCGCAAGTATCTGCTACTAATGCTTACGGAGGCTATGCTCCCCCACCAACGATGCAACCTAGCGCCAGTAATCCATATGCACCAATCGTACCAGCACCAACAACAGCAGCAGCAACAG